ATCGTATGTTTTACGTCTCCGGGCCCCTCAAGGTTACAGCGCTTACTGCGCGGCGTGATAATCTCAGCTCCCACTGGCCAGAGAAGGATAGCAAAGTGCAGCGCCGTGCAAACTATCAGCCACGCATCTAATCGATGTCACACACGTGCCCAATTATCAATACGCTCAGGCCCTCGAGGACTTTAGAGAGCCTCGGGAAAGCCATTGGGTCCAGCCGCAGTCCGGGAAGAGGGCGAGTTGGGCACAGGACGGGAATAAGGGACGAAAGAAGACAAACCTCGTGTCCGGAGTTAATCATCAGCCATGATTGGAGACACGCAAAATCTGGGCGAGTCATAGATTACCATCGCCAAGGAAGTTGGCCAATCTTGTAAAGGTTGTTTGCGTTTCTCTTGATAACTGCCGATAGTGTCGATGACATTGCAGCCTCTCGAGGCTCAACCATTCTGGGCCAGACTCCGAACAAAGACCTCGGGACGTCTCGGCAAACTAGACTGGAGCGTTCGCCCCTTTTCTGTCCGTAGAGAACGAGTCTGCCTTGGCCACCCGGCAGGCTCTCAATGGGCTCCTCCTCATTGATTGGTGACTGACTAATTCCCCGACCTGGTGGTGGGCCTTGCGCCATCAATCACCGGAGTCATTTACAGTCCTGAAATTGTTTCTGAAGACACAACTGAAATTCTCCTTTCTTTGAATTATCCTTCCGTATTCTAGGAAAACGAGATCTGCCATGCCTGTCTCTCGAGATTCTCTTGACGTCTGCATGTACTTCCCTATGCATGCCCCGGATGTACCCCTCCGGAACCTAGGTACCTAGATCATGACACCGCTGTCTGATTTGATTTTCGTTTGTCATCTATACAAGTAGACTTTCAGATGTACGAGTCCCTAAGTTGTGCTAAATAGTTGGTAGGGGTTATTGTTGTGGGTTTCAGTCCAAAGATATCATTTCTGTGCTGAAGGTAACACCGGCTCGGAAGACGGAATTTCATGGTGAAAAGTCAATCGAGAACACTACCTAGCAGGATGAATGATACTCAACGATAGGAAACATGACATGTCAAATGAACGATTCGTCCCCAACAATATTAAACAACCAGAAAATCCAAACTCCATTTGAAACCCCAATATCAAGTGAAAGGCAGCAAAGAAATTATCCCGCACAAAGCTCTCAACAAATCCTTAACTCGGTCAAGAGTCCCAAATAGCGCCGTATGCTGGAACACCTCTAGTTTCAAGACCGTAGACGACCTTCTTCGTAATCTTTTCGTTCGCGATGATGATGACAGCTTCGGCGTTGAAGCTCTGGACAAGGTTATATCCCATCTTCACCAGATCCGGCCTGCCCGAAACCTTGGTATCGTGAATCACAGCGTTGGGAATTTTCCTCTTGATAGCATCGAGCAAAGGTTTGCCGAAAGTCTGCTCGGGCTTTGGAGTAGACCAGATCAACTGTGTCGCACAGCTCTGCTGCTGGATATGACCAAGTAGAGGCCCGATACCCGAGCCAGTAGCAATGACAACGATCCGGTTGAAGCAAGTCGCAATGCGCATGACACCACAGGTCGGGACGCCGCGAACCCAAATATGGGTGGGAGGCTTCTGGATGCAGTTCTTGGTCCAATCGCCGGCATTAGACACAACCAAAGAGAATCCCTTCTCGCGATGCTCGACCTTCTCAGGGGCCGGAATCGTGGCGAACGAGTGCCACTCCAGAAGAGGTCTCTGAGAGAGCCTGACGAAGCTGCCGTTGACGGGAACCGTGTAGTCAAAGTGCAGTCTGACGGCGTGGTCGGAAAGAACTTCGGCTTCGACGGGGACTTTCCTGAGGAATAGCCAAGAGGAGGCAATGCTCACCGTGGCAACCGCCAGCATCCAAAATCCGGGCGTTCGAATGCATGCGGCGCCCAGAGACATCTCTGCGACCTCGCTGTCGTTGGCGCCGAGGACAACCTGGACCCAGAAAAGACCCAGCATAGTCCATCCGACGAAGCGATGAGTCTTTTCGAAGAGATCGTGATGGGTTTTACGGAACCCAGGCCAGGCGAGACCAATGGTGATGGTGAAGAGACCCGTAAGGAGCCAAGACACGACCTTTGAAGCGACGGACTGGTGGCCCCAGTTGGGGCACTCGGTAAGCTGGCAGACCTCGTCGCTGATGTTGGATGCCAAAAGCCAAGCCCCGGCAGAGACAGCAGCGCCCGAGTGAACACCGCCAAAGTGGAAGATCTTAGCGCAGCGCTTCCTGATGGCAAGGGGCCAAGACTTTGGCACGTTGCAAGTGATTGTGTAAAACGCGTTGATGACGAAGTCCTGACGGGCGAGAACGGCGACGACCAGGTTGATGGCTGTGAGAGTGCTGAGCCAGTTGCGCTGGAACCCGGCAAAGACGAGGGCGATGACGGCCGCAACGTTGAAGAGGCCCACGATGGTGAAGAGACGGCGGTAGACAATGGCGATACGGTGGACGAAACCACGGTAGGGACGGCCGAGGTTCTTGTCGGGGACGTCGCCGGTGAGGTCGAGCTTCTCGTCCACCTCGGTGAAGCTGGAGGCGGAGGACTCGGCCTTGAGGTCTGTGGTGGTAGAGTTGCTGTCCATGGACAAGGACTCCTTTGAGGCGGTCTCTCTGATGGTGACATCGGCGACTTCCTTCTTGTCGGTATCACCAGACTCAGTGACCATGTCCTGGAGCGCCCGCTTGTCGACTTTACCATTGGCGGTCAGGGGAAGGGCATCAAGGAAGTGAAACTTGGTCGGGATCGCGTAGTAAGGCTGGCGAGCCCTGACATGCACTTGGATTGCGTCGAGATCGCAGTCCTTGGGTGCGACGAATCCATGGATATCATTGCTGATGAACAGGGCGGTGGCCTTTGACACGATGGGACAAGAGCTGATTGAAGAGGTAACTCCGTCAAGTTCGACCCGGAACCCCTAAGCATACTGTGTTAGCAAACCTATTTGGGATGTGAGAGGGTGGGGCTGAGACTCACTTTGATCTTGATCTGATCATCAACTCTTCCAAGGATATCGATGGAGCCGTCTGGTCTCCAACGACCAAGGTCGCCAGTGTCGTACATCATAGACCTACATGAGCGTTAGTACATAGAATGAAGCGGCCCAGTGCATTACACTCACCCGTCATTGGCAAAAGGATCCAGCTTGTATTTCTCGGCAGTCTTCTCAGGCAGAGACACGTAACCCCGAGAGATTCCGTGACCACCGGCCCACATAACTCCGGCCTCTCCAACACCGAGAGAGTTGCTCTGCGAGTCAAGGACATAGACAGTGTTGTTCGGGGTAGGCTTTCCAATTGTCAGAGCTTCACCGGGACGGTGAAGATGCATAGTGTTGACAATGGTGGTCTCCGTAGGCCCGCAGCAGTTGTAGTAGGTTGCGTGGGTGGCCCAAAGGTCGGCAAGCCTATAGAGTCCATCGTCAGTATAACTATGGTATTACCATGGTAACTTCAAGAGTGCAATGGAGGTCTCACCTCTGAGAGCTAGGTTCACCTGCTGTCGCAGCAACTCTGATGTTGGAGTACTCCCGAGGGTCATACTTGGCCAAGATACTTGGTGTGCAAATCAAGACTTGAGCCTATGTATGTGTTAGTCTTCCATTGACGGATGTCAAGTAGTTGTTGTCTTACCTCTCTCAGGCACGGCTCCCACTTTGAACCTCTCAAGACAAGAGTTCCTCCGTTGCAGAGACATCCCAGCATCTCCCAGGCAGCTATCGAGAAGTCAGTCTAAGTGGATCGGTGTCTTGACAATGGAAACCCACCCATATCAAAGCTGATGTTCAACACCTGACTCACCCGCGTCCCAGGTGAGATACCCAGACCACCAGGTGAAAGGCATACGAGGTTAGTCACATTTTTGTGGGTGACATCCACCCCTTTTGGAGTGCCCGTAGTTCCTACAGAGCCGAAGGATTAGTTCAGTTGTCTCCTCAACTCTGAATGGACGAAGACGTGATCGCTTACCCGAAGTGTAGATGACGTAGCAGCCATGGTCTGGCTTGGCCAAGTCCTGGATGGGGTAGGATTGCGAAACCTCCTTATCTTTCTCCAAGTCTTCATCAATGACAAAGGTCTGGCAGGGAACACCGAGGGTCTCGAATCGGTGCTTTGTTGATTTGAGACATAAGACATGCTTGCCGCCCGCCTGTTCGAGAACGAACCGCAGTGTTGAATCTGGCACCACACCGCCGTCGAGTGGAACGTACTGAGCACCGCAAGAGAGAATCGCAACGATACCGATCAGCATATCGATGCCTCGCTTTACGACAAGCGGCACCCTGTCTCCAGGCTTGACCCCGAGTGTGGTCAGTTTCCTTGAGAGCTGGTTGGCTCGAGTAGCAAGATCACCGTAGGTGATCTCACGAATCTGCTGCGGCGACAAGTCACGCCCTGCGGTGACATCAGGATGAGTCTCTGCATGATGATAGAATGCGGCCGTAACGGTGGGATAGCTGGACTTGATTCGTTCGCCTTGGGTGAAGGATAGAGGGGCTGACCCAACCGGAGTTGAGGCCGAGTCTTGAACGATAGTGTTCTGCATGGCTGCGGGACTAAAATAGACTGGAGGAGGGAATTGGCAAGGATAAATTCCAAATGAGAGCCAAATAAAGACCAGACTATTCCAAATCCTAATAGATCTGAAGGAGTAAATGCTCCTGTTGCTTGTCGACTCGTCACCATGTTGGCGAGCGCTCGAGACTTTAAATATCTTCGCAGCCTCCTTTGGCCCCCCTCGACAACCTCTATCCCCAATCCCCTGACAACGCAAGTTCTCATCCTCCTTCCTGGACCGGACGCAAGAGGAAAATCTCTCACCATCACGTACATCCGTGTTGAGTTGCATCACACCCAAGGCCATCCACCAGGGTTATTGCGTGAATTCTCCCACTGATGGCCAGCAGATGTCTTCGAACTCCACCCGAGCTACATCGAGAGGTTCGGACTGACACATCAAAATCCTCCTTCCGCGTTGAGAAGACCTCGCAGCCATCTTGAGAAAGAAACCATGTCCTTGTCAGGACGGCGGGTGAATTTGACCGCCGACTCTCAAACAGGAAAGTTGTCGGGGCAGACATGCGCATACTTCCATTCATCCATCCATCCATCACATCACATCCAAGCATCGATAACATCCTCACCAAGGTGTATCAACCAAGTTGGCAGAGTCCTGCAACTTGCTGCAAGGCCCCACCTCACAACTCGTGGGACCTAGGTGCGGTGCCTCATGCAAGCACTTTCAACCTAGTTGCAAGCTGCCGCGTCAATCTTTACAACCAAGTCCAAGTCCACAAATGACATCGGTCCAACGCCCACGGCCCGGCCAGCAGAGTGGGTCCTCGACTGCCGGTGGGCGGGGTGGAACTTGGTTGTCACGATTAACTACCTTCTCGGCCGAGCTTAGGAACATCTGGCCGCCGCAATACATGACCGCAAACGAAAGCAACGCAGCGTTTCATCGCCTGCTGGCTACCGACATAAAGGCACTAATCACTGATCAATCATTGCTGATCGTCCAGTCGGTCGCGAGCAATGGCTTTTGGGGCCTGATTATCTGCTGCGGCGCAGCGGGGAGCTCGGGATCGACTCGGAGGATCGTCGAGGTTTCAAGGATCGAGTCCTTGGAAAACGAAACCACAAGACACGGCTGCAGACTCCTCTGTCTGAGGCCTTGTGACCGGCGAACGTGTTCTTCTCCTCCTCCAGGTCCAGTCTTTGCGCAAAAGACTCTGGCAACGGGCTAGGCTTCATCAGTGAGTGGAGGGAGGATCTTGTCCCCAGAAGGTCCAGATCGAGATGGATCCAGGATGGCTGCGACGCAATCTAATCAATCTCTACGAGTGGATTCAAGTGGTGTGATTTTCTGCCCCCGCGATCCGTGGGCAGCAACTGGGCCAAGCCTCGAAAAGTTGTTGTTGCTGGCTGGCCTCTCTCTTTGAACCGGTCCCCGGTGCAACCTATGGGGCCGGGCGACCGTGGGGGATGATTTAGACGCGGACAGGGCGATTCCGTTTGCACTGCGACGTTCCGGAACTATCCCTTGTTCAGAAGCTCTATATGCCGATGCAACCTCACGTCACTCAGCCGAACGCAACCAAGCGACCTATCGAGAGGGCCCAAGAGGTGGCCAAGACGCGGGAAGCACATCATACAACCACCAGAAGACGCGGTTCCCCTTCTTCGCGCCTAAATTCTGAAGGTCCATGTCACATGTGAGCGAGGCACAGCTGTTCAAACCCAGAAATTGGCAGCTTTTCGGGAAGCTGCTTGTGGATGACAGATGCTGATGTAAAACCCTACAGGCATAGCTCCTAACCGGTTTTTCTCGACCTTTTTGGACGCTTTCTTCTTCCATATTACTCGGAAAAAGATAACATCGAACTAAGCGAAAAGAGCGCAGAGCGGGTGATCACATTGCAGTTGCCGCAACGAGCCATCTCCTCCGAGCCGCTGCCGCTGTCTGCATCGGAAGCCCGACCATAGTGGGGTCACGGAGCTGGGGGTGGGCCGGCGAACCAGGACTGGATTCCTCAAGGTTGCTGGTTTTGAACTTTCGGAGAAACTTCACGCGCGCGCGGCAGATCAGGAGACATTGCAGGGCTTCTGGAGTTGGCCTACAACGTTGTCCTGCACTTTGTCAAGTTTTCGTCAGCATCTTCAAGGGCCGTTTACCGCGGGAATCTATTGCGATCTTGGCCTCAGGAAGCCCTGTGACGTTAATTCCGAGTCATTTTCGAACGGGCGGGATGGGTTGTGACGTCGCTCCGTCAGCTCCCCTGGTCTCGACTACAACCGATGTCGGACATTTTCTCACTCGATGTGGCTGGGATGTTTTTCTTGCTTCTCTATAACGCGTCAAAGGGTTGTATGGCCTGCAACTGTAGCAAAAGCCGCAATACGCCAAGTCGGCGACATTGTCCGAGTATCAGAGGCACGAGGACCGGTCAGCGTACCTTGGCATGCTAGAGGTTATGTCGGACTTCGGAGCGTGGTTCGCTCGAAGTTAATCGGTCAGCGACTAGATTTAAGCAGAAATAGCAACTCTAACCTGCCCATGCACACCTTGTTTGAACTTCCCATGAACATCACATGCTGGTCGCGATAGCATCAAGTTGGTGTTTTGTGTGGTGGTCGCAGAGGCCAAACTTTTGGCCCACTTGGCACGCAAAAGGACATTTAAACATTGCGCGCTTGTCGGATTCGCATCAATGAACGTCATTTGCGGCATGATTGCAGTGTGAAGTACCGATCTTGTCTTACCCTCCTGCCGAATCTAGCAGCTGTTTGTCTGTGTCGTGCATAAGCCTCGGAGCTATCCGCAATGTTACAGAACAAACTTGCCACTGCTTGCATACGTCGCGGAATGTGGCAAACCATGGAGTATCTACCTTCGCCTTCACGGAACTTGAATATGGAGAATCTGGAGCTCGAAATAAAGTCCGAGGACCTTTTGCTGATCTTCCAGAACAGTGCAACGGTGCCTGACATATGTGTACACCTAACCAAAGGGGTGTAGCGGCAGTCCGTTGATCGCGCCTAGCAGTTTTTGGTCACATACGCATGGCCAGGAAATGAAACAGAAATCCGTGCATTATCAAGACTTAGGCTTTGTGTCATATTCGATATCAACAGCTACGAAGTCTGGAATCAACCTTCTACTCCAGGACATGCTGCCAAAGTGGGCAGGAACTCCAGTAACCTGTGCGACTGGCGTGGCGAGGAAAGAATAATTTGTCATGATACCGCAACCCTCAAAGACACCAATGTGGGTAGATTCCAAAGTAGTAAACATTCAGATTTTCCAAGTACAGCAGCTGCCAATTCCTGAGGAACCTTTGATAAGTCGTGAAGTGGTTCTACAGGTGTTTCAAGTTTTGAGATCGGCCTTTTGTTCCCAATGCGACACCAGGGCATTGTGAGCAGAAAAGCAGATTGATATCGATATCTGGTCCAAAGACTGGGACTCAAACAAAGGCATTCAAAGATCTCAGGCGCTCTTTCCCAGGCAGCAAACGAAACCATGGACAAAAGAGGAACAGGCGGTACAGTTCGGATGAAATTGGCGCCGCCCAGGCAGGCATCATGTCTCTTGTCTACCTTAACCCTCTCATCTATTCTGTGACAAGTCAACGATTTCCATTGTTCCCCACAATCCAACGCAGAAAGTGAAGACATCTTCAATAAACCACCAACCAGACGCAATGGTATAAACATGGAGGAAACAGTCCCCACTGCAACTCTCGCTCCCTCCGTATTCCATCGCTGCAGACAGCCCCATCTCATCAAACGCCACATCCGAGTCCCGAAGAAGAAGTACTCTCGCTACTACCAATCCAGAATATTCCCAAAACAGGAAAGTCACATTCTTCTCCCGATAGCATCTCGAGATAGCACCCCTAGCATCAGCATGTCGCGTTCCAGCTCCGGCAAGGTCAGCGCTTCCTCGGGCTCCGCGGCCAACCTGAACCCATCCGCTCAGCCCTTCACCCCCACGCGTCTCGACAGTTCTCCTACCAGTACTCCAGTTGATCACGGTAAGTGTATGCACATGTTGGCCAAATACGGACATCTAAATCCTCCTCCTCCTCACATGAGAGGTTTCGTTCCCCCGCGATTTCACGTGCCAGCCCCACCCCCACCGTTTGGCCACGTCGATCAGCATCCCGGATCTTCACATGGACATGGTGCCATCCCATCATCTTCATCGCAACATAACGCTAACGCCCAAATCGCAGGCGATCTTGCCTACCACCAGGCCAAAGCCGTTGAGGCTGCAAACATGGCGGCAGCTCAAGGTATGTCTCATCCTGGCTACGATCCTACCCACCCTGTTCAGCCTCCATTCCCATCTCACCCATTCTACGGTCCTTCCCCTTACGGCGCGACTCATGCGGCTCATGCAGGCCCGATGCCTCCTTCTCATCCCGGTCTCAACTTCCGTCCTGACAGCAATCTAGGCTCTCGGCCTCCCGGCTACGGCCCTGACGATCATCGATCTTGTCCAGTTGATCCAGCAGCAGCAGCTGGCTATTCGAACTACAATCCGTACGCTCAATACTTCCAACACACCCCTCCTGGTCCTTCTTCTACGCCAGGTTCGGCCGGTCTCTCGGCCGGTCCCTTCAACCCCCAGACCCCGCCCAACCGGTACAGCAGACCCGGCCAAGCTGACCCCACTCCGCCAGCGCATACGTTTTCCGACGATGGCGAGTTTTACCCCGGTACTGACCCTCGCCTGAAGAACCACCACCGCGCACCGAACTCACAGTGAGGAAGTTGGGAAACAAGGGGGTGGATTATCGAGCTGGAGGTTGTACCGTTGCTACGCTGTGAGGCTGCGAAAGATTCCGTTCGTTATCTCGTGGATGTCGACAAATGTTGCAGTGAAAAGGCGATGAGGTCACGTCATCGGACAGCAGAGACTCGCACTTGAGCTTGTTATCTGTCAGGTCTCAACTATGATCAATACCCTACAATTGCCTTATGGCTTATTTTCTTCACTCACACAAAACTTGGAACCTCATAACAGAGCTGCTACAAGCTTTGAGAACAGATAGCATAACTCCTGCGCGTACGCTTGAGGAACATTCTTGATGCTAGCGAGTTTGGTGGGCTTCCCAGCTCACAAGACTGCGACCATTCTCAACAATCCGAACACTTCCATCAGGTAGGCTCCAGAAGTTCCAGTAGAATGATTGGAAAGTAGGTTCATGGCATGATCCCTCCCGTTCTAGAAGATTAATGTAAATACAATACGCCTAGCCGGCTTTTGGTGAGTTGCGTAAATGGCAGAGGTGGCCTACTTAATTTGACTATTTGAGTAGAATCTATTTCTGCATACAGACAGTTTCATATGACTCGCAGCTCAAAATCAGGCTGGGCAAGAGCTACAGTCAAGTCGGGGCTGGCGCATGCCTTAAGCTAGGCGCGGTGGCAATAGCATCTGAATAATGAGTGGTCACGTGGTAGTAAACCTTACGGGAAGAGAGGAGGGCAGTTACCTGAGGATCTTCTCCTGCCCTCATTCCACCAAGTGATTTGGGAGACGTGGCCGAGTGGTTTAGGAGGCGCTAGTGGAATCCGTTCTTCCTCGAGCTGCTTGAATCAAACGCTTAAAATTTTGTCCAATTCCCTACAAAGGATCCTTTTTTTCTTTTATTTGAAGCCCCCGCCCCCGAGTCCCCCGTAAAGTCTTGGATGGAATGTTTATTTCTTGACTGGTACGTCCCACATAACGGAAATTAGCTACTTTTCGATCTTGCGCAAAATCATACTGTCTAAAAACTTAGTCCCTGGAGGTTTCGTTTGATTAACATGCATGTATGTACGGATCATGATAAATAGCTATCTGTCCACAACTGTGAAGTAATATGAAGGGTGAATATTCAAGTTAAGAACAACAAAAGGACAAAATTTACCGGGAGAAGAACAGTGTTCTGCCAGCACCGTGATCTTGGCAGATGCTCTCCATTGATTCATCAGGTCGAGCCTCAAAGGTAAGCACTATCACAACTTCACTTAGCCGCCTTTACTCTCCCAAAGTCCAGCTTCTCCCACTTCATGAAACAGCCACTGAGAAATGCAATAGCTCCCGCCGCCACAATTACGAATTGCATATCGGCAATCACACTCGCGACATCTTGAACGGCAACCGCAACCACCCGACGATCCGCAGCCGTCCAAATCTTAGAGTCGAGACCAGCCAGTGCTTCCCTAATATCATGATCGTTATATCCGAGCCCAGAAAGCGACGCGTGGAGACGATTGAAGCCGAGATTCGAAAAGACGCAACCTGCCAGGGCAAGAGTGACTGAGATACCGCCAAGCTGAACCATGATGAAGAGCGCGGTGACATCGAGACGACGGTTCGCAGGTACGGCCTGTGCCATGATGGCTACCCCGGTCTGCCACATGCATCCGGTTCCGGCACCAATGAGAGTGCTGACTCCCATCACCCGGGCCTCGGAGGTCTGAGGTGTGATCTGAGATTGGAGGCCGGCGCCGATCATTGCCAAGGCACCACCTGCCACGTAAAAGGGGGCATATCGACCGATGACTGGGATGAGGCCGGCCATGACGATTGTGAAGACGATGAAGGTGAAGATGAAGGGCAGTATGCGGACGGCAGCATCGACTGGCTCAACTCCCTTTGTGAAGGCGAAGAACAATGGTGTGTAGTACAAGGCGATTCCGTAACAGCTGCCGGCACCCATTGTTGCAAGGCCGACGAGGGCGACGGTTCGGCTCTTGAGGAGGTCGGCGGGGATCGCTCGGTGTTGCTTGCTGGTGAAGAGACAGAAGTATTGCTGCGCAAGATAGACGGCGTAGATTACACCCACAAAGACCCAGGCCACGATCGCTGAGTGAGATGACCACTCCCAAGTGGAACCGCTGAAGATGAGGGCGGAGCACAAGAGGATGAACCCGGCCATGTGCAAGACGATACCGAACCAGTCGATGGCGAGGAGACCACCGACGAGGGGTGTGTTGACGCCGACCTCGATGGGAGGCAGAGCCACGAAATTCAGGACAGCAATGAGAGCCAGGATGGGTAGGTTGAGATACATAGCCCACCTCCAAGTGGCACTTTGGTTCTCGGCAAAGGCTCCTCCGATAACAGGGCCCAGTGTCAGTCCAATTGCCCAGGAGACGGCCATGATACCCTGGACGCGAGGTAGTTCAGCTGGGGTCGTGAGAAGAACATTAACCAAGATACAGCTACGTCACATCGTCAGCTAATATTAGATGCCCAAGTACACGTCACTTACAGCTGGTAGATTCCAGCGCCTCCGACTCCTGAAACCGCGCGACCGATGATGACGGAGTTCATGCTTGTGGCGGAACCAGACACTGCCGCACCGATGAGAAAGATCAAGGTGTAGGCGACTATTTGCAACTTCACGTGTCCCAATAGCGCCAGCTTGCGGACGAGAGGAACCATGCAGACTTGAGTTGCCGTGTAACCCGTCGCAACCCACGGCAGAAGATGAACCTGGCCGAAGGCTTCGTAGATCGGGGGTTGGATGTTCGCAATGTTACTGACATCGTATCCTAGATGTTGACGGTAGACATTAGCTGGTGTTTGGAGTCTTTGTGAACTTAGAAGAGAGGGGTGTTCTCACCAAGCAGCATGCCTCCAAGGAAGAAGGCAGACTGTATGCATGGCCAGCGCCATGCCGCCACGCCATCTCTAGGATGCTTGCTCTGTGACGCTCCATCGACGACTTCCTTGGTCTCTGGGAGGACGGTGCCCGTGTACGTGCTCCCTCGCTCGACGTCACTCCCAGACGTGGGCTTTGTGTCTGTCTCCATAGCTTCAAGGCAACCTTGTGTGAGGTACCTATGTATTGTCGTCTGAGTTGCGTGTAAGAGGACCAAAGCCAAGCCACAGAAGGAAGTTGTGAGATAGTGAGAACGAAATTGTTGCAGTGTCTAAAGAGGAGAGAGAAGATCTAAAGGTAACGAGGCGCAGTCTTCTGCATATAAGTATAGCACTCCCCCGTCGGAGAATTGGCATCTGCCTGGGCAAGGCAAGGACGTGCCGTATCTCTGCTTTGCCTTCGGACGGAAATGGCGGCGCCACACCCATTCAATTCTTGCCGCCCGCCCTCTGCGCCGCTGCGGCATGCAGTTTGCTTCAGCCCGCCCCCGGGACGGGCCCCCAATTGCAACCGCGTTCCAGCATTCAACATATTGTCTCCCAGCATCAAAGTCGCAGTGAATTTCTATTTAGGTTGAGTTACCAGGGTGGCCGACCACAAAAGCCGTGTGACGAGATCGAGCAAACAACCAAATGCGGCAGAAAGCCCGAATCACAAACGGCGGTAACAGAGTTGGAACCAACCAAGAAAATTGACGTGCTGTTGATATTCCGGTGCTGCGCCGCACTTTGTTTTGCATCCAACAACGGAAAGATATACCCACAGGCAAATACTTTCTTTCGATCGAGATGAGCGGTCAACAATGCTTAAGTGAAATGCGGGATTGTCGTTAGTACTTCGTACAGCCTGATTTGGTTATCGCAAAGAGCCCAACACATCATTCCGTAAAACACCAATTAAGCTTCAAATGAAGTTGACAGGTTCTCACGTCAGCCCCGCGACCCAATCTACTAGTATAACGTCCACCCATCTTTTCAAACTTTGACGTGTCGATAGGGCCACGGAAGGAACCTCGTAGTGCCGGTTGTGGTAAGATTGACCTTCCTTAGCGGCCGCAACGCCCGGCTTCCGACCGCGTGTCCACCTTGGTTGGACCGCTATGCCGGAAGGAATCCATGCAGTGAGATGCAGCCGGGGAGTTGTTGGCCCCCTTCGACTTCAGCGAATTGTAGGGGCCGTCAGGTTGGATGTGTGCTATTCTAATCTCGCTGGTCGTCTCATGTCGGGCGGCTGAACAGCCTTGGCAGAGGCAGAGTTAGACTCCCGACGGCAATAAGTCAACCTACCCACTTTTCGCCACCCCAAAAGTGCCTCCCAGCTGTTACGACCTGTAAGGGGCTGGCCCCTAGGCTTGTTCAACGTAGAGGTGCCGTCGATTGACTATTCTAAGCTGAAGAGGAAAAAGGAGGAATTACAAGGATACGCGTATAGCTATAGTATCCCATCGAGTGCGGATTAACGTCAAAAACGCCAAGGCCGGAACTACCCACTCTTGTATCCACTCTTACTCCGCACTTCAATGAGTACATGACGAAACATCATTTAAACCTTTGTTTTCTTCCTTACTGTCACCACTAATATCATCATTTTGTTTAATGCCGCGATGTCTTCCAGCGATTCCTATGCCTCCGGGGCTTCCGGGGCTTCCGTACGGAGCTATATTATGGTTGAGCTCCTTCCTGAAGACCTCGCCGTCGCTTGCACTGCCGATTGTACGCCGGAGCGGTACGATAACAGTACAGTCCGGCCCCACGAACCCCCGGCCGTTGAACGCGGGCGGCCGGGCACCTTCAGACCCTTTGACGTACCGGCCCGGGGCCGAGGGATACGGGACCTACCGGCAGCCCCGCTTGACCTATTTCTCCAGTATGTCCCCCGGGACCTTGTTGAGCAGTGGGCGCAATGGACGAATACGGCGCCGTTATTTAAGGAAGGCCCCCTGTTACGCCCGCCGCAACTTGTCACTGTGGGCGCGTAGCTATATAATGCAGAACAAGGGAAAATGATGCGGAGTCATCATTATCGAAGCTTTTGCTTTGTGCCACAGTTGGTTGCCTTGTCCTGCTCGTAACACTGGAATTTACTTGAAAGGTATTACGTATTACGATTACGCATTCACTTACGTATATGCTTATTAATTATGATATAATTAATAAGCAATGGAATATTCTAGTCGGAGGATCTTATGCCTATATAAGAGCATCTTTTTACCTACTTAGACCTTTCGTTAAGTAAGCAACTTCTCATATAGTAATCTAACTATATACTCTCTTTACATCTATCAACCTCTTTTATATACGCTTAACTACCCCCATATTCATATATTCTTGCTTCTATATGAATATTCACTATTTAATACTCTCGTATAAGAATCTTATCACTTACCTCTTAAAGCTATCGTGCCAGAATAATAGGTAGATGATAGACGATATTACCTGTTACGGCCAGCTAGTCGTAGGGGTAGTTTGCAGAAGTTGAGGCTGCGGAACTGGTAACAGTAATCGTAGTCGGGGATAGCTTCAGGGAAGCTATGTCTGTCAATCGTAAGGGTAGGTAAGGCTTCGGTGATCAATCGTAGTCTTGTCAAGGTAGTAGCTGAAAGCGGATGTTAATCCTGATACGAAGTTAATTGCTGAAGAGCTATGGAAGTCTGTCCTAGAGTCCAGCTCAAGTCCATCCTTATATACAAGTCCTGATCCTGAACATGTCCCTTGTCCCTTGGGTCGTCTTGGGTCATTCTGATCCAGAATGATCGTTTAGCCCCCAAGTCGTGTTGGATCATATTGATCCCAAATGATCCTTATCTTATCATCACGTGACTTGTACCATAGTTCTTCCGTTCCGTGAGAGGGTGCCTTGTGTCCCCTTGTCCTGTGCATGTATGGCGTATCGTAACCGTCGTAAGCCTGCGGGGCAGGCCCTGTTCTTGGTCGTGCATGTTGGGTCGTAACATATAAGCTACCCTTTATTAAACTTACTAATATTCCCTAGCCCTAACTAGTTATTAATAATATATATTATTAATTATTTAACTCTTAAATAGATTAGTTGGTAAGCTTAATTAGTACTTAAGATTAACTATTTATAAAGCTTAATATAGACCATAACACTTAATAATTACTATTTAAAAAGATAAAAAAAAGCTTTAGCAAAAAGGACTACTTATTAGCTATATTAGAGTATAGAAACCGTTAGCTCTAGGCCCGAATTAATTATATAGCTCTAAGAAGGAAAGTTCGTAAATATTAGGGATATAAAGAGAGCTTAAGAGAACGCTAGCGACCGTCTCGTTAGTCTTAGTCGACTTATAAGAATCGAATTACTTAGTGAGGGCAGTGACTATATTGTAGTGGTAGTGAAAGGTAGTTAATTAATTGACTGGAAGTTGATGGTGATGTTTTGAGACCATGTTGATTGGGGTGGTGAAAAGTGGGTAGGTTGACTTATAGGTAGCATTGGTTGCAGCACAGGATTACATGCGCATGCCGCCCTATGGTGGCGACTATTGAGAAGCCTATGAATCGAAAAACAATGATGGCCATTTATTCGCTTGAACCGCCTCTATTCGTCGACGCTGTGTTGGCTCTAATTCAATCTATCTGGAAAGTCAGGCCAGTCAGGGGAACATGGACGATACAAGCAAGGTAGGATACGAAGGAATTCCTTGGACCCCAACCTCTCCGAGCCAAATCGGACGCGATTCTGATTCTAATGCAACATCACGACCTCAAACCCACGTCTTGAAATTAGAAGATCGAAGTAAGCCATAGTGGCTATTTCTTTCTACCTTAAGGTACTGAAAGCAAGCACACGTAGTTGAGTACTTAGGGTATGTATCACAAGTCTTTAATTAGCATGCCCTGTACAAAGACACCGGCGCAAGTACCCACATTCGGCTCCGAGTCCGAGGCCCGCTCCATCGGACGGCGTTCCAGGATCTTCAGTACCTTCGCAACCCCAACAAAAACCACGACAAAGACTCGAATTAGGGCGAAATCCTTCATTTACGAACAACAAAAGGAGAAACAAAAGATTTTGTGCCCAGAGGCGGATTCGAACCGCCGTCAACACGGATCGCTGTATAGAAGAACCACAACGTATCATCCTAACCAACTAGACGATCTGGGCTACGGGTACTAGGGCTGTGAACCCTTGGTTGACGGGGCAGCTCGGGAGCGGCCCTATCAATGGCTCCAGTGGGCCTCGGCAACATGTCGGCCATCAATACCGGCCGAAATGATACCGGATACCCTTTTTGAAATGGGACTTTGCTTGAAGATACCGTTGTGTAATGTTCGATTCAATCTTCTCATCATTGGTGACGGTTGTGGAGGATTCAGCGGTGGCTCGTGGGCATGGTCTCAGGCTGCATCAAAGCTCGTAGTTGCTTTCAAATTCGCACTTGGAAATGGCGAAGTGGCTTGAGCCCAGGTGCAGATTTTACTCTGACGATTACTTGCGCTTAGTCTCCTCTAACAATAATATATTCGAATGTTCCACAAGCGGGCTGAAGCGCACATGAAGACCCGCGTGTAAGAAGACACACAAGGAATGCTCATTACGGTCAAGTCGCCCATGTCGCTTGAGCCACCCCATGATCCTTTACCTCGAGTAGCCATGCTTTGTCCTAGGCAAAGCAAATGTTTCCAAACTTGAAATCATATGATTGAAGGGACAAGAAAGTTGTTCTCATTGTCATTCGAGTCAATGGACAATGAACTGGGTACTTCTTGTCACTTGAAAGCAACGAGAACACTATTCAAGACAAACTGCTGTCATACTGTATTTAAAATAACAAGAAGTTAGGCAAGAAAGCGTCTTCTCGGAGCATCTCGATCATCTCAGCTTTCCTTGCTACATTGCTTAGGCCTCCAACATCAACATTGGTACTTAACCACCACGGCGTTTGTAGCAGTATTACCTCGTAAGTCAATTGCACCCTCACAACACTAACAGCATTTTCAGTGGAGACCAAGATGCCCTGCGGTACTCCCGGACACCCTGGTAAGAGATGGGCAGCGCCTCCAAGCCCGGATCATCCACGAAAGAGGCCAAACACCCGTTCATCGACCTGCCCATCACCCCATAGCCCGGCAACAGACATCTTGTCGATCTACCGCAGAGGCCCATACGCCCCTCAAGGAGGTATCCCAGCAGTTGGCACTCAAACCCAGCCGGTCCCTGAGTTTCTTCAACTCAACCCTCTTCAACCGAATCGGCCCTCGAGCGGCTTCTCAGTCACCCTCCCTCCTCTCAGATCCATCATCGGCGACAACTTCCAGTGTCCTGATGTTCAAGCATGCCGGAAATGCCCCCAATGCGCTGAGACTCTCCTAGGCCCGGAACCCATCGGCACCAACGGCCAGCCCGTTCCTACCGTATGCGAGAACTGCAAGCAGAGCAATATCAGGGAGCAAGTCCTCCGCAACATCGCCGCCGAGGCCCTCCTCCTGCTCAGCACCAGTGTCGTTCCGATTCGCGACAACACAGACGAGGCACCAGCGGCCCCCGTCAGCCCTCCGAAGCAAGATAATAGTCACAGGCTCTCCCAAGAATACCAAAACTTCCAGCCCCAGAGACCGTTTCTCTGCGTCCGCTGTAAGAGACCAGGTGTGCCATGTGCCCCCGGACGAAGACGTTGTGCAGAGTGCATCTGCATTCTCGTCGCCTTTGGCCCAGACGATGGTGCCGGTCCCCAAGAAGGTAATAGTCAACCCAACCCGTTCAGAAACATCCCTCTCTCGTCGCAAACCCTCACTCGGCCGCCAGCCCTGTGTGATGTCTGCCACGCCAAAAACGTGCCCGCGGGCACGAAGCGCTGCGAGGGATGCACTGCCCCAGATACCCCAAACACACCGCTGACAGCTTTCTTTACCGCGCAGGGAATTTGTGTCATCTGTGAGCATAATCACGTAGTACAGGGTAAGTCCCACTGGAGAAAATGTCTCTTCGAGGGAACGACGAGCGCCGAGCCTTTACAGGCCCTCCAGAGCCTCCCGGCGGCGGAGATCATGCAGTGCACTGGTTGCGGCCACCAGGTCCATCGGACCCCCGAGGGCTACTGCCGCGAATGTCGAGATAACCTGTCAAGCAGCAGCGGAACTCAGTCCCAGGGCGAGGCGATGGATGTCGACGAAAAAGAGGTGGAGGATGACGACGACAAGCCCTCGGAGCCAGTGTCCTCCCTAGGTACCATGTTGAGGAAAAAGTGCGGTTGCCAGAAGAACTTTGCACCGCTAGGTAGAATGCTGTGCCCAGATTGCCTGGCTGCTAGGGAGATGGTAGGATATTCGGGAAATTGGACTGCATGGAAGAGGACGCATTGGCCAAGACTGCACCCCGATCGGAAAAAGAAGAAGCATTGAGCCTGATGTAAGTGGATGGCTCGAGCGAGGTGTATTGGTCAGAGTTGTGGTGGCCCATATCGCTGAAACCTGTGCAGCTCTGGTAAGAAAAAGCGATGCGTCGTTTGCTTTGATTGCTGCTGAAGGAGTAGTGAAGAAATATTAGGGGAGAGGATAGAAGTGCCTAAGGTAAGGGATAGATAACTCAAAATGAAGCATTGTGCTGGCTGGATCCGGCCATGTACGACCACATGGACAGAGTCAAACTCGCGAGGAGTTGTTATGAACGTGTCCAGACACTTGGCTGAAGAAACTTGACTTGTTTGTATGCTGAACCCCAGAGCTTTTGATTACATACGCCATCATCCCCCAAACTATGAGCCAAGGTATCAGACAGAAAGACTCTGCCACATCCTCGCCTAGTCTATGTACCGTTGGCACGTCTTCCGCCACGTTTACTCCTGTCAATGTGACCCTGCAGCACCTTCTTCGTCTGCACCAAACTCCTCTTGTTCTTGTACTTGGCCTTGTTCAGCGTCATCATGAAGTTCTTCTGGCGCGCCTTCTCCTTGTTCGTCGAACTCTTGCCCTCGGCCTCCTTCTTCGACCGGCGGATGGCCTGCGTCGACTTGTGCTCTTCGCGGCCCGGCTTGCCTTCACTGGCCATCGCGACTCTCTCCTCCTTGGTCGTCTTGCGCAGCCTGGCGGGCGCCTCAATCTGCTCAGCCGTGAGGCCATCGTCGGCATGGCGGGCCAGAGCCTTTTCAAGCTCCTTTGAACGCTTCGTGTTCTTGCCCAGTGTCTTATTGAGACTGGCCTCCATACGCAGCTCCTGGAGCTTCGCGAGGTCGGCAGGCGTGAGAATAGTGGTCGTGGCGAGTTTTTGTATCCGCTCGAGTTCGTCGGCGTCGTCTTCCTCGTCTTCCTCCTCGGAGTCCGATCCGTCCTCTGCTGTCCTGCGCTTCTTCGGCGCAGGCTCATTATCCTCATCATCCGAGTGGTCAACGTTGATCCAGCCGCCCGAGTCGTCGCTGTCGTCAGAGTCCACTTCCCAGTCCTCAGACTTGTAGCCATCCTCGTCCTCGTCTTCGTCCTTGTCGGCGCCGTCTTCAGGCAAGCCCTTGGCGGCTCGCTTGAGCTTGCGCTGCTCCTCCTTGTATCTTGCCAACAGTTCGATACCCTCAATGCCACCAACTGCCTCCTCGCCGAATCTCTTCGTCTTGATCTCTCCGCTTCTGAGACCCATGGACGCGTCCTTGCCTCGGTCCTTCCTCTGCAGCAGATCAGCGCCAACCTCTCTGTATAGCGACAGGAGACCCTTGGCCGCCATCATCGTTCCCTTGTCTTTGCTCTTTCTGTATTGCACAAGATCTTGCAACAGTGTGTCGGTCATGGCCAGGGGCTGTCTGACGCAGATTTCACGGATAGCATTCAGACCAGCAGCAGCGACTTCGGCCGCGGCGGCTTCTGAGACGAATTCGTTGGCAATCTTCTGAATGAGAGGCTCCACCGCATCAGGGGGGACCAGGCTATGCGTTCCCTGAGCCAGAGAAGCCAGGTAAGAAGTGACAGACTCTTGGCGGGGCGTGAGGAACTTGATGAACCACGAGTACAGGCTGATGATAGTCAACTTATGAAGACCAACCAGTCGTGTAACCAGCTGCAGAATGAGGAGCTTGTTCTCCTGGGAAAATTTTGTCTTGGTGTTTTGCAGGTGCTTCTGGAACACCGTCTCGGCAAAGCCTTGAGGGTCGTGCAGGAGGTGGAAGGCGGAGAAGTTGAGCGGGTGAGGCTTGCCCTTGCCGCGCTCCTGCTTGTGAATCTTGGCAACGGCCTTCTTGTAAGCGTTTTTCTGCTTGTTCGATTTCTTGTTAATGCCGATCTGATGCTTCATCTTTTGCAAATCAATCTGCTCTTCGTCGCTGCTGTCGTCCTCCAACTCCTCACGCTCCTTGTCGCCACCGAGGAAGAACCGAACGGAACCAACGACAACCTTTTCGTTGTCGGAAAGGGCCGCCTCTTTCATAACGTCGACCGTCTTGGCATCGGTCCAGATTTGTCGCTTCCACAGCTCACGGGTCAGCTTGACAGCCCAAACACCTTTCGGTGATGTGCGATCGGCCGTGATGAGGTTGTACAGGACGGTCTGGATCGTGCGGTTGAGGGGGTGGTTCGTCGCCTTGGAGTTCGCATTGCGCATCTCGGTAAGGATCTTGCCGAACAAGAGCGTTCGCAGCGTCTTGCTGGGCGAGGAAACGAGGATGGGGAATAACGTCGTGAGGTAGTACGTTGAGTCGATGACGTCCTTCTTGCGGAGGAGCGCCAAACTTCCGACAATCTTCTCGCGCAGCTCGGGGTGCAGGACTTCGTGGTGCTGCAGCAGGATCGCCTTCAGGTCGTCGGGGAACGCGACGGCATGCTTCGGGTACAGGTCGACGGTGTGCGCGAGGAGATCGACGAGGTTATGGAAGGACTCGGTGTACTCTCTCGTCGCTGTCGTCGGTGAGACGAGGAAGACCTCGCGCTGACTCTCGTACTGGCCCCATTGTTGGAGGAAGTTCTCTTCGTACGACTTGGGGTCGCGGCGGATCTTGTACTGAAGGCCGGCGCTGTGCTAATTAGCAATTGAGCATTTCGGGCAGATCGCGCGTAACTTACAAGTCGACATCGACCTTCTCGAGGGCGGTGACCTTGCGCTTTCCCATGGTTGCTGTTTTCGCGGTTGGAGTCGACGGGTTGATCGGTGTCTGAGCGACGGCGGGGGACTTGGCCGTCAAAAATCTCGACGTCGGCAACTTTTTTCGCTTATCGCTATCTTATCGGATGCCATCAGCTTATCGCCCGGCGTTGAGAACCAAATTCGTGGGCCCGCCGAGCACCCGTCTCCAATCAGAGGCAAGCACCCAGGTACCTGTCTCCCTTTTCCTTTTGACATCTCAAGAGTACTTATTTGAGAGTGCCAATTCTCACGATCAAAGACTAAGGCAAAAGGCAACTTGGGTTGAGAAAGGATATAGTAATTTTGGGATCCTTTGGACTGAGTCTTGATGTACAGTAAGAATGGTGGTATTGGGGATACCCGGGACAGCAGGGAAAACTACATGTACGATCCGTCCTCCAACATCAACATCCCGCACCACAGGGGGAGCACCTTGTTATGTTTCGCCCCACTGCGCCCCAGTCAATGCCAAACTTCTCAGACTCATAATTGTCACTCAACAGGCGACTACTTGAAGTGCTTGGTAGCCTGTAAATAGTATCACAGAGATGCTCTTGCCAGCTTGGATCATCGTGCCAAAGTTTATCTCTTGTTGAAGACGACCAGAGCTGCGGCGACGTCTGCAAGCCAAGTTTTAGTAATGCGAAGACGTGCTGATGACAAATTCTTGGTGTGAATATTGGTTTATCTCGCCTTTCGAATTGCTTTCCGGTGTATTCTGATCTCTGGAAAGTAGAAAGCAGTCAAGGTGCAGCCAGTATCAAATGCAATAGCTATCAGAGTCACAGTGACAAAGTCCCGATAGTGCTCAGGTGCTAAAAGGCACAGCCTTGGGGCCAGAATGTACGCCAGCACCCCCTCTTCATTAGTTAGCTTATGACCTCTTCGTGGATTGTCGCAATTTGATGGCTGGGACGTATCAGAGAGCTTGGAAATGTCTGACCCGGTAGTTCGCCACACTTCTTGAGGCAACCAGAACTATTGCTGCCTACCTTTGATTTTTTTTTGGGCTTCTATGTGATCAAAAGGCCCATGCAGGCCGGGCGCTGTACCTTGTATGCTTGTGCAGGCGATACACAGAGGCGACCGTCAGCCTATCAAATCTTGGTGTTACACAACTTCATCACTTTAGCACTGGCCGTCCCGCATTATTCTCGCAGCATTGGCTGGCAGTGGCACCTCTTGATCAGCCTTGGCAAAGACCAGGCGACCAATACTTCGTCACTCATAATCTGCCATGTAGCAGAAGTCCCCATCGGCTCTTCTCATCAGGCTGTAAACTTCTTAGTGCCGTTCGCACCAAAGTTCTGCAGCTCCAAACCCTACACATATAATACCTAAGTTGAGGTGTGAAACCCAAAAACATCTGGCGTTCAGCGTCCTCCTTCAACAACGCCGCCACAGTACTTGCTATCCTTACGTTACTTCCACTGAATCTATATAGTATCGGCTTATCTTTTGCTTGCTCATAGATATCGGCCAATGTGCCATCGCCATGTCTTCCATCAAGTGGGAAAGTTGGAACGATGAGATCATCCAACTCTACGTCACTGAAGATAGATCTGCGGTGGACACAATCAGGACTTTGAATCAGAAACATAAGTTGAGAATAACGTATGTAAAACAATGTGTTTACTGTGCAAAACGTTCCATACCCAGGGTCTAAGGTTGGAGAAGTATTAAGCAGTTCAAAAAGCGATATTCAGGCATGAAAAAGGTGCGCGCCAATGAATGGAGAGCCATCAAACGAGAGATACAGAAGCAGAAAGCCGCAGGCAAGGAATGTCTGATCTTTCTTAATGGGCGTCAGCTTGCCCCGGAACGGGTTGCCAGAGAGATGCGTCGATATAGCGGCAATCGCGGTCAAGATCTAGAGGATGGCAGTGTCCCGTGAGTAGCCTATATTAAAACCTAACTCGTCATTGTTTGAGCGTCACATCTCTAAGACACACTAGACATCGGTATTGATACCACAGACCAGCATCGGGTAGAACTGCGCACAAAGGACCTCTCAGAGAGCGATATCTCGGCAGGCGTCGGATCGAGCGTTGCACGACTTGGTTCGTCATCAGATGCCACTTGTGTCATAAAATCTCATGGCACAAACTCAGCAAATATTGATTCTGTAGAGGAGATCTTCCTCGATATCGACGGGAACGACCTAGAAATGAGCATCCGATTGGAGAACGAATCTCCGGATCTGCAAACCATGCAGAGCATCCTTCGCACGCGTAGTGATCAAGCAGGTGTGCACGGCAATAGTGAGAATACGACATCACTCATGAATCAGCGACCGTTTCCAACGCCTGAATTCTTCATGCCTGGCTACGGCTTTCCTAATCCAAGCATGGTGCCGAAGTTTCGTTTCAGGATACCAGCTCGCTTCTCGAAGATGTTGCATAGTATGGCGCGGGATGTTTCTCGTACGTAATGGCCAGAACACCATAACATACTGTACTTACTGCCACTGGAACTTCGCTGACGACCGCCGCAGAACTGAATCACTTCATGAACTCTCTCAAAGGGGACATCAATAGTCTTGCCTCTAATTTCAACCAAGTCCAGTGGTCAGCCTGGCTGGAGACACGACATTCTCGCTGTGGCTGGACAGCTCTGGCGAGTTTTGATACTTCTCTACACCTCATGAGGCCGATCTACTCAATTGCAGAGGGAATTTCTCTCTAGCCACGATGTCCGGAGATGTCTTAAGAACGCGGATACAATGAATTGCCACGTTGCTATCTGCCAAGATCAGCGTTTGCTGGATTTGTTTTTTGCCGTTGTTCTATATCTGATCTGCAACAATATCGCAGGGGGCCAAGCAATACCACCATTTCTCCAATGGGTGACTGAAATGAATGTACTGGATCATTTTGCAACCTATTTGAAGATTAATTCAGGTGACCCCGACGCCTTCTTAGAGGCAGCTATACGACGACTCCAACTCGGCCTGGATCATGACACCGACTCATCTACATCGCACTCTTCTCAATCCTCATGGTGGGAGCAGCTGATTGAATTTTTCGACAATGAGGGACTGGGATTTTCCAAAGAATTGTCCTCTCTTCTCCTTCATGCTATAGCAAGAACCCAAGCAGTCTCGTCGGCAAGGATCTTGCTTGCCAATGGAGCTGATATCAATGTTACAGCACCCATCAGACATGAATATTACAAAAGATCTAGGGCTTCTCGATCCTCTGACTTCTCTTTGGGACCCCCACTGTTTCAAGCTATATACTCTGATCAATTCGACATGGCAAAATTCCTCATCAAAGCAGGATCGGATATCAACCGTTGCTACAATGAGAGAGCCTCGACATCATGATTCTACTCGTGCGAGCTGGTTCACACGTCCCCGATCAAATTCTCGATTATCTTCAAATCGAATTTAAAGGGATTTCTACAATACTCTATACTCTTCTAGCAGCCCGCATGCCAACGACACCAATCCTTGGAGCTTCCGCCTTGGAGAATGCAGTCGAAGACGAGAACCTGTCTCTCTGCAGTCTCCTTCTTGATCACAAGGCTCCTCTAAACTACCATGGGCGCAGCGGAATGACCTGTTTACAACGAGCGGCACGCGAAAACGACTTACTCCTAACACGTTTCCTCTTTGAACATGGCGCGGATGTTAACTTCGCTGCTCATGAGGATGGAGGACGTACGGCGCTGCAGAGTGCTGTCGAATATAATGCGACCCCAGTTGTAGAATTTCTCCTCAGTGTTGGAGCAGATATCAGGGCTGCTCCGGCGAAGAGGAATGGGGTCACCGTGCTTGAAGCCTTGGCCAAGTCTTATACCAGTATTTTGAACTTTTGTGAAGTGAGGCTTGACGCACCGAGGTATGTCAACATGGAAGATATACTCTCGAAGTTGGGTCGTTTCCGAAATTGGGTGGCCAAGGGTGCGCCCATCAACCGCCCAAACGGAGAGGACGGCAAGCTACTACACTACTTCGTCCTGAACTTCAATCATGCGTGCCTGGAAGAAGCATTGGTCTTAGGGGCAAAAACAGACGCCAGATGCCACGAAGGTCAGGATGAAGAAGACTGTGAAGGTTGGAACTGAACCAAGACCCCTCTTCAACTTGCCGCGTACTTGGATGAAGTGGAAGCTGCTCGCTTATTACTTAAGCATAAGGCAGACATCAACGCGCCTCCGAGCGGTGCCTACGGCAGAACCGCATTGCAAGAAGCGACTTGTAATACCAGAGGACAGTGTGGCCATGAAATGATGCAGCTTCTGCTTTCCTTCGGCGCAGATGTTAATGCGCCACCTGCAAGGGAAGGCGGCATCACGGCCTTACAGGGGGCGGCAATCAGTGGCAATCTGGGGGCTGCCAAGATGCTGCTGGAGCGAGGAGCAGATATCAACGCCCCTGCCGCAGCTGAGGACGGGAGGACGGCGATTGAGGGAGCTGCCGAGCACGGCCGCCTGGATATGGTTCAATATCTGCTTGATAATGGCGCTAAAGGGGATCCTGAGACTGGGTTCTCCAAGGCCATTGATCTGGCAGAGGCAGAAGTCCATTTCAGGATTGCAAAGGTTCTGCGGGCGCATGTTGAGACTCCGGCGTACCCGGAGCTGGCTTACGGAGAGAATAGCGATGTAATTGCTACTGGACCTCCTCCAGGTTTTGTAATATCGGACGAGACCTTGAATCATTTTGATTTCGGGTTCATGGAGTAATAAAGGGACTTGGCGGGTAAGGGCATAAATATTCTAAAGTAGTCAAGTCGTTGAAAGTAGGAGGTAAGAAGGCAACATGCACAGCTTCTCTCACACACTTACTTCGAGGTACTTTCCCGAGAGGCTGTACGAAGTCATTTTCAAAAGATAAAAGCCACAAATGAGTGGAATCCATTTCTCGTCACCAGCTCTAATAAGCTGGCCACCTGACTCTCACTACATCTCCATATACAATCTCCCCAATTCCAAACTCGTCCAACACCCCACGTCTATATACCACCCTCTCTTCTGAAAAAGACTGACTGACTGGCTGGCTGATGTGAAGAATCATTCAATGCATGTGCGTTGCGTAAACAGTACGTGGGTGTGATATCGTAACACTTTACTTCATTCCTTCTTCTCCTTCCTTCCTAGCCGCTTCGTTTCACATTTCCTCTTTGACTCTTCTTAAACATCCTAGCCCGTTCATCTCTTTCACAGCTCGTCCCGTTCATTCTCATCCATAACCTCCATGTGCTCCAGCTCAGTCTCTTCATTCACATCGACATGTGCTTGTTCATCAACGATGTCGTGCTCCACGTCCTCTACGACGGGCAATGCTGTCTCAGTGGCTGGCTCCTTCATGTCGGACTCAGCTTCGTCTACAGACTCTTCGACTGGTGACACAGTCTCAAAGGCCGATGGTTCTTCGGTCTCGGATGCGTCCTCCGCAGCGAGGGTTTCAGCAACATCGTCTTCAACGGAGCCCTCCTCAGCTTGGACCGTGGCCTCAGCGCCAGTCTCAGCCTCGGCCTCAACCTCGTCAACCTCAGCTGCGACGCTCGCAGTAGGCTGAACCCTAACGACCTCCGTCTCAGTAACAACAGCCTTGACCGTCTCCGTCACAGTCTCAATGATACGCACCAACTCTCTGGTAGTAATCGTCTCATGAACCGGAGTAGGCGAAGGAGCCCTGACTTCTTCGGAAGAAGAAGAAGGCGAGGCAGTCACAGAAGTCTCTTGCTCCACAGCAGAAGTCTGCTCAGTGGCTGAAGTAGACGTACTCTCAACATCCTCAACGCTCGCATCAGACTCAGACTCAGACTCGGACTCAGACAGGAAAACCTCCCCTGTTGGCTCAGGTGCATCAACCTCAGGCGCATCAAGCTCCGGCGTAGGCTGAACAACAACCTCCACCAGGACCTCAGACGCCGTCACAGACTCCACAACAGCCTCGATACTCTCCATCAACGGCGCCTGCGAAGCAGGAACCTCAGCTACCACAGGCGCAGCATGATCGACAAACTGCCCATCCCAATCCTTCACCTCCCTGGGCGCAGGCCTAATCGCCATGAACAGCACAAGCAAACTCATAACCACAATAGCGAGCTTCTTCTTATCCTGCATAAACACCCGCGCAGCCTCAAGAAGTAACTCCCCGAGCCCCGCGTTCTGGAAGGGTTGTTGGCGCTGGTGGTGCTGGGCGTAGGCTTCCTCTGGCGGGGGCGGAGACTGGTGATGTTGGTGGTGTTGTTGCTCTTGATGGTACTGAGGTTGTTGAGGTTCCGCTTCGGGTTGCTGTTGCTGTTGTGGGGGAGGAGGGAACCGAGCCGAGTACGCGTCGTGGTGTGATGACGCGGGTCGAGATTCGGAGGCCGGCTCGTGGTGCTCTGGTTCAGGCGCCGGAGGGTGTCCGTAGATCTCTCGCATGCGCGCCTCGTCGCGGAGACGGCGTTCCTCGCTTGGGTCGTAGCGGGGCATCGGCTCTGGGGATGGGGGCCGGATTTCTTCTTCCGCGGGGGGAGGTGATGAGATTGGGACGTGGGCCTCGCTTTCGATGTAATTCGGCTCTAGGAGGTTGGTCTCCTCGATATGCGACTCTTCGTGCAGAGGTTCCTCCAGATCAGGCAAATCGCGGTCAAAGTCCGACATACCGCGCTCCTCGGGCATATCTCGCCCCTCAGTTGACTCGAGGATGGTAGGATCGTGCTTCACCAGCGACAACTGCTGCGACTGCGCGATAACGAGACGCTCCAGCTCATCCAGCACAGCCGACTCGACAATGGGTTCAATCTCAACATCGACACGCTCCATCTCCTTCCAGCACGCAGCCCAGGCGCCGGTCCTCATAAGGCCGTTGCTAGCGTACACCTTGATGCGGAAGATCTTGCCGGGACCGAGGGACTCGTAGCGGATCTCGTGACGGCACGTCTGACACCAGTGAGTCTTTACAAGCGCGCTCTTGCGCCTGGATTCTTCCTCGTACTCGTCCTCGTCGCTGTCCATGTCCTCGCCGAGCGTCATCTCGTTGGACGGGCCAATGTAATGCCCGCACTCGAGAACGCGGGCCCTCCGGCGAAGAGGGAGGTCGAGGGCTTCCAGCAAGCGCTCTTCGAGGATCTCGTAGTCGTCTTGAGGGTGGGAGAGGAGGATACCGCGCTCGCAGACGGTATCTGCCACGCGGTCATGGAGGTGGTGCCAGGCTTCGCGGAGCGTCTTTGCTTCCGGGGAGAGGGTCTCGGAGGACGTCTGTTCCAGGATCTCGGCCCACTGCCAGCGGAGCGGGAGGAGCGTGACGTGCAGGAGAACGAGCGGAGCGGGCTCCTTTTTAGGGTTGAAGCGGGTGGGTGTCTTGCGCCCCTTGGGGGAGTATTGGGCGGACACGTTGGGGCTGCCGAGGCGGGAGATGGTCGGCACCTGGGAGCGTTTGCTCGATCGCGGCGAGTAGGAGCCGGTCACGGAGGGCGCGGGAGATGAGTATTGCAGAGCCCGGACGTCGGAGGGGGAGCGGAAGGGCATCCGGGGCGCGCCGCGGATGGTCGGGACGAAGTCTTCCTTGTCGTAGTAGGACATCTCGGACACGGAGACGTCGTCGGACATGCGGGAGAATCTCTTGGAGGAGCGGTTGCTTGTGTCCTTGTGATGATCGACGTTGCCGTCAAAGGAACCGAGTGAGCTGCGCGGGCTGCGGTCGCTGAAGACGTCTGAGTCGCCGTGCTGGGAGGAGCTGTCGCCGCCGTCCTCGGTATGGGTAGGTCGACGGTGTGCGTCGCTTTCTCGACGGCTGGTTCGTGATTGAGTGTTGTAGGATTCCCGACGACTTGCCCGAGATTCCGTATTGTAAGACTCGCGGCGGCGGCTGGCGCGGGAGTCGGTGTTGTAGGATTCACGGCGCGTGCTAACATCGTAGTGTAGCTCTGTGCCGTTGTTCGTAGATCCCGTGGAATCATGGCGAGAGTGTGATCTGTTTCTCATGGTCTCCATGGTCTGAGCCTCGAGTCGCTCGAGAACCTCCTTGGCGGCAGCTTGAATGAGAGCTTCGGTGCGGCCGGAAGCGCGGCGGAGAGAGGATGAAGAGCGGCTGGCTTCCTGAACGGCGGCAGGCTCATCATGATCCTCACCGGCGTCTTCAACGGCAGGAGCTGGCGTTGGGGTCTCATCGGAGTCTGTCTGGGCCATGTTGAGTGAGTCTGCGACTTGCTCTGTCAGTTGGCTCGTTGTGATTTCGGCCGTGGGGCCGAGTGACCTCCCCCTTTCGACTTCTTCGACTTCAGGTTCAGGTTCTGTGGCGGGTGTAGGTTCTTTCTCGGCCTCAGCCTCGACTTCGACTTCTACTTCGGGTTCGGACTCTGCATCAGCCTCTGGCTCAGCTTCTGGCTCGGGCTCCGGCAGAGAAGCATCTTCTTTGTCCTCCTCAATCTGAAGCTCAGGTTCCGTCGGAGGCGTTGTTTCTTCCGCAGGTTCCTCAGCCTCAACAACAGCTTCGGGTTCGGCCTCAAGCTCTGGTTCAGGCGCCGACTCTTCTAGCTTAGTCTCGTCCACAGCCGCTGATCCGGGGGTATCCTCCGAGGTAGCCTCTTCAGATTCGACCTCCAGCTTTGAAGGCTCCTCCTCAGGTATTTCTTTGGTATCGGTATTCGCAGACGAATCTGCTGGTGTTGTGCCGGGTTCTTCTGCCGTTGTTGCTTCCGGCTTATCCTCTTCAGTGGTATGTGCGTCTTCCGAGGCAGGTTCTGTCTCTTCAACCTTGGCCTCGGGCTCTTCAGAAGCAGCTTCTTCCGCAGGCTTAATCTCCTCAGCCTCCTCGACTGTTGTCTCGGCTTCCTTCTCTGGAGTATCCTCATCATCAGCCTCGGCAGCAGCCGCCTCGGCCGTCGTCGAGTCTTCCTCCTTATCGTGTTCCTTCACATCATCCACCTCAGTCTTTGACTCCTCAACCACAACCGCAGGAGTCTCGTCCTCGACATCATGTATATCCCCCACCGTCTTCACCTCCTCGGCCTTGGCAGCAGCAGCAGCGGGGACCTCGTCGTCCATGAGTTCGGGCTCGGCAGCTTCGTGCGCGGGTGTCGTCAAGCAAGACTGATCAACATGGATCTCAAAGTCGAGATCCTCGGGTTTCGTCCCGGATCGTAGCATCTATCTCTCTCTCTCTCTCTCTCTCTCTCTCGCAGAGTAGACAGACAAGAGCAACCCCCAATCCAGAGGAAGATAGGTCGACCGTAGACGGGACGGGAAGGAAGCAAGCAAGCGGTAAGCTGGATAAAAGCGGGCTTTCAAGAATGCAGTGAATTGGGTTGGGATAATCCTCCTTTGCTCTTTAGAGAGTAGAAAGCAGAGACACAACGTCGAGAATGTGAGGAAGTGTGGGGGTGGTACCCTATAATTCCAGTCTGTTTATGAATCCCCCGGTTCGGGACGGGTCGAGGGAGCAACCGGTTTGGAGGTGTGGTTCGTTTTGGGCGGTTTGGGTGAAAAATTGTGGTGCTCTTTCCAAGGTGGGCCTTGGTTCTGAAGATGAGAGTTTCCCAGTGTTGAATTTGAACTTGTTTCTGGACATACGGAGTAGACAGAGTGAGGAAGAGGGAGAGATGTTTGGCTAATATGTGATGCTTCGTTGTCTACCGGTGGTTGGTCGAACTATTTCAAGTGGGCTTCTTCCTTTTTGGCGCCGGTTGGGCATCATCAGATGGGGAAGCACGAAAAAAAAGCTGCGGTGAGAGTGAGGCGCGTTCAGTCTACAGAGTCGGGATAGGCCCAGGGTGCATCCTGCATTTGCCTTTGCATTGACAAGTGACGGGAGTGGCTGGCGCATCGACGGGGGGCTGCGTTGCGTGAACTCATCTGTTTTGTTTACTCCCGTTGCCGGGTCGAATCACCGGGGGGGGGGTTTAGTGGGTGGACGGTCACTGGTGACGGGGTGGGGGTGGAAATTTGACCCGCTTGTTTTTTTCCCAGCCCAACCATCTTCTTTTCGCCCAATTGGGTTCTTCGCCTCAATGTTCTGGACACAATGGAAAGTCTTGAATTCGGATGGTTGGGGGAGGATACCTCATGTATGAATATGCAGTGTCCATGTCGTTTCTTCGTGATGTGCTTCTATTTCCCATCTGTTGTGTTCTTGTTGTCAACTGACCTCGATGAATGAGTTCTTGGACTCTTTACCGGCAACTTCCTCGACGGCCCTTGATTTGACACCAGGACGTCGTCGCCTTCTCGCACAGCCTATTTGACGTCATCTATCAAAGCCCGATAAGTATATGAGTACGGAGTAGATAGTTCTCCCATCAACGGGAAAGCCCAGACTCTCCATTTTGAAAGGTACCTGTCTCCAGGGGGTCAAAATGTCGGTGACCGCGTCTGATACCGTCTGAGCCACCCGGATTCTCCATCCGGCCTTCCCATCCTATCCGCATTTTCTCTCGTGTTGCTCTCCTCCTCCCGTTGTGGCGGCATGGCATGGGGCCCAGTTGCCGGGCCGCTTTGACGGACGAAAGACAATCCAACTATCTGTAGTAATCTGTACTCTGCGACTAGTGAATTTTGGAAATGAATGCTTTGACGATCGTGACAGCTTAGTTCCGATCTTCTTGCTGGCTGTTGAAATGACATGTTTGGATTTCGTCAAGTGGCTTGAGAGAATTGTCGTTTACTCGATCACCAAGCTAAACATCTATCCTATAATACACCATCAGTCACAACATCAAGTCACAGCATAGAGAAAATCATCTGAGAGGTACAAACTCCCGGTCTATGATTGCAAACTACAAAGCGACTATTATACAACCCTCCGGCGGGCCAAGCCATCTTTTCGTCTATCATGCTCTATGCCTTCTATGATAGGCAGTTGCTGAAAAGATTTCCCAAGTCCCCCCACCCCCTCCAAGGAGTCTTGCTGAACAGATGAAAACAAGAAGGGTTTGCCCAGGCCCGATGTTGTAGTGACCTCAGCGTTTTTCTTTCTTTCGTGTAAAAAAGAGAAATTTCTAATGCAGAGAAGCAATGCTGCTTGCTGCTGTGAGAGGATATCATAAAATGTGGTTCCCCGCCGTTTAGTGTTTCATTCCTGGGTTATACAATCCTGGGTCCAGGGTGATGAAGAGGGGGGACGAAGGAGACATCTCTGTCCTCATCCAGAAACCAGCACCATTCTTCTTCATCTTCTTTGCCAACCATCATCATCTTCTCACCTCGTCTCTCCGGTTCGTCAAGTCGTTGTTTATTTGGAGATCTCGACACCGCCGGTGGCACCGAGGGCCTTCTTGAGATCACCGTAGATGGCGAACTGACCGGCAGTGAGGGTACCGACCATGAAGAGACGGGCACCGATACCGGTGTAGGAGCCGCGGATACCGAGCTCCTTGGCGATCTTGATGAGACGGGAGGTGGTGCCTTCACCGGGGAGACCCTTGGACTTGTTGATCTTGGAGAGCATGGTGTCGGCGGGCTGGGAGACGATAGCGGCGGCGAAACCGGCCATGAGACCGGAGCCGAGGTTGACAGCGGTCTGGGCACCGTCGGAGAGGGTGTTCTTGGGGTACTTGCGGAAGATGGCCTCGGAGACCTTCTCGAAGACGACGAACTTGGACATGGTGTAGGGGATCCTGGAAAGTTATGAGTTTTTGATATTCTTTTTGGATGCGGTTTGGATTCAGTGTAGGACGCATCGTGTGCGCCAACAACCGAGGATAGGATGTTGTACTTACTGCTTGAACAGAATGGGTCCGAATCCGGCGTAGAAGGCACCGATACCCTCGTTCTTGAGCATCTTGCTGAAGCCACCGATGAGACCGTTGGCGTAGGTGGGCTCGGAGACGAGACGGATACGGGTGGCCTCAAGGGGGCACAGGGCAATGTCGGCGAAGAACTCGGCGGCAGCGGAGGAGGCGAGGTAGACAGCAGTGCGGTTGTTGACGGCGTTTTCGTAGCCGATCAAGTTGATGGACTGCTGCTTGAAGAACTCGTATCCACCGAACTTCAGGGAGCCCTGGAGGAAGTATCCGGCAGCGGTAGGTCCGAAGCCGGTGAGAAGAGCGCCGGCACCCTCAGACTGGATGACCTGCTTGAAGCCACCGATCATACCGCGGTTGTAGGTGGCGGGGTCAAGCTGGATTCTGGTCTTGACGCTGTGTATGCCCACGTTAGCCATCTGTGCCAATTGGATTGATACACCATTGCGGTCCGTCATTGTCGACGGCCGCGGTTGAACGGGGCTTCTCTGGCGGATTGCGGCCTTTCTCTTCAGCCCGCCAATTTGGCTTGTGAAAGAACGCGCGCACCGGCCAGGGAGAAGATTCTCCCCCCAAGCTGAGGAATCGGTAAGGGAAAACACCTACACATCGACGGGAGTGAGGGCACCGTGGGTGACGGAGCAGCAGACGGCACCGGCAAGGGCGAATCTGGAGTAGAGGGCAAGGCCGGAAAGCTGGCCAGGGGCGGCAGCGGTAGCCTTCTCGACGACGGCATCGACCTTGGCCGAGCCGGTGGAGGGAACTGAAGAGGCCATTGTGGATGTGATGTGTGAATCGAACCGGAGAAAAAAAGACAAAAGGCTGAGTGGAGAGGGACTTTTCACGAAGAGCCGCGCAACGGGATCGTGAGGTTCAAGGGGAGGAGGTGATGGTTAAAAAGGGAGAAACTTTTTTTGTTGTTGTCGAGGGACGGGAAGTCAAGGCGGCCGGGGAAAAATTGTGAGGCCTTTTTTTAGCGGCGCCGCGGCTGGGGGGGAGGAGCGAGCTAGGACCGAGACAGGCGCAATTAGGAACTTGTCCTTTGCAGCGGAAAAGATTGGCTCGGGATTACTCGGGTACCCGCGATTGCGCACCAACCATCGACGGAACAAGGGGTAAGCTCTTGTTCGGTCTCTCGGAAAAATCTTTGCGTGGCCAGCCGCTGGTCGGCCAAGGTTTAGCCGGGCGGTCTTCCCGCAGCATCGCTGTCGCTGCAGTTCAAGTTTTTTTTTTTTTCGTTTCCTTCCAACGCAGCACGCAGAAAAAAAAAAAAAAAAAAAGGTATCCACCCATCCACTTAGCGCCCTTCATTGACCCATGTGTTTGCCCGTCAGTGTCGTCAGAGCTGTCCGGGATGGCATCTGGAGATACGGATGCCTTACTTCAGCAGCCAGCTACCTTATCGCCGTTGGATGCAATTCGTGATAATTACCTAATCTTCAATCTCGATATTTCTTGGACGTTAGCAATTCCATTGCTAAACGGCACCTACCAAGTCGACGACAGCCTAAGTCCTATTCCGTACCTACATCTTACGTCCCTGAAACAACTTCGCGATGCCCGGCTTGGTGTAGATTCGACACCTGCGTCAGAGTCGCCCTCCATCATGACTCAAAATTCGCCATCTTTCCGCCCGCCATTTTGGCGGATGAGATAAGCGCTCGGGAAGCTCTCCGCCTACCTTACCTTAGAGTGACTACCTAGACTTATCCGCCAGGCATCCTTCGGCTCCGCTGCTCCGATGCCTCCGGGAAGACAGCCGGCAATCTACAGACGGAATGCACCTCCTTCCGAGGCCTAGAAATCGACTCGAGATGTGCATCAAACCAAGGACGTAAACTGCATGGCTGTGTTAAAGTGCTCCTGCGTGAACATGATGCATGGGAATTTCCGAGTATCGATGGTGTCCCCCCCACCTACGAATTCGATGAGAAACACATGCCGAAAGCTTTTGACTTCATTAAAAATATAAATTCCGAAAAAATATTACAGCTCCAAAAATGCCTATCAACAACGCTGAACATTACATGACCAAAGGCAGCACCGAATCTTAGTTCATCATCATCATCAAATGATAGGATATAACGCAAACCATAGCCTGCCGTCAAATTTTATTCCCGTTCCCACGCCTAGATTTTAGTTGCCCAAACAGATCGCAGCTCGTAATACGCTGCTTTGATTCTTTCTTCCGAGGGTATATGTAGCGTGACAGTCCAGTTCTGCGGAACATTTAGCAAGACGCGATATGATTGTGCTTCCGATTATAGCAATAAGATCCTTAGTTACGAGCCTGGATCCATATTGTTGTTTTCAAACAGACCCAATACATCTCCAGGAAGGTATTCCAACCATGGTGGCATCATTTCGTTTGGCAAACCCAACGCTCCGATGTCAATCGGGTTCTCAAAGGTAATGACATCCGTGATTGGGCCCATGCCATGCCCAAGATAGGAGTATGTCGCGTTGGCGTACGTAGGATCAAATGCAATGTGCTGCCCGTTGTGGTGCTGTTGCGATACCGCATCGTGCATATTGCCAGATGGAGAGACCGATGGCATCATTGAGTGATCATACCCTGCCGAGTTGTGTGACGAAGGTGTGAAAGACGTCGGTTGCTGCGGGTGTGAAGTTGCAGCAAGCATTGCCCCGGCATTGCGTGTAGAAGGCGAAGTGTGCTCTTCCTGGATGCCTTCAAATTGCAGATGGCCTCTTCCTTGATTAGGCGGGCTCATAGATGATGTCGACAAACGTTGCGATTGGTGAGGGCGCGACGTGTGTCGCATGGCAGAAATAACGGGTTGGGGATATGCAGTGGCAAAGATGGAATGGGGAGCTGCCTCCGGCAAGCTCTGGCGGATTGGATCATAAATCATGTTCCCAGGGGGTGTAGGTGCAGATGTGGGAATGTTGGACTGATGAGGTTGCGTGGTGCCGTGATGGCCAGACTGAGTAGCATGCATGTTCTGGTACATGAGCGTGAGGCTGGAATTTGGTGAATTTGTCGTACCCGTAAGAGACCAAGCTATTGGCGGCAAATTGGGCGTTGATGGATGCGGGAAACGCCCGCCGATTGAGCCTCGCCTAGGTAGTCGGGCGCTCTCGTACTCCTCGTTGGTGTACGTCTCGCAATCCCATATCCCCTTTGACTTCTGATCAAGCGCCGTCAGGATGTACTTGACGCCACCCCAGTATTTATGCAATTGCTGGAGGCTCTTGTAGCATCGAGAGTAATTCTGGTTGGCAGCTGATGCTAGGAGAGAGTGCTTTGTAGACATCCTTTGCTCATGCGAGGATGGCTTCTGTCTCTGACCCTCCATCTTTGGTTCATTTGGTGGGGATGTTTCTCTCGATGTGGGGTTTGATGCGTTTGCAATAGACTCCATGAGGAAAGCGCACGCAGCGATGTACATGGGCTGGGACGTGAACGGGTTTCCTATGAAGCTCTTGGGGTCGATGAGTTCTGCAAAGGCGAGAATATCGGCAATCGTTTTGGCGCTAGACATGGAAAGCTCGCGGCTGTTAGGAAGAAGCTGATGCGTGCTCCTTAATGAGCCAAATGGCGTGAGCAGAGTAGGTTGGTGCAGGATAATGATGAGCGCATGGAACCAGAAGTGAAGAAGAATGAAGTTCGTTCCCTGTCCCAGTTTCAAGTACGTCTTGAAGTTAGAGACGCTGAAGTGTAGCCGGGGATCTTGCTTTTGGTAGAGCTTCGTTAGCTCATGCTCCATCCGCGAAAGCTTTGCCCACTTCTCCGATGTAAGGTCGTTTGCGTTGCGGATGTTGTTCAAGACGTCGGATACACGGCCGTAAAGGTGGATAATCTGGATGAAGACGGGGAAAGGGGCAGGCCAACCCGATGCCGGGTCGAGAGTCGACACTGGCAGAGCCAACTCAAAGTCATCGTCACGAATAGTCACTGGTCTGCCAGTTCCAGAAGATATCACTCTGTCTAGAACGAAGACTGCCCAGAACGTGTCAGTCCGTTCTTGTTCAACTTCGAGCTGTTCTTCGCGGGTGAGACCATTATCGTCCTCTTGGGGACCTTCGGTCGCTCCCGCATCACTGCTTGCTTGGTCTCCGTGGCGAGTATACCAAGGGTCTCTTTCTCCTTGATATATAACGCCGACCATCTTCTGCAAGCCCAGGTCAACAGCCATGCGGATGGCCAGACCCAAGTACATCCACAAAGCACTGTCTTGATCCGCTCCAAAACCTTCGTATGCCATCATCAAAAGCGCCTGGACAGCACCTACTGATGGGCAAGGAAAGGTGTCGACAGTGGCAGCCTTTGCTCTGTGGGCATAGAACTGGCCTTGCTCTGCATGGGACGCCTCTTCATCTTTGCTGTGCCCGAGTTGTGACGAGTCGGAGAAACGAGCAGCCAACGCGCACACAGCATCGACAAGAATAGGCTCGACGCGTTTCTCTTTGACCATACGGACGAAGTTGTCCTCCTTCAGAAAGGGGTAGTTGCAGCCCAAATGTAAGAAGAAGATTTTGACCAGGTGTAGAACGAGAGGGTGGACTGGCGCAGTATCGTTGGGGTCGTAAACAGGCAGATCCTCGTCGGCAACAGCAGCCTCCTCATGCTGAGGTATGCCTGACAGAGCCATCCCCATGGACTGAACTACACTAGAACCCGAGCTGGGAGATGTAGCACCGATAGAGCCGCCAGTGCTTCGCCTGCGGTCACGTACAGACACCACCATCTGCTTGTACCCGGGAACGATGGCCGTTGGCCCGAAGTAGCGAAAGTATGGCACCCTGTGGCGCTCGGTATGGTGCGAGATAGGGGAGCGGCTCTGCGTACTGCGCGCATCGTCGGAGAAGGATGTTGTGCGAGGATGTAAAGGTCGTCCGGGTCGAGAGCTCTGGTCTTGGTCACGAGAGCTATGTTCTGACGAACGTCGCAAGAAGGTCGGCAAGTGGCCTGCGTTGGCGTCGGTGATGCTCTCGGGCGGTTGTTCGCTTTCCGATTGGAGCCCAGAGAGACGCCGACTGCTAGCTGTATTTTTTCCATGTTTCCCCTTGTCGTGGTTTACCCCTTCTTCTTCCCGAATGTGTTCGTCCTCGTCTTCGTCTTCCTCTCCGTCGTCGTCCTCGTCACGGTGGGGATCTCGGGTGGCGATGGCGCCACTTGAAGTTTTCTTCTCAATCACTTCATTGTACCCCAAGCAGGTATGCCCGTTCTTGGCGCAAGTCGAGCAGCTGGGGCGCTCGCCGGCGCATCTCGTCTTTCGTTTGCGGCAGGTCAGGCATCTGGCGAAGCCCGAGTCAGGTTAGCTTCTGCATGCGAGAAACGATTCATGGGCGGTGACATGCAGCAGCTGTGCGAGCAAGGCTGCAACACAAGAAGAACTAGGGGAGAGAAAGCAAAGGAGTAAACTCACGCGGCGTTGATCCTGCGTCTTTTTGATGGCGGATGGCCTTGGTTTGTGACGAAGCGGATCTGCTTGGGCGCGGGGGTCGCTCCGTTGACGATGGAGGTCATGGCGCGCAAGGTGAAGGAACCTCTCAATAGCGACGCAGCATGATGCTGCGCTGCAGTGGGCGGAGAATGACTGGAAGGGTCAGAGAGGGGGGGACCAAACCAGCAAAGACATTATTACTGCGTACCTTAGTGACAGAACAGCAGCGGGCGCAGCAAGCAAAGCAGCGGCGAGTGATCCACGTTGGGTCTCCGAGTCAGGTCAGGCCTGGGTGGAGATGGCAGGTATCTCCCGGCTCTCTGGGGGGGGGGGGCCAAGGGAAGTTGTAGCGGATTGCTTAAACTAGGGTGTAGCTCCCGGGGCAGAGTGCTAGGTGCGGCGTGCCTTGGGGAAAGCTTGGGTTGTGCAGGATGTGAAGGGGGTTCTGGTGGAGACGCAGTGCTGTAGCTCCAGATCCAGGCGGGTAGGGCTCAGGCTTCAGCTGAAGGATCGGGTGACGGAAGTCAAATGTATGTTGGATGGAGGTGGGACATGGCGGCGGGAAGTCTCATGGAAGAACGGAGATGTTTTGAGGGCTGTAGTCGTGCAACGTAGAAACATGGCCGTTTCATCCCGTCCCGAGGAGGGGGATAAAAAGAAAGTAGTGAGTGAGTGGTGGTGGCAACGGACGGGTTAGACCACCAACCAAGGGGGGAATGATGGGATAGGTAGGCTGGGATGGGAGGGGAAAGAAAGTAGACGGGCAGAAAGAGATCAGCACCCTTGGAAGGGCTGGTCTGGTGAGTGGTGAATGGTGACTGGGCAATGCGGCAGATGAATAGCGAAGGCAACCGAGGAAGGGGGTGACGAAGACGAGCGAGGAAGAATGAGGGGGGGGTGTTGGGGGCACTAGGGGATGAAGGCGGCCGGGAGAGGCGCAGACCGTAGTCGACGATGTTGATGCGTACGGGGTGGTGGGAGTAGGTAATGGCGTAGGTAGGTAGGTAGGTAGGGACGCTCGGCGTCGTCAATAGAACTTGCTCGTCTTGTCTTAGATTGGCATCGGAGGGCGGCGGGACGGGTTGTGAAGACGGGGGAAAGGATCGGGGGCAAAGTGGAATGGTGGGAGATGCAGGATGCAGTGTGGACTAGGGTCCTAAGGTATCCGGTCGGAGGAAGAAAAGCGGAGGGAAATCAAGACAATTAAGGCTTCCATCCATTGATTCTCGGTCAGGATACCTAAGCGTGCTAAGCTACCTTAAGTACTGATAATGAATGGAAACATATGAGAGAAATTCATCTCATTCCGAGGTACCCTGACCAAAATATCCAATCCAAGAAGGGAAGAGCGCTCTCCAAGAAAGGTTCCTGCCTCATCACATTGTACAGTGACCACCATAGACAACTGCACCTTCCTGCACTCAGCAATTCCGAAGCAATGGAAGGCACAGAAAACTGGGTCCGTCATCCGTCAAGTCGGCATCCGCATGATCATCTCTCCTTCCGCATCTTCGGGTCCATTCTTGCATCCAATTCTCAGGAAGGGTGAAGTGAGCGCATTGCCAATGGCTGAACAATCTGCCCAAGACACAAGCCAAGCCCACCTCAGTGAAAAGCCGTCTCACTCGTGGACTCCGTAATTCAGGGAATCTCGCATAAGGTAGGCATAGCCTCGTGCGTTTGGTCAGGAAGATTACCAAGTTAAGGCCTCGTAAGTGAAGTTGAGAACTGACCAAAGTTGCCCATGCACCGTCCAAACCTAACTCTCCTCTCTAACTCTCAGGTCTCAACCTGCCCTCCACCGAGTCTCACCGCTTGCACGAGACGGACTTATCGGTGAAGAGGACGAGACTATTGGAAAGAGGCTGTCGAGAAGCTTCATCTCGGAGTGTATCGCTTCAGGCAGTTCCTCCCATGCCTACGTTGAAGCTCTTTCCTCCCCCGCCTTACTTTTGACTCTATCCGATGCGTCGGCCCGGCACTTGCCCAGATCACATCTCAGAACACGCACGTGTGAAGAACTCCCTCACGTCTCTCATGTTGCCAAGCCCATACTACCAAACGCACTCATCGAAGCTTTCGCAGCCCCCCCATCTATCAAACAACGAACCAGAATCACTCATCCCCAAGAAACCCTTGATGTGGTATCCCATCTGACCATGCATCAGAAAAGTGAGAATCCAGGCGATTTGTCTCACCTACACGAAATATCCAACCAGACTTACTCAGACTCATGCCGCTATCCCCTCCCCCCTCCTTGCCCACACACCACATACCTAGGCAATGGTGACCCGCTTTACCCCAGATCCCCGAGGCCCGCGTCAGCCCACTTGAGCCCTCGGGAACCACGGGAAGCCCGCGCAGCCTGGGTGGCACCAGTGACGGCACTATTGGAGAACAAAGACTGGGTAGGTACTCAGTAGACACGCACCTGGTCTCTTCGCCGGGAGAAGAAGCCTTATCGTGCGTATACTGGAATTCGAACTGTAAACGAGGCGCTTCAAGTAGTTGAGTAAAAGTGACTTTGATTAACGCCTACTACAAGGTGATGATATCGTAAAATCTCAGATAAACTCCATGTCCCGCAAACACACATGCCGCTCCGGCCCCTCTTGGAATACTGCTTTCTCATGTCCAACCTCAAAAGAACCGGTAGCGCCGAAACCATCGCCATGTTACCGTAGCCCCCCCCCCCCCCCCCCCGCCCCGGACCCCCATAAGAGTATTTTTTTTGTTGTAAACCACACCTCCTTGATATGCCTATCTTTGCTCATTACGTCAAATCTCATCGATGACTCCCTACTATATACGGCGGCAGGTGGTGATGCTTACGCATCCAAAGAGACATGTCATCGCGCCTCTTTACCCAAAGACAATCGTAACGCCCATGTCCTCGCTGACCCGCCTCCACAAGTCGGCTCCCTTGCCGAGCCGTTGACCGGGCGTGGACATTCCAATGGCATGGTCTTCGTACGCGGCATGGTCGTCAATCATATCTGCTCGCCTCCAAACCTCTTGCGCAATTGTCCAGGCGCGCTGAATGTTCGTCATGCCCTGCCGGCGTTCAACGGCCACAAAAGCCTGTCGGGCTAATTGCCGGTCGCTCGGGCTAATGGCTTCGCATGCTGCCACGAACAGTGGCCACAAAAGAGCCGCCATAGGTCCGGCGTGATTGACTGTGGCAGCGCAATGGCTTAGTGCCGCCTGTGTGTGATGTTGCACCAGATGGTGCCGTCTCGGGTAACCGTAGATGCTGCGATAGAGATACACAAACGCAGAGTGGCGGTAGGCGAGGGCATTGTTGAGGATCGAATGCAGACGAGCACGCTCAGAAACGACATCAGACTCATCTGAGCTCAAATCGTCCATCGTGTCAGCTGAGAAGCCCGGGGGGAAGCTCGGCTGCCACTGCTTGAGTGCGTGCTCAATTGCGTCCGAAGTGGTCTCGAATTCGGAGCGCAGAACGGCAACCTTGGTGAGCTGGCCATTGGTGATGGCTGTCTGCAGCTCGGTCTTGAGGGCGAGGAGATTTGAAAGGCGGTGGATGATAGGCCAGAGAGTTGTAGAGAAGCCGAGTAACGTATCGACAGAATTGAGAGGCGATGTGGTAGGAGAGTCAACCGGTGGGAAGGGTATGAGACAGCCTGTCGCTGGTGCGGTGGAGAGGGGAGCTGTGCCAAAGGAGAGTGCAGCAATAACGTCGTAGAATCGGAATGCCTGGTAAAGGGGTCAGCCAGAGTGCTAGACAGAGAGAGATTTGGGAAACCTACACGTTCAAGGAAGGCTGTGGTTGGGTCAGTGTTGTCACTGCTACCACTCATAATTGCAATGGCACCCTTGAGATGGCCATCGACGATATTGGACCGGCCCTGCTGCACAAGCTATTGATCGGTCAGCCAAAGGTGTCTCGACGTTTGTTGGAATCAAAAACACTTACTACTTCGTAATATACGAGCAACATGATCGTAGCCAGAAGCTCGTTCTTATTTGCTTCCCCGCCAAGCTCAATCAACCGAGCCAAGCCCTGGATGGCCTGGTTGTGGAAATATACCGCCTTTTCTTCCGTGTGACCACAGCCTCTATTCTCCAAGTGCGCACTCGCGAGCGCATAAATCGCGTTTGTGACAGTCTTGCTGCTGTGACACAGCGGTAGCACGAGCTGTTGGAATGGGTTTCCAGCTTCCGTCTCTCGCAGCACTATGAGGTGTGACATGACGTTGGTGAAGTGGTCAACTAACGCCCGTCGATTTGGCCGTTCCGAGAACTCGGAGAACGTGGGGAACAGGAACTCAAGACGCGGCGACGCCAACGGGACAGGCGCGATCATGGCCAGGTCCGGGTGGCGCTGTGCCCGTGTGACTGCAAGATTTTGAACCGCATCCTGCTGGATAGAGCGACGGCGTACAATTTCCTCATCTGCATCTTCCAGCGAAAGATTGAAAGCGACAGAATCAACCGGAGAAATCAGCGGAGCGTCATCCTTGTCATGGTGCAGGCCGAACATTTTCTTGAAGTCGTAAGCCAGCGGATCGGCGCTGTCTTCCGGCTCCTCTAGAATGGCCTCCTCCACCGCTCCATCGTCTTCGTCATCCAGAGCCTCTTCCTTCCAGCGTCTAATGGTAGCATCGGGGGCCGAGTATCGTCGAATAAGGGCGATTTCGCTCGTGAGAGATGATGAGTAGGAACCGAAACCGGCGATCGAATCACGCTTCTTGCGTTGTCGGGGCTTAACTGGTTCGTAGGAGCACTCCTGACCACGCTCGGCGCATCGAGAGCACTGCGGGCGGGATTCGTCGCATTTCTTTTTCTGCAGGCGGAAAAATTACAGTTAGAACCGTTTGACAGGTCACTTAGAGGGGCCACTGTCGTGATCCGAGGAGAGGTGATTCCTTGAAATGGGAGGCCCGTACCTTTTCTTTGCTATTCAACGAAGTCAGTTAGGAGCTTGAAACATCAAATTGAAGAGGGGGTTGTTGGGGTTGGCTCACCAATAAGTACATCCTGCATGAAGCGAATGAGTTCGTGTCAGAGATCGGCTCAAATTATGACCAGTAAAGACAAGTGTGTCATGGCGGGATAAAAGGGTGCGAGATCTGGGGCAACATCACGAAGCCATTCGAGCGGCAATAGGGAAGCGCGACCGGGTAGCGAATTGGCCCAAACGAGAACCACTTGGCTGGGGGGGGGGGGGGGCGGGAGGAAACAAAGCGGAGGCAAAGGGCAGAGTGTTTGGGCATCGACTCACCTGATCTGGATCGTCTCTTGGGAGCCTTTGGCGGGGCGAGTTTGGTATATAGCAACATGATGCTCACGAGCTGGAACCTGCGGCGCGCACAGGCATGGCGGTTCTCGAGATTGTCGGAGTTGTGTTTCTCTCAAAAGATGTGGTATATGGACGAAGTTGCCCTACACCTACATCACGCACGGAGTGAAAGGAGAAGGCCTGCCGTAAGAGTGTGTGGACCGAGGCTACTTGGCCTAGAAGACGGACGAAGACAGGCTTTCACGATGTCGGGGAGGGTCCCGCAGTAATAGGTGACGGTCGGGGCCAGCGGGCGCAAGGTGGTGCTGGTTTTGCTGGTGGTGCCTTGTGGGATGGAGGGGTGAATAAGGTAGAGTCGAGAAGCTCGTGGGGACTGGAGAATGGCGACCAAGTCTGTGTAGTGGGTATCTTCCCTCGTCTCTCTTTTTTCCCTTGCCTCCGTTCCAGCCTAACAATGCTCCTTGCCTTTTGCTTAAGAATCGATTTGTCGGTCTAGTGCCGAGGGTAAATGGGCTTTAACGAGGAAAGCTTTTCTCTCTTTCTGGGTTCTTGTTCTCGCCCTTTTTTCGACGGGGCCGCGAGCTTGGGAAGACCAGGGGCCGGGGGCCGGGGGCCGATGCGCTGAGGTGAGGACCGGATTCGTATTGTTGGTCCGTTCTCTTAGGGCGTGGGGAACGGGGAATGGAGGTGGTGCCTCTGGAGACTGGAGCAGACCGGCAAGATATGGGGAATTCGGAGAGGGCGGAGAAGAAGAAGAAGAAGAAGAAGAGTCGGAAGAGCACTCGTGCGAGTCAAGCAAGATGTCGGGCAAGAGCTAGCTCAAATAGCATTGCAAGAAAGGAGGCAGAGTCCGAGACGGCGAGAAACTTCAAGAGGCAAATGGGCAAAGGGGCTCGTTCAGCCAGGCGTTTTGGCGATTTTTCTCCAACAAAGCCCACCCCAAAAGCACCCAGAATGGGCCCAAGGTCAAGGTCGAATCCCAAGTCGCGCTGGCGTACCGAGCGAGTACCCAGCGGTGCCAGCCAGGCCCGCCGCCCAAGAGCCGGTGACGGCGGCGTCCTTCCCAATGCTGACAAGAACGCTGCCATCACGCACATCGTGACCAAGAGATCCTGGGAGGCTAAGATGTGCTAGAAGCAGAAGGGTGGAGAAATTTGCGGGGTTACAGCGGCGATTCTTGGTGCGGAGATGGGTGTCACAATCTCGGTCGACATGTCTGCAGCCCGTTGCTCCAGTCCGGTCTCGATGGTGGTGCACTGGTGTCTGTGCCTGTTCTCCGTTGGTGACAGTTGTGAAGGTGATTTTCAGTCTCTCTATCCGCGTGTGTGGTCACTGGTGGCCGTGAGGAAGACTTTCCCTGCGAGGTGTGAGCGAGAGCAACGCCTGGAGAGGGTGAGAGGTACACCACTGTAGGTACGCACACTTGTTTGGATATTGGAGTAAAGGGGGGGGGGGGGGGGGGGGGGGGGGCTGCCCCATGACAAGGTAGATGCTGGTTGGTAATAGTTTGTTAATGTGTTCGTGAGGGGATGGCATCTGAACCAGGGAGCCTTCGAGAAGTGCTGCCTCGTAGTGTCCAAGTACTCTCTCGGGCCCAGCTAAACCACGTTGAGTTGCAATGCAATGTTGCGCTGTGACGGTTCGACCACGATGCTGCCAATTTCTCTCTTCAAATTCTGTCCTGTCATAGTCTTGTCAACTCAGAGTCAGAGCTGCCATGCCGCGCCCCCGGGATTTGACTGCCATTGTGTCGAATGTCCGATGCCAGCTGCCAAAAGCGCGTCTTTTGCCAACCACCGGAAGCCGAATAGGGCAGAAATAGAACAGAATGAGAAGGTGGCATGGCATAGCGTTCTTCGTAAAGTTCGTATACGGTCATCCCAGCTAGAAAGGAAGCTAAGGCGACGCTTCTGCTGCTTCTAAGCTCCGGCTAGTCGCCGAATCTGCCACAACTGCTCCGGCTTGTGAACGGCTCTGCAGCCTTCTGCCGCATTCCTTTCGGTAGCGAGCCAGAAACGTCATGCCTCCTTGTTGACGGTCAATGGTTGCCCATCTGCGTTGCCACCATTGCCTGAGGCCTGGTGATGTTCACAACTCCCTTGCAGGTCAGGTCTTGCAGACCTCGATTGCCAGTGGACGAATACCATCGGTACCTGTGATTTGGACCCTGCAGCATCCGGCAAAGTTTAAATGGCGTAGTCGTTCAGACGGCTCGGAACTCTGAATCTTGCTGGCTTGGGCTCCGCCTAGGGCAGTGCTGTAATTGGAGACTGGCACGACTGGTTGTCTCCGTAGGGTCGCCAGGGCTGCGGCTGCGGCTGCGTTGATTAATTGGGTTGGAGAGGAATGAATCGAGTCACTTGACTCTGTTGGTCAATCCACCAATCGAGCCGAGCTGTGTCCTTCGTCAGTCTGCCAGCGGAACCGAGATGGTCACTGCTCACTTCATTTCCCATGAGCCGTAATTGTTTTGCAACAAGGGGGCCTTGAACTAACTGGCTGGCAGCCTGTATCAACTCGGACTTGAACTGTGACATTGTCGAGTACCCAATGTCATTTATCGGGGTATTACCGAGCGCATGACGGCAATCAGCGATGGCAGTTGGTCTGAATGCCGGAGACCGATTTGAGGGTGCCAAGCCCTGCATCTGTCCCCAATGACCCTGCTCCTTTTTGCCTCTTTTTTCCATTGAATGCAAGCATTTGACGAGGAACACGCTTGTGACGACACGACTCGAGCGCTATGTTAGCTCGGGACATTAGCTGTGGTTGAGACACAGACACAACCACACACGCACATACACACCCATGATCCTAGAGGCAGGCTGCCAAGTGATGAAGAAGGTTTTCTTCCCCGCATTCTCCGAGAGCTCAACCGCCGTTGATCCGTCCAAGCCATGGGGTAGCGTGCCTGGAGTCTGGAGATGACACAGACTAAGTATGGTGGTGACGGTGTTCTCGACTGCTTCCAGCCCCTTTCCAGCCGGGCAAGATTCAGAGTCCCAGACGGGCCTCGTGTCTCCGATGCTACCACATGGCGCAGGATGGGATGGGTGCCAGGCGGTAGGTGACCGAGGAGAGACGGGCTGACGGGATCCTGGGTGCGGGTTACGACGCTTGCTAGTGGCAGGATGAGGAGGTTGTCGGTGAGGGGAGCGACTTGAGCGGTCAGGGCGATCTTCTTGAACGTCTTTTCCTGCCTCAGCTCTCGCGATTGCTTGGTATGCCTTGAGGGGGCAGAAGACAAAGTCGCCATGTCCAGCAAGGCGGAAGTCTCGATTCCCGTATTTGAGCTGTACCAAGATGTATCTTGTTGTTGCAAGTCTCCAAAGGGACGGTGGTAGGTATGTACTTTGCTAGTGCCTGTAATTTGGTATAACCTGGCAGTGTATTGCATTCTTCGAGACTGAAAAGTTGCCGTTTCCCGTGCCCTGTCAGGCACTATTTACTTTTTTGTACGAAGTATCCGTATGGGGTACGGATACACACCAAGCACAGGGCAGAGTTTGGCTCGTCTCTTTGGCGAAAGACAGAAGCGAAGATGAAGGATGAGACGAGTCCGGGGAAGGTCTCCCAAAGCAGAACTTGTAGCGGTTGATCAGCGGAGCGTCCTGTCGATATTCTGGGGCCTCTGGAAGGGAGCGTCGGGCTGCGGGCAACCGGCGGGAGCATCCAGCGTGAATGAGTGCGTCTCTACGGCACCCCCATGTTCCCTCTACGGCCACCCACTAGCAGGGTTTATAAGTAAAAAAAACCATACAAAATTCGGCCGTGCATACTTGGATAGTAGACCACTTCCCCACCACCCAAAGCTATCCATACTAACATTTACACGTAAATATGAAGTTTTAGAAATAAATCTTTTTAAATTCGAATAAAATCGTTAAAAATATATATATACAAAAACTAGATAAAATTAGAGAAAATAAAAGGAGAAGTAGGCTTCTATTTGGCCGGTTAGGATTAGGGATTAGGTACGGTTAGGGTCCGGGTTACTGAGACTGGGCAAAGAGCAAAGAGCAAAAGTTCTGCCCTCTTTTTCGCCATTCTTCCGTCGATATTGCTATGGAGTTGTTCCTTGCCAAGGGCTGGGACTTGGTCCTTGTTAGGTAAGGGGAGGAGAAGTGTTATTCCTGGGTTTGCCTTTTATCACGAGAGTCTATCCGCACGATTTTGCAGATCCTAGCCTGAGGCTGCCAAGAAGTCTGGTGGTGGGAGGCAAGCACGGTGAAATTGCCCGTCCTCGCTCCTTCTGTTGTCACGGCTGTCTGGCACCAACGAACCAATCGACACTGCAGGTGCATGAAGATCAAACATTGTGGAAAGTGCGAGCAATACAAACGGGAAGCACACGTGGAAGGGAAGTCCGCACCTGCATTCGTGCGGCGTGTCAGCTGCTCTTTCCTGCTCTTTGGGTGTCACTGATCAGTACCTCACTCCGTTTGCCTCAGGCAAATGGGTACCTTAGCCAGAGTGCCACAGATCGAGGTAGGCGTTGTGACTTTTGCTGTGTGCCTGCCGTGCCTATGCCTTGTCCACGCCTTCCTCGCTCGTTCCCATCGGTGATCACGCCGATCCTCTCCCCCTTCTACGTTCAGTGCAGGCACGCAGTTTATGTTCTTTCCATTGGAACTTAGACCATCTGCCATCGTCCGTACGGAAAGACCAGGGATGGGTTTTTCTTCCATTCTCCACCGCTACTGCCATGCCGTTGTGCCTGAAATGATTTATTAATAGTCAGCGAGTACGTACCTCCTCCGGCACCGACCTGACCGTGCCTTGCGTGCCGGCGCGAAAGAACTCAAGCCAAGCAATTTGCCTTCTGCATCTTCATTGCCGCGAAGACGGGAGCAAACAATGCACCATTTCGAATATCAGTCTCTCTCAAATCCGTTCACGGACAGGAAATTCGCATCAAGCATCAGGATTTGATCCGCCGCCTGAATTCCATGGTGCTCCCTTATACCAGGCAGTCGTCATGCCGTTTTCTTCATGCCACCACATATCCCGTAAATCTGCTTCGGTTCATGTTCTGAAAACTCGGTGGGCTTCTGATCAAACGATATCACACCTCCAAATAACAAAGTTTTCATCTGATGAAGAAAATAGATCCGAGTGGATGGTTCGCTCGTTTGCAACTTTCTTTTTTCATCCCATGCCCTGCATCATCCAAACACTAGGTCCGTGCTAGAGGCAGTCAACTTCAGCCGTTGCTTGCCTTGAGCAGCCACAGCTCACCTTTCTCAAGTTGAAGCAATCTGAATGTGGCGGATACCCCCGATTACGTTGCAAGTTTGCAATAGAACGTCTTCCTTCACCATCTTTTGTGCAGCCCTGGAAGCATCACAACAGCACTCGCTCGCTACCTTGGCACTGGCTTCGCTCAACGTTGGCCTTGCTTCTCGGACCCGGTCGGCGCCTGGGGTGCCGTTAGTTCGTGAGACACGGGAAATCTGCAAGCATCAGCATGGGGGTCTAAATCGATGTCTTGCCTCTGTTTTCTGGAATATGCAGCGATCCTTGCGGCTCGGATATTGACTAGCCCATTCAAAGCCACTGGTTCGCTCTCAAGAGTCTTTTCGAGGCTACATCGCTTGTCGAGAGCTTCGATGATATGCGGCTCCATCGAGTGAGGATACGCGTTGCCGGATATCTTCACAAATAGATATTGTGGAAATCTGCATATGCCCCATCAAGAAGTCTGAGCCGCGGGAGAGAAGCAGTAGAGTGAACGCTCGTCACTGCGGACGTAACAAATCTCGTTCGATACTGTTGATCGTTGGCCATGGAAGCGCTGGCGTTGGCTCAGTGTCGCATTCACTCGGATACAGCCCCCAAAGACGACCAAGGACGGAACACCTTGCAGACAGCAACTCCAAATCTGCGCATCGCCAACATGTTGCCCACTCGCATCTACGTCCCGGGCTCCTCCAGCGACAAGCCGCTGCTTTGCATGCTCGCTGCCCAGCCCTTTTCCTTTGAGCTGCCGCTCCTGTTGGCTCCTTATTGTTGACTTGCAGCTCACACTTTGGTCTCATTGGTGGCCTTCGACATTCTCACCACACGATGCCCACTCTGGACGGTAAGACAGGCATTGTCGTGCCGCATCACCGCATACAGTGTCCGACCAGGTCGTCAGCTGCTTCTTTTCTATTCGCTCCTCGAGTCTGAGACCAGTGGTGCCCAGCATACTCGCAGCAGTGGCGGTGATCGAGAGCAACCAGAGAAAGCGCCATTTCTCAAATACCCCTCCACCCTAGTCTTCCTCCATGTTGCTGTCGTGGCTTACCAGAGCCTTTTACCGTCCTTTACTCTCGTCCCATTGGGAGAGATTCACCCCTCGCTTCTCCCATTGTGGGCAAGTCCGTTATCCAGAGTGCTGACACTGACAAAAAAGCCACTTTCGAAATCCCATCATCCCAAAGATGCCCCCCTGGAGCCAGCTGCGAGCCACGGCCCTCCCGTCACACATGCCCGCAATCTAGGGATCCGTCCATTCCCCTCCCAAACAGTCCATGATCGCCCACTTCTATTCCATCTTCATCTGCATCCACCCGCTGTCGGGTCGATCATACCTTGCGGAAAGAAGACAGGCACGTACGCGCGGTGTAGATTTCAACTGTACGCTCCTAGCACGAGCTATACGGCCGAAGCGTTTTCAAGTTGATGATACACGTATTGTTTAATCACTTTCTCGTCTTCTTCGTTCCTCAGCCCTACTGCTGTGCCTCCGATCCGCGGGGTGTGGCTGCTTGTGGTTCTGCGGTGCTGTGCTGTACACCCGCTCAGCCCCCCATACACACTTGCAGTTGGGTCATCTCGATCCTCCTCGCTCCTCAAGGCACCAGGATAACTTACCCTCTTCACAACCCACCCGGCCAGCTCACCAAAGCACCCAAGTCGGACGATCTTCGAAACGCTCCTTACATCGCCGCCGATCTCTCGAAAACCTCAAGACTATCGCTCATTCTATCACTCACGCCCGAGACTGTCGACAAAACGCTCGCTGACCCGGAGAATCATAGATGATCGGCGGGTTCCGGAGTGCCGTTGTACCACTTAACACCTGTGCTAATTCATTCGATCATCGCCACCATGAGGGCGATTGCTTGCTCGCTCTGCGTGCTATACCTAGGGGTCGACTTGTTAGGCGGGGCAGTAGAGGGGGCGGATTTCAAGAGACGAGATGGGGTGCACCGCCTGGAGAAGGCACACGTCACAGTCTTTCACGATCTTAATCGAAGGGGCACAACGACTTGTGCGACCGGATACTCTGCTTGCGCGTCAAGCTTGGGTGGAGACTGTTGCGCATCAGGTTATGCATGCGCGACGGATTCTTGCTACGCGACCACAAGTGCACCGCAGACTTGCGCAGGAAAATCCGGATACTACCAGTGTGATCCGGTCGTGGGTAGTAAGTTGATTCGGATCAGAGTCCTTCTTGTATAGTGAACTGACGCAGTCTGTTCAGCCGGCTGTTGCCCAGAAGGATATATGTGTGAAAGAGGCTCAAACTGCGTTCCGGCGTCTGGAGTCATATACTCTCAGTCATGTCCGGCGAGTTACTACTTATGCCCAGCTAGCTTGAGCTACGGCTGCTGTCGAGACGGACTCGGCTGCGCCGTGAGCGCTTGCTACTCGACAGAACCCTCAACCGTTACGGAGACGACGACGATCACGACGACGAACGACGCCGCGCAAGCCATAACCACAACAGTTACCGCTACTGCTGTACTGACACCCTCGAGACCTACCACGGCACCGATAGTAGCAACAGGGGCAAGCGATCCGGACCAAGTTGTGTTCAAGTACTATCCAAGCACCGTTCCCAAAGAGCAACCTATCTCGAGCGGCGACGATAGCAGTGATGGACTGACCTCGGGACAAATCGCGGGTATCGTGGCTGGAGGAGTTGGCCTGCTCATCATTGTGCTGGTGACAGCGTGGATCATCATTCGTCACCTCAACAAGGTTGTACAGGCAGTCGAGACGAGCAACAAGGGAACTTCCTCCGGGGCCAAGTCACGTCCCTCGATGTATGAGTTCAAACCAACCCCGTCAGAGGTTGACGATCTGAGCATAGACCCGCTCATGATGTCTCCTCGACCATCACACCGCAGACATGATTCTGATACGACCGTCGACTTCACACCTCCGTATCGTGGTACTCCAGGCTCTGTCGGTGACTATCAAGCAGTGCCACAAGGCTCGGGATCCGATCGACACGCCAGCTACGACTCGGCATACACAGGAGGCTACTTTGATGCCGCGCCAGACAGAAGCCAGCGCGCTAGCCAGGGGTCGAGCGCGTGGATCGGATTACATTGTGGAAGTACGGATTCGCAAGGAACCTACGCGCACCTTCGCCACTGGAGCAATGCCAGCGAAGCAAGCAGTGATCACGGGAGCGCGGGTACTCGAACGCCGCTCCAAGAGCTTGACTCTACGCCGTACGTACCAGAGTTGGCTGCCACACCCGTTCCAGATGCTACCGCGGAGACGCGTCGCCGGTCAGGGAGTGGCTTATCGGGCATGAGTCGGCCGCCTGCCGTCCATCAGCGGAGAAGGAGTAGTGAGGGGTGTCACGGCAGAACGAGGAGTGATAGCTCTGCTCCGGCTGGGCTGAGTGTTGTGAATGAGGCTTCAGAGCTCATCGGTCATTATGGCCCGACAGATCGAGCGAATGGCCAGACTTCGAATGGAAAGTAAAGCTATGTTCAGCCCATCGCATTTCTGTCGACTGTCTCTGATGCTGAGCACATGCCGGTGCAAGAGCTCGTCAACTCGGTGTTGCGGATTCAGTCACAGTACGAAGCTTTCGAATGAACGCAAAAGTTGGAGTTGGAGACAAGGAATCAGGCTAGGTTGTCTGGCGCCGCAGGACCGGAGACGATTCCATCTATTATTTGGCTTTGACTTTTCTGTCAAACGGTCTGAACAAGACCGATCTGGTGATACTATGTCCGACTCGACCTGGTGGGTCTTCATGGCGTTGGCGGAGAGGCAGCTTCATGACCATGGGAGTTTGGGATTACCCCTCTAGAGGAAGAGATCGGTTGCTTTTCGATCAAAGAAGGTCGGGACTGGATAATCCCTCCGGTGGCAAGGAATGAAGGAAACGGAGGATGGTCGGTGGCCGCTCAGGGCTGGGAAATATGATAGAGAGCGGATGGCGTTTCCAACGGCAAAGGATTTGATGCCGACTGATGAGCCTTGCCGCGTCAAAGCTGCGGTAAGGTGGGCTTACTCTGGCGCAATGTGTTTGATTTTACTTCTGCTCCGTCACAGTACATGATACCTTTTTTCTTACTTTGTGAAACCGCATTGAAAGTTCCAGCTGCTTGCTTCGTCTCGCTTTCTACTCGTTCTCCAAGGCATATGCGGAAGTAATATCCCTGATGAGTGGTAAGAGAAGAATGTGTGATATTGATGCGAGTTGCAGGTATTTGGGATCTTTCGACTTTAACGACGGGTTGTGGTTATTAGTATCGCCTTTGGCAGAATGTCAGAGACTGTGAGAAAGACCAGGCGTGGCAATCGTCGTCTACGGTATTTCTAAGGCGACGATTCTGCTCCTTGAGTATCAACACTAACATCGACGGAGCGAAAGTTAGAGACGATGCCAGATTCGTGTGCACGACCAGCGGCCCGGGCGCTTTATCTGCGGGGCATGAGGAAGTAATACACAACCAGCGTCCAAGTTCGTCCAAGTCCCAAGCCTTTGCCTCGGTGGACATCATCGCGAAACCGGAGGCTCGTCGGAAGAGAAGAGAGGTCCCAATGCTTAGACGGCTCGGGAAGAGGTGAACGCGAGGCTTGGCTGACGATGCATGGTTCCCTCCATCCTATACCTACTGTCGATCATATCTGATGAGTTGGTACCCCCATCAACCTGCTCGTCGGGAAAACACCACTCTCGCTTTGAGAGTCGCTTCTAAGGCGGCATGCGGAGGTGGGGAGGCGGGGAGACGGCGCTCCTGCGGATCAAAGCATATCGGCTCCTCGGGAACTCGAAGAGAGCCCAAATTTCATTGAAAGAGAATCCCCATGTTTTTTCTTCCGTGGATTCACCTCGGGACAGACTCCTCCGTCAATCAGATGCGGCCTTGATCAACCCCTTGGAAGTTGGACAAACGCACGTTGCCTTGGACGGGGCGTTAGTCCGTACCGGGTGTACGTGCGGGGGAGGTGCGTGGTTTGTGGTTCGAGAGCTGGGGAAAAGCGGTGGAGGAAGAGGAGGAGGAGGAGGAGGAGAAGGATGAGCGGGGGAAACAAGCTGGGGATGGGGGTTAAGATTGAGAGGGCATGATTTTGCTTCGCGGAGATTTGATGTCCGAAGAAATATCCTGGGGAAGCTGGTGAGGGGAAAGGGAAATAACAATGATGGAGGCTAACGGGGAGAGGAAGACAGCGGCCGGGTAAAGTGAGCTTCTTCTTCTAATTGATATGTACGCTTGCGCAAGACGATTGAGTGCTAAGCTAATACCTGGGTCATATCATTCATGGCACTACGAGCAAGTAAGTTAAGTTTTCGAGATGGATTGCGAGACTCCAATTCAAAGAACCTAAGTGAAGTTGTGAACGAGCCCTCGTGTAGGTAAGGACTTGAAAATAGTCAGCGGCGTTGCCATACCACGAGGTTGTCCAACGCGTCGAAGATCTCGGGTTGAGGGCAGAGAAGTCTCACTATCTGCACAACTCGTCCTGAGGAGGTGAAGATTACCAAAGTTCCGGCACCGGAGGGGCACAAGCGAGCGCGAAATGGAGTCTAGCGACATGAATGGACGGCTTAACCAAATCTCCCAAGACACACGCGTATCTTTTCTCGGGATTTAAACCTGGAGGATGAAGAGGCAGGGGTAGCAACGGCCATCGGTGAACAGAGCAGTGAGCTTCGCGATAGCGACAACGTGCCTCTGTCGCCAAGCCTCAGGGTGCTGGAACTTGGAAGACTATTCCACTTTCCCCATTCACCGAGGGGAGCCTACCTCGCTTGCTGGGCTGGCAGAGGCTGTCATAGTCTACGAATACACGTGCTACTATCCGTGGAGCCTGGGTCAACGACCGGGAAGTGAACATGTGCCCTGAACGAAGTGGAAAGTTGGCTTAGGCTTCTCCCTCTCGTTTCTTTGTTTTTTCGCAACTCGGCGAGCCGGAGATGGGACAGGTGGGCTTCTTGCTTGACCTTAGGCTGTAAACGGGAATGATGCGCCGATGGGGACTAGCCTTATTCATGGAGTTGAGCCAGGGGACAGAGAAGATCGAGTGGCGACCGGGGAGGAGGACGAGAGTCTAAATACTTGAATTGTCAAAGTCTTCGGCTGCCTACTAGGTGTAAATGTCCTGGGAGTTGAATCACAGTTCCTGACTGATGACACCTGATCTGTCAGCCACGTGCTCCTCCAGAAGGAAGGTCAATCAAAACAACACAACGGCCTTCCTTGCAAAGTAAGGAAAGATAATGATGCTTAAAAAGCTCGAGAAAAAAAAAAGAAGGAAAATTCGGGAACGGTGGAAATTGGGAAGCTTAGTCCAGCAAAAGGCCCCAACCGGCGCGGGACCAACGAACCAACCTCCACCCACCTCATCGGGCACGCCCCCCAATGCTCCAGCTGCCTCTTTCGGTGAAGCGGGCTGCGGGGGGGGTTCCCCCTGTTAGTTAGCTTTTGGCTCTCGCCGCTTCTCGCTCTGTACGAATTCCAGTAGGTATCGATGAGGGCCCAGCCGATGACTCGAGGCGTGCCGGCTTGGTATCTGTAGTCTGTAGGTGATGGAGGATTGGCGATGATAACGGATAAAGAGGAAGTTGAATTTACCTTGCTCAACGGCCAGCGCCGATGAGATCGAGCGGCGCGTTCCTGGCGCCGTTTGGACCGTTGGGAAAAGAGAGAGACTACGCTGTATTCGTTGCTGATAGATAGCCAGCCTCCGGCTCGGGAATGGCGCCGCCAGGTTGACCGGCGCTCTTGGGGTGTTCAGGCACAGACCTTTGGTCATCGTATCCGTACCGTACCGGCTTATAGGTAGTCCAGTCTGTTTCGGCAAGCTGGGGTCTTGTGCCCACTGCCATTCTCTCTGACAACCAACAGAGACCAACAACAGCGGACATGGACGACGACGCTGTAATTTGCGCTGTTGGTCGCTTTCCAGGACTGCAGTCAGCAGAGACTACCAACAGAGACGGGGTCAGGGTTACAGCGCGAGGGCGCTGCGGCGCTGCCAACCTCTATTCTGGGTCTTTGCCAGGTGAACGCTTGACAACCGTCGTATGGCGGACGGGGGTGTACCGTTGTGTGCTCGCTGTCATGGGTCTCGGCTTGCGACGTTGATGCTTTCAATAGCTCTGTCCTGCGCCGACTGGACGGTGGACACACAGGAGAGTGGGCCCCCAAGGACTGAGGTGGGTACTGCGCAAGCACAGCTCATAAGCATAAAAGCTTCGTGGAGTGCCCTTTCCGTCCTTCCCACCCCAGTGCATGGCCATCTCCGGCTATCGGGAGGGGAACATTCCCCCCTCCACTGCGTGGGCTGATGGGCAGGGCGAGTGGCAGGTCTAGGCTGTCGCCTAATTATACTTTGTAGACGAGAACGAATCTTCCGGGCTGAAGAGCTGTCAGAGTTTGTCCCGCGCGGGTGACTTTAAACAGCTGTTCTGTGGGTTGGTTGGCCTGTCTCCAGTCAACCACCGATTGAGACCAAGCTGCCCTGAAGAGTCTCAAGACGTTCAAAAGAGTGAAGGTTGTGAGATTTTTATGCCAATGAACCTATTCATCACTTAACTTGTCCCCTATGAATGCCAACCGACGGTTTGAAGAGAGAGAAAGAGCGAGATGGTGGCCGAGGGTCGCATCGGATCATCACCGACAACATCATCGCCAATGCAGGTCGGCGGCGCGGCCCTTTAGCGACGCGTTCCAATTGGCGGGCTCTCTCCCACTAACGATTCCTATCCAAACTTGGGCTCTTCCTTTTTTTCTTCTCTCTGCATTTTCGTCGCTCTTGATTTTGCTTTCGCTCCGCGTCCCGTCATCAACCAACTTATATCCGAAGAGTCCCTGCAACTCCCATGACCTTGCCTGCATAGCTAGACTTACCGTCTCTTTGCTTCGCTTCTCCTCATTTCCCTTCTGCATATCGGATTTCCCCGCGCTGTACAATACACACCACGCTGAAGGCCGTGATGCTGCACCCTGCCGATAGCCATTCAAAGTCTACTCTTCCCGTCCAGCGAATTCCGAGACGGTGTTGAGGCACAGCAGCTCACTTATCGAAATGCTACTAGGATAAGATATTGACGGGTAATGTAGAATGCCTCCAACAGCGTGTTGCTTCTGCGATCCCAGAATTCTGGCCAGCTTCCCCGGCACTGGCAGACCAAGAAGTTCGAAGTCACCACAGCCCGACCATTGACCGGATTTCTCTTGTGTTTGCCTGCAGTCATCGTACTTCGTAGTCGTACAGTCCAAAGTCAAGCTCGCGCTTGAACGGATGGCCTTTCCGTACCGTCACACCTCGGCGTCTCTCTGCCAATCGCCTCTGCACTTGGTGCTTCCGTCGACTGCTACCAATCCAGAACCAGGACGCAGCTGAGAACGCCATGAATTCTTCTACGACACCAGAATAGCAGAGACAACAGCCACAATCTGACTCTCGCTGCCACTGCCAATTGCAAGTCGGCCATAGTTGCCCATCAGCCAAGCCGCGCGTTGTGCAGATTTCGATAGCGTTCACGAGAAACAAGCCGTTTGCCCAACATGCCTCCCCAGGCAACCTCCCTTGTATCCGGCCGCGAAGTCAAACCAGAATGTGACCCTCGCCCTTTGTCTCTCGGCGAAGCAACCAGCGTCGTCCCTGGGCATCCATAGGCTCTCCAGGAATTCCCGATGTCAATACAGGGCTAGGCCGAATCAGACCAGCTTCCCCCGCCGTGATAGCGCGGGCAAGGGGGCGTGGAAAATCAATCTCGAGGCTCCCACGAGGGCGGAGAAGAACAGACGCGTTTTGTTTCTCATCGGGATGCTAATACCTAAGCCTTGATATCGAATGTCACTCTCCGCCCTACTTGTCAGCTAAAAGGTACCTGTATCTCAGTCTCGGCCCCTCCTCGCGGGCCAACCTTTCCTACGGATACACTGCGCTACTTCGTACGCTACGCCTACGATGCGCATCTTCTCATGTTCCTGCTGTTCGCCGCCTGCCCACACGCTCTCCCAACCTGCCTCATGCGGACGTCCCGCCTGCTGATAGGTGGGAAATGCAACCCTCGCCAGGAGATGGGCTGAACGGGCTGGAGCTACTGCGGTTCGCTTCTTCCTCGCTTTTCCATGTTTCCCTACAGGCTCTCCCTCTTTCGACCCCTGGTCCTGTCTAGTGCTCAGGAACAGGGTGTCACTGTACCGGGGGAGCCTAGTTCCCCAATATGTCTCTTTGGTAAACCCACGATGCGTGCTGCCCGTGGCTCTTTGAATAACCACCCTGCCACCCCTGTTGGTTCATCCCAGGTCCCGGTCGATGACCCGCCCTTCCTATCGCCGCCTCTTCTGGGCGCTGCTCAGAATGGGCGGGTAAACTCCGCTACTCTTGTGGCTGCTGCGGTTCGTATTGAACCGGCCGGCTGGCTGGCTGTTTGCTGTACCAAACTTGCTCGCTTCTGCGTCCCGGTTCTGTTAGTCCCCGTCTACGAGGAGCATGGGACCCGGTTCCCCCAGTCCAGCTCGAACCCACCACCACCAAGTTCCAACCAAGTCAAGGTCCCATCCCGCATCTCGCGAATATATATCACAGTGCCTTCGTCTCCATGTAACCGTTCCCTTTCCTTTCCCCTTTCCTCATCCACCGACTTCCTACCAGATCCATCCAATCAACTCCCATCCATCTCTTAGGACCTCAGTCGATCGTCTCCTCCAACCGTCAAAATGAAGGCCGCCGTCATCTTCTCCCTCGTCAGCTTGGCTCTCGGCTCCGTTGTCGAGAAGCGCGCCTGCGCCGGCAACAACTGCAACCGTCAAGTCACCGGTACCCGTGACGGCCTCCTCCCCATCACCTCCCGCCAGGCCGACTGCTCTTCCTTCATGCAGGCCACCGTCACCCCCTCCCCTACGTATGTCGACCTCTAGACTAGCAGAGACTCTTGGTGATGCATTGTAAACTAATAAGTTTCATCCAGCACCGTCACCGTTACCGTCACCGCCGCTCCCGCTCGTCTCCGCCGCAACGGCGAGATCGCCAACCGCCAGGTTACCGCTCTCCCTACCCTCATCCCCGCCTACGCCTCCTCATGCGGTGACGCTGCTGCCTACTCCTCCGCCTGCAACTGCTGGGGCATCACCGCTGTCACCACCACCGCGCCCAAGCCCACCGTCACCGTCACCACCACTGTTGACTACTGCGAGGGTGAGTTCTTGCGCTATACTCTAGCTACTAGACGGATCCAAGATGCTAACGTGTGATAGACTTGTAAACGTCTCGTTCGGCGTGGAGATGGAAGGGTTGAGGAGATGAGAAAGGCCATTCGTCTATTCTCTCGAGGCTCAATGTGGAGGAAGGAAAAGGGCATGAGACTGTGGGAGGATGCCCCAGTCGAGCTTGTACAGGAAGACACGGTCATCGCCGCCGTCTCCTTTGGATCTCGCAGAGATCCCCTCGATTACGAATTCAATGGACTTGATCATTCATTCTATCTGTTCGAGGCCGTGCTCACGGTCTTCATCGCCTCTTTGCCTATTTCCAACACACTGAGTCTTGGGAAAGGGACGACAATTGAACGGTCTGGTGGTTTGGAGTACGATTTGTTATGAAGGAAAAATGGGTTATGACCGATTTGATGGGAGACATGACGACCAGCTTCGACTGGTATAGTCTGTCACTGTTATGATACTCACATTCATGTGTAATAATTAAGACTAATTCGTCCTTACTTCGCAAAGCACTGCCTGATGAGTTTGTGAATGCTGAGAGTGTCATCGGATTTGACAGCTGGGCGATGACCATTATCGATGGATGAGACGGGGCGCTCATTATATGAGACATGACAGCCGTGGTGACAAGATGGATTCGTCAGTCCCGGATGACATGTCTCTGGCCAGCCTCACTTACTTATTCGTAAGCCATGTTTTACACAATCGAGCCTTGAAAAGGGCAACTGAGCATTTATTGCTTATCCCTAGCCTTACCCATTACTTCTTTTCTTAATCGATTTCTTTTGCTTCAGGCCCATGTCGATGGACCCTACAGAAGGGTTGTTGTGAATTTGAGCCGCAAGTCTTCACTCCCAAAACGTTAATCGAGTCGCAGATTGCGTGATACCCGTCCCTCTCGATGCCCCTCGCCGGACGGGGCGCGTATCCCATGACGCCGCGCGAATGGGTCTCTGTCAATGTCGATCTTTTCTTTCCATCCGAACTCTGTTTCGAGGTTACCCACACATGTTCCCAGCATTCCCCAGAAAATGTTTCGAAACACGTATATCCCACCGCAGCGGGTGAACCCCACATATTAATCGCCATCTTTTTTTCACACGTGGCTTTTATCAGGGGTGATGGTGGTGATGGTAGATATTGAGCGAAGCCTATCGTGCCCGGTGTTACGGCCTAAACAGTTGGTCCTGTCATGGCGTAGCTATATAATGCAGAACAAGGGAAAATGATGCGGAGTCATCATTATCGAAGCTTTTGCTTTGTGCCACAGTTGGTTGCCTTGACCTGCTCGTAACACCCGGATCATCCCTCGCGTCAAACGCAACGAGTCATCGGCTGAAAACAATGAACTCCTTACTATCTATACCGAATGTCTATAATTACGGCCTCTGGTCATTATAGAGATTTGCACTGAGCGATTGCTAGTAGAGGCATGGCCGTCTCTTTATAGCGAGCTGCTTACCCACTTGTTACGGCCAGCTAGTCGTAGGGGTAGTTTGCAGAAGTTGAGGCTGCGGAACTGGTAACAGTAATCGTAGTCGTGGAATAGTTTCAGGGAAACTATGTCTGTCAATCGTAAGGTAAGGTAAGGCTTCGGTGATCAATCGTAGTCTTGTCAAGGTAGTAGCTGAAAGCGGATGTTAATCCTGAACGAAGTTAATTGCTGAAGAAGCTATGGAAAGTCTGTCCTAGAGCCCGGCTCGAGTCCATCCTATATACAAGTCTTGATTCTAAACATATCCTTTATCCGTATGTTTACCGTACGGATTCCGTATTCTGAACATACGGGGTCCGTACCTCAAAGTGATGATGATGATGATGATGTATTTAACGTCTGGTAACAAAAGGACGTGCCGGGCGCTATGCCGACAAGGGACGGATTCCGTATTCTTGGCATACGGCTTTCTTTATCTTATCATCACGTGACTTGCTCCATAGTTCTTCCGTTCCGTAGGGTGACGCATGTGTTCCCATAGTTCGTGCACTTATGGTGTGCCGTAGCCGCCGTGGTCCTGCGGGGCAGGCCCTGGACTTGGTCGTGCATGTTGGGTCGTAACAAGATATTTATAAAAGATAAGTTTTTTTACGCACTTATAGTTATAGTTACCTAGAATAATTAAAAGAACTAATGTCTATGATTACGCAGCAACATAGGCCGACTAAACATGGCCTCGTCACCTTATCGTTAGTTTTCACGAATGCCGCCCACAACCCGTTGCGAATGCACGTCGCACGACAATCTAACACATGGGCTCCATCGCCATGCTTTACGAAACCCGAGACATTACCCTCACTTTCTTCAGTCCCGCCCTCGACGCCACTTTTGCCGGCCGATGCCTCCCTTGGTCCCCTTCGTTAATGCCTTCTTGCCCTGCAACCAACACTCTTCCCGATTGATGCCCTTCCCTTCGCCCCTAAGCGGGTAACTTTCATGCCCATGAGCCCAGAAACGCACCCTTCCGGAGTCATGTTTATCAGAGCGTCGGCATAAAGAAACAGGTTTCATGATCATCGCGGATGGGCTTACACCCTTTCGTGACAATGTTGACTCAACCACAATGCCGGCGATTCCAACATTGCGAAAGCCAGTACAAGGTTTCCCTTCTCCCACCGCAAAGAAGACAGGCGTCGTCACACCAGTCTCAGCTAGCGACTCGCGTCCACCCGCTCCCGGCGGCAATTGACGACGTCGACGAGAGTGCGTCGACAGTCTCAAGAGCATCAGTGCCCTATTTACGGCCTATTGTCATCAGACGACTATCGCTACTTCTCACTGAGTAGATTATATAGGTAGTCAACCTAAATACACATCGATTGAAGCCAGATCATCACTTCATTAGTTCCGTAGTCAAGGCGCAACTCTGAGTTGCTCTAGCAATGCCTTGGCAATGACTACAAACTTCGTGTGGAAGATACTTTGGCCTAGAGGCTAGGACTGAGAATTCGAATCTCCCGAGACCTCTTCAACGGTGACGAACCCTGGAGATGGCAAACGAAAATAAACGACACTATCCGCTGCAAACTCATCAAGGTCTCGAACGATAAAAGCAGACAACGCGTCATGATCACGCAAAAACGTCGCAACCTCCGACTTGCCTCCATCTTCTGCAAGCTGGATCGCGTTCGAAAACCCCTCTGTCGAATATCCTCTGGCACCAGCACCAAGCAAAAGTTGGATCATGTGTAGATGACCGTACTCTGCGGCACCTTCGACCACCGTCCTGCCCTCCTCAGCTGCGCATGGGGCGTTAACATCCGCTCCTCGACCAACAAGCAAGTTGGCAAGACTTATGTCGCCGCGCATCGCAGCACCTTGTAAAGCTGTAAGACCTCCCTTTCTCGCCGGCATTGCCGCGATGTCCGCACCACGTGAGATCAGCATCTGAACCATTCGAAGTCTCCCTAGATGTCGACTACAAGCTGCTGCTTGCAACGCTGTTCTTCCATACTCCTCGCCGGGAGGGCCATTGACGTCTACTCCGTACTCGAGCAAAAGCCGGGCTTCCTCAAGATATCCCAGGCCAGAAGCCCATTGAAGCGGTGTCATCGCCCCACTGACAGCTTCATCCCTATCCTCGACTCGGACCCCTGCTTCAAACGCCAGCTCGAAGCACTTGTGTTGGATCGTGCCCATAAGAGAGTGTAGAAGGTCCTCTTTCCCCACTTCTACGCGGTTGATCGGAGCAAAAGACCTAACTATAAAGTAAAGTTTGTTTGTTTGTTTCATATTTAACGCCATGGCGGCAAGGGCGCAGCCGCCCTTGCGGCCGACCTCCCGAGGTGTATATGGCGTGGAGGGCCGCAGGCTCAAGCTATATACTCTACAGTACACGCCTCTTCCTATCGTCCTCCAAGTCTCGCCCGTGGGCTGCTATATGTTCCATCCGTTCCTAGTTCCGTTGTTGCTATCTACCCCTCTAAGAGGGTAGGTTCGTTCGTAGGGCCTAGGTCAAAACCTAGCCCTTAATACCGCGGATAGATCTTTTGGAAGAAGTCTGTTACGCAGATGAAGGCCTAAAAGCCTATAGGATCAGTGATTAACCCCTTAGAGTACCGCTCTAGAGATCCTATAGGTCCTATAGGCTCAAGTAGGCTAGAAGGGTAGAGGGTAGGCCACTAATGCCTCCTCACTAGGGTCTTTTAGCAGTAGACTAAATAGTCTACCTCCTTTACCTCCCCGCAGGAGCAGGTAAGTAGTGCTTCTATATAGTTAAAGCGTTGGTGGTATTATTCGAAGTCTCCATGGCCTGATCGGGCTGCTAGGAGATGATGAAGGATAGCCCGCGGTAGGGCTAGTTCCGGAGGGCAAGCGAGGGTAGCTTTAAGCCCTAGCTAGGTATACCAGGATATTACCTCCCGTTTCTACCATCTTTTATATTGGCGATATATACGCTCTTTAGTAAGCCGCTTAATCCCTGATAGGGTTGATAGCTGTCCCCTTGGGACTAGTAGGGTTGTTCCCTCCTTAGCTAGGCTATCTACTTCTTCGTTTCCTTTGATGCCTTGGTGCCCAGGAGACCAATGTGTTTGTATATCGTATATATTAGCTGCCTCCTGGATCTCAAGGAAGGCCGCTTGTGAGGAGTCTAGGGCCTTACCGCGAATCCCCTGAATAACGCTGGTGTTATCGATGCAGATGTGTATGGGCTGGCCTTGGGAGGTCTGAAGGGCCCGTCGGAGCCCAGCCCTCGCCCCCTCAGCCTCACCATCAAACACTTCTGCTAAGCCGAGACGGCCGCAGCCCTGGGCTATACGTTTTTTGTTGCGGTAGATAACAAAGCTGAACCCTGTAGCCCCGTCAGGAGCTTTGGAGCCGTCTGAGTATACGACTGTATGATTACCTGGCACAGTCAAAACGTATGACTAGCGGAATGAAAGCGCCATGTCACTTGCGTTATCCTGAGCTGGTGTTGATGTTTTAAGTGATCGATAGTTTCCTTTGCAGATCTGTCTTCAGTTACGTAGAGCCGGATGATCTCGTCATTCCATCGTAGCCAGTCCATTGGAAACAAAACCGTGCAGCGACCAACACTGACTAGGTACCTCGGGATGTAAGCCGAATAGAATTTCAAACGCAACGTTTCATGAAGGCAACCTTTGTCGTAATAAGTGAAATTTGGACATTGGCGGAGGGAAACTAATACCAACGTAAGGCGAGCATGCCGCCTTTTTGTTTCCTCAAGTGAGACCGGTCACCGCCTTAGCTATTCTACGCGGCGGAAGCTTGGTAGTTTTAACGAAAGGCCGGCTCAGAAGATGACTCTTGACTAGGTAATGCTGCTTCAACACTGGCGGTGTTCGTTGATTGGTGGCCTGCTGTATGCCAAGGACCATGCCTTGAGAAATAATAGCAGAGTACTCCGTTAGGCAGGTGGCATTATGTCCACTGTCTGACCGGTAAGTGACTGCACCAAAGTAGGACTGCATATACATAAGGTGCATGCACGGGCGTTCTGTGAACCTAGGCGCTAGGTACCTTGGATGACCAAGAGACGGTCTACCTTTACATTTCCTTCGAGGCCTGGAGTGAACCCAGAAGCCTCGAATTGAAATCACCTAGTTCGTCTTGATTTGAGCCTCCCTATCGTATAATCACCCCAATTTCTGCAGCTTCGAGTAGGGTATAGGTAAGTATTATTGTCATAATATTACCATTTCTAGTGAGGCATAACATCCAAGACATTATCTAACATCCACAGTGAAGCAACAGCAATCATAGCCTCACAGCCGCAGGTATGGAATTATCCAAGTCGAGACTAGGATCAATTGCAAATACTACTCCTCTCAACGAAACGAAAGCTAGAATAATTCTTAACCACTTGCAAACAAAACCCCAGAAAACTGTGTCCGTATATTCCAATCCCACTGCAGCGTTATCGCGCCAGGACATCGGCTCCCTTCAACTGCCTTGCTCGAGAGCCAATTCGAAAGTTCTGCGCAACGTGACATTACAGGGCTCACGTAGCTAAACTAACGCTCTGGATTAGAACAATACTCTTGTGAAGTACTATTCCTCTTCAGTCCCCTTCAGCTCAATCTTGTCATACATAGGACGCCACATCTGGCTCCAAGCCTGCGCGAATTGAGCTTCGCTAGGAAATTTCTGTTGGCCAAACCATTCGGCCCATGACAACAGTTGCTTCTCACAAGAACCCCCTGCGAAACATTTGGTCCAGAAACAACTGAAGTTGCGTCAGTACTATATCCCCACATATGGTCGAAGATAGATATATGTTGAACTTGTCTCACATGTGGAAAAGCTTTTCTTCAGGTAATAGGATATTCGTGGCGGCGGTTTTACACACCCACACGCAGCTGACCTGTGAATTGCCTTTGTTAGTATTAAAGGGAAAGTCATGATTCATGAACAACTTCACCTGAGGACAGAGGCGACCAAAGTCCAATGAGAAGTAGCAGTGCTATAGCTGCGTCTTTGGTAGAATACGGGAATAGGGTACCACTTACGCAATTCGCAAGATCGTCAGACATTTGTGGAGGATCATCCCTTTCGGTGAGGTTGAGGGCCGCTTCATGAATCTTGACGTCCGTCATTCTAAGGAGCGCAAGGAAAAGAGTGAGTCAGCAATTTGTCGTCCAAGGCAAAGTTTAGATTGGAGCAATAGCTTCTTCCAGTCCCTGTATGTACTTACTGTGGTTGAGCGTTACGTGGCGAGTTGGAGTTGCCACCTTGCGTGTCTTCGTCTCTGGCAGCGACATTGTCGAAATTGGCTCTTTCGGTGTTACCAGTCGAGTCAGGCAGTCTTTCGTTGTTATTTGGGGTAATGATGACTAGCTCAGGAACGGTTCTTTTCAGTTCCTGGTTCTCGGTATCACTGGTAATACTCCGGGAGCTGCGGTCGTCGATGACACCTGCTAGTGCCAGGGAAAGGCACAAGACATTGTAAATGAAGATCTTGAAGAACTGCATCTCGGATTCTCTTGAAGAAGTTGGGTGATACAGGCAATGAGGTAGATGGTGGTGTAGTTCTGGTGTGACACTGCCTCAAGGTTGTTGGGAATCAGTGTTCATTATATAGTTGAGGTTTCACGACTGATGTCGTAGCTCAGATGATTTCTTTTTAGTTCGAGGTGCTCCAGTCGGCATGTTTCCGCTGGCTAAGGTATGATCGATCGGATACCGATTCCTCACATTCCCAATTCGTGTATCTGGTTTCCAGGCATGCACCTTCGCACGTCTGATCATGGACCACGGGTTCCCTTCCCGTTCGAGCGAGTGAAACACTTGGGAGCGTCATTTGCCAACGACATGTGAGAGTCATGAGATATGAATTCAACACCCAAACGATGTTGTTTGCACGTATACGCATCATGTCGTCTTAGGTTGAAAGAATCTGGCAAATGCTGAGGTTGATGATCATGGCGTGTACATCCGATGTCCTTGCCTCTCTGAGATTGACTTGTATCACGTCTAATGCAGTGACACAAACTTAATCTTGAGTTTCCGAGTCTGGGGGATCGTAACAAAAGCCTGTATCCTAGTATTGTTTATGGCACGGCGGGTAGTTTTACCAGAGCCCGTTTGCATTGCAGAAGGAACCCTCACTTTCTCAAACCGCTCGTCAGCTTGAGCGTGCCGCTTACGAAATGGGCATTGATTATTCGACGCCGATGCCGAGACGAGCCAGATTAAACGATGAGCAAATATTACTTCACCCAAGAATCGCAACAAACAATAAGGAATATCATCTAGCAAGCAGGCGAGGCAAACAGGCGAGGACAGAACTCGCCATCAGCACAGGCAGAAATAGTAAACTACAGACTCATGCGTGTAAGCTATGAAACTTGTAGACAAAGAGAATTCAACAATTTGTTGTTTGCTTAGTCAACCTTCTGTCTTAATTTGGGTACGGTTGGTTTTGTGAATGTTTGCCAACTCAGCTTATCACGAGATCGACAAACATAGCAAAGACGCTTGGAGCCAGCAGAGGTCCAACGCCACACTCTATTTAGTTGTGGTACACGACAATCAAACGAGTATCAAGCTGCAGACGGAAACATTTCGCTTTTGGAAGCGAAGATACAGACATCAGCTTTGGCCAATGTCGCCAACTCCGCACGCACCACGAAATCGAGGCAGCAAACACATTTGCATCTTCAAGTTTGTTTGGTATTTTTGATGATCGCTGCCGGATGGCGCAGTTATCTCACGAAATCAAGAGTAACTGGAAAGGTGCGACAGCTATCCCATGACCATCATACTTATCTTGTATCAAGTTGAGTATACGTACATGTAGGCAGCGCTCATATCTATTTAAGTCTTAATCCTACGTCAAGTCCCATTGTCCTTTGTCAATGTCTCTCATTCACTCATCTCATCGAGCAAAACGGTATCACACTCAATTCATCAACTTCACCCTTATCAATATGAAGCCCACTGCTTTCCTTGCCGTTTTGGCCATTGCCGGCTCCGGTGTCAATGCCGACTGTTTCGACAATGGCATGACGGCCAATTATGGCAAATGGCTCAGCGAGAAGATCTCAGCTGTCAATTCGGACCGTCTTTCTCTTGTCTGCCTGGCCATAACCGGTGCAGCTAAAGAGGCTTTCGTTGGCCATGAAAGTCGAACATTCTGCATGCAAGAGAAGAGTGGCTTGAGGTGGGACTTTTCTATCAAGGTATGATATGTAACGACGCTTTGTAGCGAGGACCTCGCGTTTTCTGCTTCTTGTTGCAAAGGAGATGTTCTGACATGTATTTATAGAACTTGAACAGCGGCGGACGAGTTCTAGGACAAGCCGAGTGCATGTCTGGGCTGTCGAAGGAGGCTTACAATTGTTGGAGAGGAGGAAGAACTAAGTATTGGAATTGGGAATACACGTAAGTTCCTTTTGACCCACGATATTCGCAGTCACCCCAAAGTTCACAATAACCCCATGATCTCGTAAGATCCCATGCTGATTATCTCTTAGGTCTGACCCCAACGCTGGCAGCTGCATGGGAAAATAATCGGACTGGCCTACTCGCCCCGTCTCTCAATTCTGTGCCTGGGTTGTCTTTCTGCTTTTTGATTCGCCTGATTTATGGATATCGGACATCCTAGAACAAACGAAAGTCTGGAACGTCCATAATGCTTCTGTGCCGATACATGCAGGAAACTCAATGTCATTTTCATACTTCTCAGAACATTCCTTATATAGAGTCATCCTCATTTTCTGAACATATTTGTTTCTGACTCGTACAATTGAAACCCGTCAATGCATGTGCATTGTGGCAGCAAATCCGAGTCGATCAAGTCCCAAGTGATGACACCGCAACACACAGGGACAGGTTACGAAAGTAGGAAAAATAGCCTCAATAATACTTTTGAGAGTATCTCACACTTGATTGCATATTCCGCTTTTGTACAATCATGCCCCTTAAAACCTAGGTGTAAATCAGAAAAAGGGACGGAAATGAGCTTGAAAATCAAGGAGAAGATCATCGGAGCCATCTATGATTCCTGTCATCTCAAGTTTCAAGCCATAAATGATGACATCTCACTTGTTTTCTATGCATGCAGCCTTTGCTTACACCCTCAAAACGATGAGTCTTGGCCTAGACATCAGCAGGATGTACTCGGCGAACGATTCTTCACCTAATCTGAGCCCGAGGTAAGCATCTAGTCAAGAAAAACGGTGGCTTGATGTTTTAGAAGGTAGCCTATCGTATCTGTCCGTCATTTCGGTGAATATCCCAGTGAATCTACCATTGGTTCATTGCCGCAAGACTGAGAGCAGCTGAGACGCCATGGCTGGCTGAGCGCCCCGTGCTTACTTTGTCATACCGACTTCTTTCCCGAACAAGAGATATCTTATGTTGATTCGCGCCACCATTACGAATTTTAAGGGCGGTCAACAGGCAGCAGGTCTGCCTGAAACTTGGCAAAGGGTTCATAGTCTTGCGTTGGAACGTTTATGACTTTTCGGACTGGAGGAATAGCTAAGGTATATAAGGCATATTCTACATGTCTACTATTCATTCAGTTCTGGATTATCTGTATTACCTTACCTCATACCTAGAAGCACCAATCATCAAATTCACTCACTTTCAACATGTCTTCAGATGGAACTCAGGGACCCGTGCTTGTCCGCGGCATCAAGGCGGACAACCCAGGTGTGTTTTCTGTCAATTGGCAAAGTTCGCTCCTCTGATCCATAACTTACGTCGAATAGCTAGACCTCCTGTTCGCATGGAAGTGCGTGATATGATCAAGGAACATCCTGATCAGTGGAACCTATACCTCTTGGGGTTGGAGAAGTTTCAAAACTCGGTGAAGGAGGACTCGCCTCTCTCCTTCTTCGAGATTGCTGGCAAGTAAAATATTTTCAAACTTTCAGCACAAGGCTCTGACCCCAGCAGGTATTCATGGGCTTCCCTACAAGAAGTGGCCAGACAGGGACTGGAACAATAAGATGGTCAGAGTCGACAACGATTTCGGCGGATTCTGCACTCATAGCTCGATTCTCTTTCTTACTTGGCACCGTCCATATCTTGCTCTCTTCGAGGTAAGTTCTACCATCCGCTCAATATGACTTAAGGCAAAACTTTCTAACAGAGCTCAGGCGGAGCTATACAAGCATGTCAAAGCTGTCGCCAACGAATTTGAGGAGAGCGAGCGCAGAAGCGACTATGTGAAGGCGGCCAAAGACTTCAGAATGCCATACTGGGACTGGGCTCGACCTGACCTTGGAGTCTTTCCAGCAGAGGCTACATCCCAAGCTAGGGTACAAGTCAAGCGTCCCCATAATAACCAGAAGGATTCTCGTATCGATCCAAACCCACTGGCAACCTACAAGTTCCGAGAGTCGCGCACGAATACGAGCATCAATCAGGTAGTTTTATCTTTAGCCCATCACTGTGTCTGCGTCATGCTGATCGGCGCTCTTAGTTCCCGAGGGTCGGAGGGACCATCCGCTACCCAGACCAGCCTAACAACAACAGGATGATCCAGAGACTGACACAATTCTTTTCTGGAACCGACCCTCAACAGGCTTCAAGAGGCAAGAATCTTACAGAGCGTGTTGTTTTCATCCTTCAGTCGTATCGTGACTTTGGATCTGCGTCCCACAACCGATTCAACCCACCGAAGCAGCCGGGCCAGCCCAACTTCGCCGAATGGGGTAGCATTGAAGACATTCATAACGCTATCCACACCTATTCTGGGGGCAGTGGGCACATGGGAAATCCAGCAATTGCCGCGTTTGACCCGATCTTCTGGCTCCATCACACCAATGTCGACCGGCTGTTCGCCATCTGGCAAGCTTGCCACGACAACCCCAACGACCCATCGACCTATGTGACTGACCAACGCGCGGGTGAGAGTTGGGGTAACTTCATCGTCAAAGCCGGTGACCCTGAGACGATCAAAACTCCGTTGGCTCCATTTGCCCAGTCTGGCACCAAAGACAATCAAGTCTTCTGGACATCTGAGGGTGTCAGATACACCACCGAGTTCGGCTATGTCTACCCGGAGACTCAGTCATGGAAGTTTCCCACCAAAGAGTCCATCCTCAACGAGTTGGACCGTGTGTATGGCAAGACTGCCTCTTTTGCCAACATCTTGAGAAGTAGCGACGAAGACCTCAAATCCTCCACCGAGGAGTTCAAGAGTCGTGCCAAGGCACATTTGAAGCCGGTGAATCCTCCAGTCGCCCCCACAGCCTTCTCGCTGGCTGCGGAACAGAATCAGCAAAAGCCCCTCCAGGACACTAATGAGTCCGACGATTTCAACCTCCCGGAGGATCGTGACCTGAAGAGCTTGATCGGTACCGATAAAAAGTACCTTGAATGGCTTGTCAACATCAAGGCCGAAAAGGCCGAACTCGGAGGCAACTACGTCGTCCATGTGTTCCTGGGCAACCCCGATGACTCAGTTCCCTTGCTGTATGTGACCAACCACTCTCACGTCGGTGCCTTTGCCACCTTCGGCCAAGACGAAAACACCTCGTGTAAGAATTGCCAACAGGGCCGTGCTTCAGGGCAGAGGATTACCGGCCAAGTCCCCCTCACTCTCGCTCTCGTCGAGCGTTACGTTGCCGGTCTTATCGATAGTCTCGCACCGCAGCATGTCATTCCATATCTGCAGAAACACCTTCACTGGCGTGTCACGTTGCCCGATGGTGACCTCCAGGCCAGGAGCAATCTCAACAACCTCTTGATCAGTGTCGTTACGAACGAGGTCACAATTCCTAGCGACCCTACGGACCTCCCACGATACGCTGATGAGGTGATTCCTCAACCAGATGTCACCACTAATCGCGCTGGAAGTGGTCGTGGTGATGGAACTGGTTATGATGGGACCAATTTCTAGCTCAAAGACATATAGCTCAGGTGGCCAAGTATCACTTAAGGAAATGCGACTGGAAGATGAAAGAACACGATGGTGGTTAGTTGCCGACGTTTCCATTGCCGAGGTGAAAGAAGAGAATCAAGACTTTGGACTATATACTAAAAGTCGTATTGCGATGTCTTACTAGCAAGTCTAGTGATATAGAGTCTCAGTGCAAATGAATTGCCAACGATCCAATCGAGACGAGCTTTGGCGTGCTTTCCGAGATTTTTCGACATTGAAGTCGAAGGACGCAGACACCATGGTTTTTACAGATCTTCAATTGCAAGAAATGAGGCGCATCGTGGATAAAATTATGTCCGTTGAAGTGATAACGTGACTGTTGAGCTGAGCCTGGCTAAAGAGGATACCCGGAGCTTTTAGCCGAGACTCCGCCCTTTTGCGCGTTTGCTCCAACAGCCATCAACAGGAGCGGCTGTGAATCGACTGGTGAACGACTATCGCTCGCTGGTTAGAGACGCAAGAGAGCGGGCCGAATCGGTGGCTCTGAAGTCACTGCAACTCGCTGCAGCTCAACTTCAAAGGGTCTAGCACCGTGGGTTCGGACAGGGGACAGGGGGCAGGGACTAGGGTGGCTTAAAGTTCTCGATCATGCTGTTGGAACATGGTCTTTTTCCCTCTTTGCTTTGCTCTTTTGGCCTCTTTTTCCTTCACTTAATTTTCCCTTGTATCCATAGACTCATGCAGTCGCTTATCCTTTCCCTCCCTTGGCGTCTGTGATTGCCCCCGGGGTAATGAACAACCGAGGAGGTCGAATATCTTGCTGACAGCCCGAGCGATACAATAATCGATGTCAGCGTTGGTGTGGTTTCTTTGTCCCTCTCTCTGTTGGTGTGGTTGGTGCAAAGTGCGAAGTGCGACTTGTCCAGCACGAAACCCCTGTCACGACGAGCTCGGAGGGAATCCGGACGATTGGCCGGCGAGAGCGCACGTTTTCTGAGACCAGCGCGACGCCCAGATGGGGTTTTTGGTCTCGTCAGCCCAATGCAAACCGTATCCAAGCCGCCGGTTATCCGTCTTTGCTGATCTGAAATAGCCTGACAGCTGCCACGAGAGCCACTAAACAGCACTCCGTGTATGCGATTTGGCGGGATTCCGATACACACTCGTCAACTAGCCCACCGCCGATGACGTGCCGGCTCCGGTATTCGTACACATCTTCTCGTTTTCAACGTCGAAGGAAGCCCCCCACAAGGCTGGTTCCCTCTCAAGTATGCACGTCCCTTACTCTTTTGACGTTTCGATCGGGTCACAACGGTGTGGTTGGCTGCGACTACGAGCCCACGGACGACACGAAGGTGGACTAGAGCCAAGCTTTGCAAAAGATGGCTAAGCAACGGCGGCCCCCCACGACATGCCTCTTAAAGACTCATACAACTCATTATTGCCCGGTGCTGCCTGGGAATAGTGGGCAGATATGTGTATCCATCACGGAACCCTTGCTGCCGATATAGACCCTTGCCCTGGACGTCAGATATCCGACGATGCACTGTTCTTTAGAATCACCTGGGTAGCGGAACCTTTCCTCTGAGCAACCGTAGTATTTGCTTATTTAATCTTAAATCTAGAGGCACAGCTGCAGGTTGGGTTAGGCAGACCGCTGCTAGACTGTCTACTCAGTCACTTCGCGAGCGGTTCGATGTGACGAACAGGGGGCCGCTCGGCCGATTCCGCACGTGGAGGCCGTCAGACGACATGGATCTTGAGTGTCTTGATGGGTGAGCGGAAAGCCGCTAGTGTAGGATCCGGCATGACGTCCGACTGGGCGGCAGTCTCCGGATGATTGGTCTTAAAGGGCTCTAGGCGGGCTCAACAAGCTTAAGGTGTCGGGCGAGCAACTTGACAGGGTTCAAGGAAAAAGCCAAGTTGGAAAGATGGGTGCTTGGACAGGAGGACAAGAGGCCTAGAGGGTCCCGAAACATCGTACCGCTGGGCAGGTCTACTTCCTTCAGTCTCCAGAAATGTTCCCCGGGTCGTGTTTCGCCGTCGATCTCTCCCGACTTCGTATCCGATCAACACAAGGAATAGAAGCTTTCGATGGGCTTCACTTTGGATGGCATATCGCGCCAAGTTCACGAACATACACGAGCTTTTACAGCCACCTTCTTACTCACGTCCTCACATCAAACGCCGCGTGAGAGCTATTTCCCTCACCGCCAGCATGAACAATTCGGACTCATCGCACTCACGATGCAGAGTAAGCAGAACCGAGCGAGGCAATTTCCCACGGCAAAAGCGGCCTTATCCAAATCATCAGCCTTGGCCCGCTGCATCTCTTCGCGCCGTCGTTCAGCGGCATAGCAGGCACAAAATGGCACAGCAGACAGAGAAATCACTCTAGCTGTTGGGGACCGATGTCCGCACAGCCCATTTGATCAAGCACATATCCAACGGCGTCTCACAAAGCACCCACCCCCTGTTCTTTTTATGTAGCCCTATCAGGCAAGCGCCCTTCGTAACCCTGCTCAAGACGGGCGGGACCCCCCTGCTCGTCTGTTTGACGGTGGGAGTTTGAGGCCGTGTAGTTCCAGCCGCATGTACCGCCTACTGTTGGCCTGCCTGCCTATCTCGCGATGGAGTCAGATTGTCGCCATGCCAGGGGGTGGTAACGTGGACAATGGCGTACAGCACCAGAGGGGCGGTACCGCAGTCGCCCTGGCCGGTTCGCAAGGCAGAAACCGACATGATGGGTAGATATGCGAGCCATACCTGACATGGCCCCCTCTTCAAGTGAAGGAGGCCACAATACATAATGCAGCGGCCGTGGCCTTTAATCTCTCCCATGTGGCATTGTGGCTCTCCTGCAAGATCTGTAAACTCTGATTTCCCTGCCGATCAAACTTGACTTCGACGACTTGATCTGCGTGTCACGCAAGGTCTTGCTCGCTGTGACGATGAAGTTCACCACCTGTCTCGCCGGCCTCCTGGCCGCAGTCACACAAGTACAAGCGGCGTCCGTCTTTGCCCACTTCATGGTATGTTCGCCTCTGATGCTGGCATCTCTGCCAGGTCTATGACTCTATCCTTCAATATCTCAGCTGCTGACAGACATGACCAGCTCATCAACACCAAGAACTACACTCTCAGCGAATTCGAAGATGACTTTAAGATCGCCAAGGACGCTCACATCGATGCCTTCGCACTCAACATGGGTCTGACGGATCCCAACACCAATCAGTCCCTCGAGACTGCCTTCGTCGCCGCCAAGAACGTTGGATTCCAACTCTTCTTCTCCTTCGACTACAACGGCGGCTACCACGGGGGCAAACCATGGCCCAAGGAGACTATTCTGGACATGGCAGAGAAGTACTTCAAGCTCGACGAGTACTTCAAGTATGCCGACAAGCCCCTCGCCTCGACCTTTGAAGGCACAGAGAACGCCGAGGATTGGATCGATATCAAGAACCAGACCGGAGCCTTCTTCATTCCCGACTGGTCCTCCGTGTCTCCCGAGGACGCACTGGCACTAGGAGGCGGTGTTGCTGATGGACTCTTCAGCTGGAACGCGTGGCCTGCTGGTGACCAGGACATGACTGACAAGAGTGATGCTGCGTATGCCTGGGCCCTGAAAGGCAAGCCTTATATGATGCCCGTCTCCCCCTGGTTCTACACCAACCTCCCTGGCTACAACAAGAACTGGGTGTGGCGCGGTGATGATCTCTGGTACGACCGCTGGAACCAGGTGATGGACGTGATGCCTGCGTAAGTTAACTTGAAATGACTGCCTATCTTCTCCATGATTCATGTCGACTGACCATCAATAGCTTTGTTCAAATCATCTCCTGGAACGACTACGGTGAATCACACCACATCGGCCCTGTCCGCACCAACGCCATGGAAGCGTTCGAAGTCGGCGAAGCCCCCTTCAACTACGCCCTCGATCACCCCCACGACGGCTGGCGGCACTTCCTCCCCTACCTCATTGACAGCTACAAAGCCGCTGTGGCCCCTGCGATCAAAGACGAGGCCCTCATGGCATGGTATCGCGGCTCGCCGGCTCTCACCTGCAAGGACGGCGGTACCACGGCTAACACTGTCGCCCATGACCAAGAGATCCTGACGGCAGCCCAGGTGGTCAGGGATAAAATCTTCTACTCCGCACTCCTCACTTCCGGTGCAGAGGTCACCGTCTCTGTCGGAGGCAAGGCGCAGAAGGGCAACTGGACATCGACTCCTGACGGCGGCAAGGGCGTCTACCATGGAAGCATTCCCTTCCTGGGCACTGGCGACGTCGTCATCGCCATGACCAAGTACGGAACTGAGATTGCCAAGATCGATGGAAGAAAGATCGCAGATGAGTGCCCCAGCGGCATGACCAACTGGAACGCATGGACCGGCAGCACAAATGCTCTCCACGTCGACGATCCGAGCCCGTCGCCCACACAGACTGGCGGTGGTCCTCAGTCTACGGCCAGTGACAATGGGTCTGGTGCATCCAACTTCTCGCAAAGTGGGTTGGTTTACGTTATCGTTGCCCTCGCCAGCTTGGCTATTGCAGGTGTGGTATGAATGGGATGAAAGATTGCGAAACTACGATGCACAAAGATGCCAATCCTCGGACATCTCTGGCTATCCGAAAGGCTACGGCTACAAGGAGCATCAATGATTTCTCTCGAAGAGAGCTTGGCAACGCAATGACGCTTTCGGTTTACCTACGCTCGAAACACGGGCACAACTTCGTAAGTGTAGCCTTATTTGGATTCCTTCATCATGCAAATGGCTAATATATCTTTCGCCAGAACGTTTCACGATGGCTTTTGCCCTTGGATCTTCACCTCTCTTGTACATGTTTACTTCAATAGGCATTTGGTGCCACAGCTACCTGTTTAGTGTACGAATTTTAGAAGAGGGACGGAACAACAGCGTTATGATGCTTTACGATTTTTGACGGACAATTTTCATGTACAATACCAATACCCCATCTAGAGAACCACATAGAACATTTCCCACTCCGCGAGAGCTTGTATGAGCGTGTCTTCCCTGGCGATTTCCCCTCTCATCCCACCTTGCAACCTTTGTTCAACAGCAGTTTGACATATCGGATGTTGGCAAGAGACATCAAGTTTCAAAAAACAGCCCACCAAGAATGAGAGCGTGACTTCCCGTCAGACGAGTGATCATGGGAAAATCCCTGGTATAGGCCAAGTGTAATTTACCCCTTCACTAATGCTGTTCACATCTACCAAGGCGATTCAGATCTCACGTATCAGAAATGTTGCAAATTAATTCAATACCGGCACTCAATCCAAGCTAAATCCCACACCTACTTCCATGGCGCGATGCAGCTTGCCGTGTATTGTCTGACCTCGGTGAACAGACTCACCGAGGCGGGGATCAGCATCCATGCAGCGTAGGATCAAGGTTACGATCAACGAGCTGCCTTTCTGGGACTAGACGATCGCAATGCACTCAAGCGATTCAACTTCAGAGCTGCATTCCTCAAACGGGGCACCCGGGGCGTCATCTGATCTCACATCCTCCATCCCATCTTTAACCTCACCACCCCTCTCTTCAACCTCACCCATCCTCACTTGACTCTTATCGTGAGATCAACAGATCCGCAGAACAAGTCAGATAAGGTACATAATGCATTGGCTCGTACCGCTGCTACCGGCTGCCGCCATCTTCTGGCAACACGCCGCCGGCGACCCAACGCCGAGATACAACCCTCTTCCGCCTCTCCGCGAACAAGCTGGCATCCAGGATGCCTGGACCGAAGAGCGCAAAGCGGGCATCCCCGCCCTCCTCAAGAAACACGGCGTTGACGCCTGGCTGGTTCGCTCTCGCCCACGCAAACCTCAACTCTGGAATGCTGTGGAACTGACACACGTGATAGATAAGCCAACGGGAATACGCCGAAGAGACAGTCTTTTGGTCCCTCAAACCAGCATCAACCTTCTCCGCCCGCCGCCGCACAACATGCCTCTTCCTCGCCGAGCCCCTCACCTCCACAAACTCATCCGACTCTGACAGCACCATCATCACCACCCTGCCGCAGCAACCCGGCTGCATCATAGGCTGGACCGCAGACGTCTGGGCGACGCTCAAAACCCAGCTCGAGGCCGCGAACCCAGCCACCATCGCCGTCAACGCCCACCCGGAAATCGCCTTCGCCAGCGGCCTGCACGCGGGCGAGTACCAGGCCATGGCCGCCGGGCTCGGGGGCGAGTGGACCTCGCGCATGGTTGTCAAGCCCGAGGTCGCCGTCGAGTTCATCTCGGCCCAACCCAGCTCGAAGCTGCCGCGGTACCGGGAGATCATGGAGACGGCGTGGGCAATGATTGCCAAGGGGTTCAGTGAGGCGGTTATTGTGCCTGGGAAGACGACGACAGGGGATTTGGAGTGGTGGTTCCGGGAGGAGATTTTGGCGCATAACTTCTCGACGTGGTTTCAGCCGAGTGTTAGTGTGGTCGATGAGGCGCTGCCTTGGACTATGAGAGTGGAAACGACTGTGGATGAGGGTGCTGGAGGGAAGATCATTCAGTATGGGGACATGCTTCATGTTGATTTTGGGTTGACGGCCATGGGATTGAACACGGATACACAGCACCTGGGATACGTTCTGCGCCCGGACGAGACCGATGTGCCTCAGGACTTGAAAGAAGGCTTGAAGAAGGGCAACAAGCTCCAAGATATCGTGCGGCGAAACATTGCTGTCGGCAAGACGGGTAATGAGATGCTCAAGGCGTCGCTGGGTGAGATGCACACGGAGGGTATCCAGGGGCGAGTCTACTCGCATCCAATCGGGGACTGGGGACACTCAGCTGGTCCTCTTATCGGTAAGGAAGACCAGACGTTTCCGTCGAAGCCCTCTCTTTCTCTGGCGCGGTATTGACTTTGCACAGGAATGACCAACATGCAGGAGTACGTCTCGGCGGCTGGCGAACTGGCTGCTATCCGCAGTATGTGGTTCAGCGTGGAGCTGCTCGTAGAGCACTACGTCCCCTCAAGGAATACGACCCTCTGGTTTGCCCTGGAGGAGGATGTGTACTGGGCTGGCGAGGAAGAGGGATGGCAATGGGTCTACGGCCGACAAGAGGAGTTCCACCTGGTGAAAGCGGCCAAGTATCAACAGATGTCGGAGGAGCTGTGAGATGAGCCACTCATTTCAATCAATATGTTACTTCACTTGGTACAAAGTTCGGCATAGAGAGAAGGAAAAGACTGTTCGCTGACAACCGAAAAAGGGGAATATCATCATGAATTTGCTTTTAATGCCCGTTATTTACAACACATCCCAGTTTCCCACCAGCTTACGCCTTGCCATTCTCCCTCTTAATGGGAGGCAGAAGGCTCTTTGTCATTTGTCTCGCGTGCTGCGCCATAAGCGCATCCAGAAGAACAATCGCGGCCATACCCTCGACGATGGGGATCGCACGGGGGACGACGCAAGGGTCGTGACGGCCCTTTGCGGCCAGCACGCCCTCCTCTGAGCCATCGTAGGTCGCCGTCGTCTGGTCCACGCCAATGGTCGCGGGGGGCTTGAAGGCGACGCGGAAGTAGATGGGCGCGCCGTTGGAAATACCACCCTGGATACCGCCAGAGTAGTTGGTCTTGGTGGTCAGCTTGGACCGGGGGATGCCCATGCGCTGGGCGTCGGCCTCGAGCTCCGACTCGGGCGCCTTGATGAAGGCGTCGTTGTGCTGCGAGCCGGGGATCTCGCAGCCGCCGAAGCCCGAGCCGATCTCGAAGCCCTTTGTGGCAGGGATGCTGAGCATGGCGTGCGCGAGCTGGGCCTCGAGCTTGTCGAAACAGGGCTCGCCGAGCGCCGAGGGCGGGTTGCGGATGACGCAGGTGACGGTGCCGCCGATGCTGTCGTCACGCGCCTTGTAGTCGCTGATGAGGTCAATCATCTTCTCGTTGGTCTCCTCGTGCGGGCAGCGGACGGGGAGGAACTGGTCGACGGTGTTGCGGTCGACGGTGTTGAGGAGCGAGAGGAAGGCGGGGTTCGTCGAGGGGCTCGGGTGCTCGGGGGTCGGAGGGAAGAGGTGGCAGTTGCCGACGCTCGTGGTGAAGGCGGTGATCTCGGTGCCGTAGGCTTCGCGTAGGTACTTCTCGGCGAGGGCACCAGCGGCGACGCGGGCAATTGTCTCGCGGGCCGAGGAACGGCCACCACCGGAGGAGGCCTTGACGCCGTACTTCTCGAGGTAGGTCCAATCGGCGTGGGACGGGCGGGGGAACATGTCCATCGTAGAGTTGCCGTAGTCCTTGGGGCGCTGGTCCTCGTTCTGGACGAGCATGCCAATCGGGGTGCCGAGAGTGACACCGAACTCGGTACCGCTCTGAATGACGACGCGGTCCTTCTCGTTTCTAGGCGTCGTGATTGAGCTCTGGCCGGGGCGGCGGCGGTTCAGCTGGGGCTGGATATCGGACTCGGTCAGAGCCATGCCGGGCGGGACGCCATCAACAATGACACCAACGGACTTGCCGTGGGACTCGCCGTAGCTGCGCAAGGGGGCATTTCATGTTAGTCCACAATTGGCCACGAAAGACGGACAGGAAGAATTGGGTCGGAGGAGGCGACGCACGTCGTGACCTTGAAGTAAGAACCGAACGTTGACATTTTTGCTGCCGCTATAAAGGGGGTAATTTGGAGGTGTGGAAGAGGAGAGGAGAGGAGCGGTATGTAAGTTTGGAAAATTATCTGGGCCGATGTTCGGTGAGTCAATCACAGAAAGAAATCGGCCATCTGCGGGGTGGAGGGGTTTTCTATGATGTAGTTGAATTGCCCCGTTAATCAGGTGGGTCTTGTTCATACAGGGGTGGGTGGCCTAATCAAATAGTGGACTCTGATAGATGCAATTTACTGAGAACCTCATCTCAACGCCTTGCTCACTCATCCATTCCGCAACTAAACGGCAGACATAGCTGCCTCAGATCAACTTCTCTCACCTATCAACTCATTTATCTGAATTCAAGTTAGTGTTTCCTCCATCAGATATCACAAACATACCCTTTCATCATTCAACTCACAGCCTGAACTCAAAAGACTATTTGTAGGGGCTCATGAAAATGTCATCTTGAAAGCATCACCAAACTCGTCTCACCTGAAGATATCGCAAACCCTCACAATGCTGTCACTACGCAGCATCCCCGGGATTCTGTTCCGCATTAGACCCTCAATACAACATTCCACCCGCCAAACCCGCCTCTTCTCCGCCCTCGCAGCCTCACCAAAATCAAAGACACAAGTCTACACCTCAGACTCCCGCGACCCCTACGTAAACCTCTCCATCGAGCACCACCTCCTCCAAACGACCCCGTCCGACTCGACCGTCCTCTTTCTGTACACAAATCGTCCCAGCATCGTCATCGGCCGCAACCAGAACCCGTGGCTCGAGGTCAACCTCCCCCTCCTAAAGTCTCTCCCCTCGTCCGACGCCATCGACCTCGTCCGCCGCCGCAGCGGAGGCGGAACGGTGTTCCACGACGAGGGCAATGTAAACTACTCCGTCATATGCCCGCCCGCAAACTTTGACCGCGACACCCACGCGGAGATGGTCGTCCGCGCCCTCCGCTCCCTCGGCGTCGAGGGTGCCGCCGTCAACTGCCGCCACGACATTGTCATGACTCTCCCCCCTCCGCCTTCCTCTTCAGGAACTTCCGCCACAGCCCCGGTGGCCACAACTGATACCGCCGCCTCCGCAGAGGCATCATGCAGCAAGCCCAAAGTCAACGCGGAGAACACGTTCAAGATCTCAGGCTCGGCGTATAAGCTCACCCGCCTCCGCTCCCTGCACCACGGAACATGCCTTCTCTCGTCCCCGAACCTCCCGCGCATCGGTAGCTTCCTGCGGTCCCCCGCGGAACCCTTCATCAAGGCCCGCGGCGTGGAGAGCGTGCGCTCGCGCATCCGCAACGTGGGCATCACCGACACGTCGACGTTTGAGGACGCGGTGATTGGTGAGTTTGGAAAGATGTACGGTGACTTCACCGTCCGGGCGGAACTAGGCGAGAAGGATGCCCTCGGAGAAGAGAAGGTTAAGAAAGGAATACAGGAGTTGCAGGTAAGTTGCCATTGCCTTCTCTTCTCGTTCAGCGATACTTCAGGTTCCCTCGAGTCTGCTTCGGGATCATCAGAATCAGCGTTGGAAGTGGTCGGAAACTAATGAGCCTTCACAGTCTCGAGAATGGACATACGGCCAAACCCCTCTCTTCACCTTCTCTACACATCCCTCAGAAGATGACGCGCGGGAACGTCCTCGGCTCCCAGGTAACGTGAGTACATCTCCTCATTCGCAGTCTTTCGCCCTTTTCGTTTCCATTGAAGCTCGATTTACCCCTTTGATGCTCGGACATATAGCCCATCTACCCAGCATAGCCCACTAACTCGGGCCAGTTTAACCTCACATTCGAAGCCCGCCACGGCCTCATCCAAAGTTTCTCTCTATCCGGATTGTCCTCCGGTCAAGAAGCAACCAAGCTCTCGAATTCCATGACGAACACCCAGATCTGGGAGGTCACAGACTGGGCACAGCGTCTCCGCGCAGAGGGTTTAGACCGAATCGAAGCGTCGACCGTGGGAGAGTGGTTGAATTCTATGTTGGGCAACGGAAAGTGAAGCAATCTCTCGTCAATGAGAGGTCATAATCATGTACGATGTGGAGGCCATAAGGTAGGATAGAGAAAAAGGTGTATGATACTGAATCCGGGTCGGCGAAGTAGGATTCAGGAAGAGTGTCAGACAGCGAGCCCACAACAGCGCATCGTGGTAGACCGTAATCAACAACATCTTTCATCGGCGTTATTATCTATCCGTTTCCCAATCCTTACAGACGTCTCTTTGGACGCATGTTGCCCCTTAAACATCCACCTTGCGATCAGATAACCACCCCCAGCCTTATGTCACCGCAACATCTACCGTCTGTACCCACGATACCCCGCTGCCTCCATCTCCAAACACACTCACACACGGGGCCGACCTTTCTACAGACACCACAGTCCACAAAAAGACCACCAGACAAAAGGCTACATGCAACACCGGGCATTCGCCGGTCGTCTCCGACCCGACTACTACTCCGGCCCTCACTGGTTTATCGATGGGAGAGCGGACGGGATCCCGAGTTCTCCAGTGGGTGTGGTCGCATGTGATGTTGTTCGGGGGTAAAGGTCTCTATCACGGGGCGTAGATGTGGAAGCTCTTTCCATGAGTGAACATCCAAGCTCCTCGGTTCATAGAGCTCCTCGATGTCCAGGATTTCACAGCATGAGACTGGACTCTATTTTGGGCTTCGAACATTGACTGGCCCATCACCCTGTCGGACGAACCTCCATTTGAGTCGGTTCAAGCTGATTCGTTTGTATTTCTATGGTCTCACTACAACATGTCAAAGTGGAGACGTTGGAACACTGACGATAAACACAGAAACGCAACAACACATACTCAACTCCTTGACATCATTTCGCCTCCATCCGACTCATCAAAGGGGCTTCTCGTCAGCGAGCACATACGGAGACGAGGGCTTGCTAGGGAGGCGAGGCCGAGGGGGAGATTAAGATGGAAACACCCAACTCCCCTTCCGCCGTATCATCTACACATCACCGACAGCTCACTAACAGCATCCCCTCAACAACAAAAGATGAATCATGAGACACGCAAAACATTCCAGTCGGCCCGTGAGTTCACTACCTCTGTCCCCAGCATCTCTGCCATCTGCAACGTCCCATCAACTATCCCACTCCGCACTCACCCTTCTCACCGCGTCAATATCAAAACGTGATCGACAGCAAAGCAATGAGACAACAACCAAAAAGCTCACCCACAATTTTCTCTTCTTCCAAATACTTCCCCACCCAATAAAGTCAGAGAAGGGTCTCAAATCTTCAACACTCCAAGACCTCACATCCCCAAAAGAACCCGGATGTAAACCCCAAAACACGAGACAAAGATAACAAAAACCACATACGAAGGCACCTCCAACTGAGACATACAAAACACCCTGGTCACGTTCTTCCCGCCTCACTACCGAAGCGGTTTCCGACGGTCTAACAAAAAACCCTTGAAGCAAAGATGGGAACCGCAACGGCTTGGCGGTGGGTGTGCCACAGTGCCACAGTGCCACAGTGCCACAACCCCCCTTATCACCACCCTCCCCGTCTCCGATATTCACTGCACTTTCCCCCAGGGTCCTCATCGAGCATCACGAGTTTGAACCCAGCGATAAGAAAAGGGCTCACGAGGCGGGAAGGAAGGGGGTAACAGGGAGGCTGGTGGCTGGTGAATGAGACATGTCCAATCAAGTCACGCCTCCACCTCCAACAAGAAGGTATTGGCAGGTGTGGCAGTCCCAAATTCAGGGTTTCGTATGTTCACAAGTCTCACTCGCCACAGCCGTGGTTCACATAGGTAAAGTAGTAGTGAACGTTTTCGTGTTCGTTCTCCGAGAAGCGACCAACCACACGATGACCTACTACCTACCTACCTTACTCTACGTTATCTGACGTGACTGAAGAACAAGACCCTGAAAAAAAAGCAGCCACCTCTCTCACATGTATCCGTTTTCCCAAAACCTGGAATTCCTCGTGTACGCCTCCTATACGCCTCCCCCCTCCAGTCTGGATCTAGCTAGGCACACCACACACCAAGAACCTAAGGGGAGGGAACGTTTCGTCACACGCTGATGTAAGTGCCACCACCCTTCAAAAGCCATCGAAAACAACCAAACAACGAAAACAAAGAGATACCTACGTAGAGACAGAGGATAGATAGGAACGTACCTACTCTACTGAGCCACCAACTTCATGGGATCCCAAAAAACCTGCCAAGATCAATTTGACATGGCGGGGAAACACGAATCTACGGTACTTCTGCAGCAGTAGAACCAAATGTAGGTAGACATGGAAAAGAAAGAAGGTGTGACTGCAGGACGCAAAGACTAGACTCGCTCCTAGTCAACCATTTCCTCGGGCTCTCTTTCGTTATCGCCTAGCACAGTAGGTAGGTATTCCGTGGACCTGCCACGCCTGCTTAGGCTCCTGTCGCGAGGCAGCTGAATAGATAAGAAGAAACGATATGGGCGGGCGGGCGGGCGGGTGTTTGTGCCCTCATCGACATGTGAGTCTGTCTGCCCATTCTCCAACCAAATAATGACTAATAAGCACACCAAGACCTCGAGGCAGGCGACCGAGACATCCGCAGTGACAAACAAAGGTGAAGGTGTGGCTTTTTTCGTATCACACCCGGGCTTCTCTACCGGTACCCTGAACTCGTCATACCGTCACATGTGTTGCCTGTCCTTCGTCCCTCAACAGAAACACATACTCTCTCCTCGTCGTCATCTTCTCCCTTTCATCACCTTCCCCCCCCCCCCATAAGAAATCATTTTCCCTCGTCCTACCCTTCTTGTGTAACTCAGAGTGAGAGAGAGAGGGGAGGAGGAGGAACGGGGGAACGGTGGACACTACCGTCATTGGAATTTCTGCAGTGACAATCTGACATTCCATCACCCCCAGTGGCCCTACCCTCCATCTCGAACTTGATCCACCACGATCAAATCCGCTCCGAAAGGGAGGACATGCAGGGTCTAAGTAATCACTGCTGAGGACGGGAGAGGGAAAGTCATCTTCATCGTTTAATGCACACCAGCTGAAGTAAACCCCATGGCTTAGACATCTAGCCAAATTACAACCAAGGAAGAACGTAATCTCTGCACGCTCCCCAAGCCAGTGCGATATCAAAAAATTAAAAAAGGGTCTGCTATTCAAAGTCACCATCGCACCCTTCTCTTCGGTCACCCCAGACCAGGACCATCGGCGAGAAATGGGATGACGTGCAGCAGCAAAGCATGGTAGAACCACTACCTACATACAGCCCACACACCACCAATCCAAACCCACACTCCCGAACCAAACTCGCACACTCCACTGGTCTAAGCGTGAGAAGGCGTGCGAGATGTGCCCTCCCCCCCCGGGGCGGCTCTGAGCCTGCAAACCACGCAAACTACCCACACCAGCCATCAAGTCTCCACAGGTCAGGATGCATCAAGGCCAGAAGAAACCTTGAAAAAGACAGAGAACATCCCAGGTGCTGCGCCGCGACCGCGCATACGATGCGAGGTGAAAGGAGTTGATCGGCCTGCGAAGCGTGCGAAGCTAGGCGTTGGATCTTCCCTTGCCCAAAGATCACGAACCCCTCTTCCTCACTCCACCACTACCTACCTGTGTGATGTGCACTGCACATCACTCTAGCAAACCGGGCCTTTTCTCCAGTTGCATGTCACCCTAAAAGAGAAACCATGACCCTGATCCCCGCCGATCACTGTCGACGCCGTTACGTTTTTTCCTCACCATCTGTAAGAAACTTGTTCTCGTCCTGGCTACCTGTGATAAGTGATGAGCCCAAAACAAACCAATCCAAAGCTGCGAAACCGACACATTTGGAGACCCGGAGGCGCGGGTTGCATCGGGTCCAACGTAAGGTATGGATCGATGGGCTGCGGGCAGGCAATGCGGAGGATAAGGGAGCCGTGTGCTAGCACGGCTTGCACGGGCTAGCCTCTTCGCCTCGAGGTATGTGTCTGTAGATTGTAGGCACGCAGGCATGTATGCACGCGGTGGTAAGATATGATGGCCGGGTTTTTGACTTCCCCTACACCAAAAAAGCGGCCATCATTTATTGCCACCGCGTGGTATGTCACCGCATGTGGTTGACTGTCGAACAAGCCCAAACTTGCACACCGGCCGGAAGAGGGGGCGGGTGATGGAGATTGTGGTCGCCCGGTGTGTCAAGCCAATCAACTTGCCCCTCATCCAGACCTTGAATGCCGATACCGTGAGAAAAGCACCGAGAAAGGGCGAGATGAGAGTCGAGACTTTGGGAGATTTGGGGTGGGAATCAATCACATCTGAGGTCAGCACCAAATCGGTGTGATTCCCTCGCACTTTGGTCCGGAACGACGGTCTCGACGAATAATCGCGACCGTACGGTCCTCCGCACCTCCCGCACTTCTTGGTCTCCAGACAGCGACTCCTCCCACCACCCCTTTCCCTACCCCAGATTCACATGTTGCTTTTTTTTTTCTGGGCCCCCTGGGGCAAGCAGGACAGCGGGGGCATGTGTATCCGTACTGGAGCTGTGCACGACGGACGACGACAACCTCTTGCATCGATCGTTCAAGGGGTTTTCTTCCCCAGCTGAACTGCGAGCCGCCTCTTTCTCCAGCGCGATCGAAATAACGAGTCAAGTCCCTGCCAACAGAGCTTTGGTCCGAAGTGAAGAGATCAGCCCTTTTTTCGCCGTGGTCGTTGATGAGGGGTGGGAACAGCTCTGGTGCTGGACAGTACGTGTTTGATGGTCTAGACATGGTGGGATGCGCCTTCGCCATGTGTTAAGCTTGCCTGTCAGCCAGCGAGCAATTATGATGCCATGGTGAGAAAAACAAAGCCAACGAGGAGAGGTATTTCCCTGTTCAGCTGTCTGGGGAAAGGAAAATCCCACGGCTGCCGCCGCTACTGTAGTCGAGCGGCTTCTGGCCTCCGGCCTCCCACACTTTTCCCCAGACGTCTGATATTTTGACACTTTTCCCCCCAAGCAAGCCAGTGCACACAGCTCGTAGAGTGCGGAGCGGAGGCGCGCAAGCCGCTCTAGTGGCGAGAAGGGGGCCAGCGAGCAGTTGGATACCGGACAATACGGGGAAGGAGAGACATTGGGAAATATGACGAGGCACATGCTAAACCCCAAGTTCCACCTCGCACGAGATGTGATGGTGGGAGGAGGGTGGCGATGAGCAAGAAAGTCCAAGTCTAAGAAACGGGTATGGGATACAGTGCCATTGACTGCAACGCCGTACGCAGAGAGATGCCCAGCTAGTGTTCTTTGAAACGGCGGAGGTCAAGAGAGGCATCGGATATGAGCAGTCATATTCTGCTGGGTGCCCTGTTGGGATGAAGGACTACCGGTATAGTTGGGGTATCCGTACCGTCGGGGAACCCGACGAAGAAGGATTCTGGTTTTAGTTCATAGAATGATGATTTCGCAGTGTCGTGCCAATCGTCCAAAACCTCTTGAAGAAAGTCGAAATTCTAATAGAGAAGGGAGCGTCGTCGCCGAAACGTCACGCCGTTTGGGGAGGCTACCTGATGAGCATGCATCAAGTTGATCGACACAAACGACCAACGGCCGTCCTTGAATCCTACGGGATTGACGTTCGATGGAGGCGAGTTTTGGCTAGAGACGCAAGAAGGTATAGCAGACTTGCTTCTATTTGCGTGTGTACGGGAACTGGGATGGATCATGGACGACTTGTGTTGGTCTGGATGTCTTAGCTCCCGTTGATTTGCAGATAGGATGATGCATGGTGTTGCTCCTCGACGTGCGCGCGTTCCCTTCTCGTGGCCGCGCATCAGTGGCACTGTCGCTTAGGGCGGCGGGACGAAGAAAATAAAAAAGACACCAACACCAAATTACCCCGGAAAGCAGAGGCCGATATTGGTCTGTGTGCGAGACAGGCAAGCCACGACTCAGACTCAGGCTCTTCGGGTGGCAGATGTTGACGACGACGGACTCGTGCTTGGGCAGCTGATTGCGCAGGTGGTTCATGGTCGACAACGTCAACACGACACCAATCCCGTCTTTCCCCAACCTCTCTCTCCTTTGGGTCTTCTTGTCCGTAGCCCTTATCTGCAACCTGACGAGCAGTCCGGTAATTAAATGGATGGTGATGCAGACGCACATTGGGCCTGCGACATGTATCCGTAGTTCGTCTCGCTGCAAGCTACGCCGCAAGCAGCAGATGCCCGCGTTTGTCAACGGAGTCAGGGACCCTGTGCAAAGCTGGACCAGCTTCGCGATTGGGGGGTTTCTCGACGGACAAGCCGCCGACAATCGCAGGCCCATGCCGCCATGCCCTTGCGGCTTTGCCTCCCTCTTCTCCGCAGTTCGCGGCTGGCTGCCCTAGTTTGGACCGGGCTATTTGGGGTAGATTTGGACCCCGTGGCCAAGAGGGGGTTGTCCCCGGGCGTCGGAAGGGAATGCCAAAGCGAAGCCATCGTGAGATTTTTCTGCCCCTCAGACTTGTTTGATGATTGGTCCCAAACCCCTGCTCTTCTGCCACGTCGGCATCTCTTTCGGGTTCGTTGCAGGGAAGCAGGCTCACCGGTGAGACCACCCAGCCGTCCCTGGAGGCGTGCGGAGGCAGAAGCATCGTGAGCTTCACTTGTTTCAGTGGGTCTCGCGAACGTTCTATGTAGACACGGCGATGAAGGTACCCGTCCCATTCCACTCTGGCAGGCTCTACCCGGCAGAAAGGGAGAACCGCATCGTGGGCCGTTCTGGATTTTGGACCCTTATGTCCTTTCTGGTCAACGGTTCCGAGTTCGTGACGGCTCAGATTCTTCGAGGCCCACGATGCATCCATTCCTTGCCTCACACGGTTGCTGAACCGAGCCGGGACGTCTTTCACCGACCGGCAGTAGAGCCGGGTATTGGAGGCTACCCATGGCTGGGCTTGATGGCTGGTGAAGTCATAAATGGTCCAGTCCCGAGTACAGAGTACATCCGCCCAGCGGCGTGGTTGCCATTGTTGGGTTGGGGTACCTAAGACGAGCAGGGCGCTTGAGCCGGGAGCGTTTGGGCTGTCAAAGAGATGTGAATGCCGTGGAACAATTCTCTGGCGCGGGATCGTCGAAATCTCAGCCAAGGACGAGATCCGCGTGCCTCAATGGCTGATGTGAATAATAAGAGTTGGTCCGTGTATGTTCCGACTTTACTGCCAATATCTGCTCAAGGTGCCGGACCAGAGGCATAAAGCATCTTGGCAACTTACACCGAGAAGCGACTTCGTGAATCCAACCACGCCAACTTATCAAAATCATTCTCGGCGTAGTGGGCCTCACTACTGCGGTGCTGTGTCCGAATTGGCGAGGGATAAGCAGTGATCGCCGACACAGTCGAGCAGAGGCACAAATCCTAGGAGCGCTAGACAGGGAGGGTAAGAGGACCCAGACCTCACTGTGAGTCGCGATGGCCGGAGATTTCCATTGAATCGAGCCGATCCCGTCTCGAGTCTCGACCACGGCCGGCTCACAAGTGCAGAAGTGACATTGATGGGCATCGGGCGGTTTGTTGGAGATCATGGCCCGGTGCGCCGTGGCCTCTTCGATCTCTGCGAGCGTGGGTTCCGGAAAGACACTACACAAACGAGGAGTTGACGTGCCAGCGGTATGTGGCTTTCCGTGATGCCGTCTCTTCCCGAGACTGACATTGCCAGCCGGCCAGCGATGCTAATCCGGATCGGGCAACCTGACGGAACGAGCTGACCCCAAGTCCGATCGCTTCACGCAGAAGCAGAGCTGGCTCGGCGGCTTTTCTCTGGTTGTCAACGCATTGTCCAATCGCACGGCGACTCCAGTGTTATTGCTGATCAAGCTAATGCCGTTGACGACCCAGGCTTACGGTTCCTGCACTCTCGTCACCTCTGTTGTTCAGGCCATTGTCTGGATGGTGGGCAACTCGACTGCCACAATTTGACGGGAGGATTGCTTCTGGTCCTGTAGTTTCTCGGGCGATCGCGTGACTTTGTCGGCCGCTTAGAATGTGACGATTATGACAACTGTTTAATCACTCATCTTGACATCGCAACGGCCCCGAGGAACGACGTCTTGTACTCGCCACAACATGGTTTCTGGCGCTGAGGGACTTTTAGCAGAAAGTGGCATGTCGGCAGATCAGTTGGCGACATTGCACTTCTTAACGTTGAAGGTGAGCCAAGCAAAAGCTGGGGACTTGCTGCGAGCTCGCGATATATGCATGAGTTCCGCTTTGTCTCTGAAAGCTGAAGACTCTTTCAGCTTCGGGTACCGCCTCCACGTTCGCTCCTAACGTGCTATTCACAGTCGTTTTCGTCCTTTAAATTGCGGATGATGACGATGATGCAAGCTGCGCGGCAGGTGGAGACCGTTAGGCCTCGACGAAACCAGCAAAGTAACCGTAGCCAAGGACAGGTGAGGGAACTTGGGTGCTTGGGAAGCATCGTCCGCGCCGCGTACTCACCCGAGACAATTGACGATGATGGCGGCTCCATCGTCGACTCCACACGTCTCCCGCTCCGACTTTGACGATGGCACCGTGGTGCCAGCATGGCTTGCTACATGGATAAGGGTAGTTCCAAGACCGCCGAGATGACGATCGTGCTTGATCTGGAGTCTTCCGAGAGAGCAACTCGGGTTGCAATAGAGGAGCAGTTCTTCCGAGGGATAGTGGCATAGTCGTCGAGCAAACTCAATGAAATCAACGACAGCGGCAATACCGGCGACGAAGCAAAACTCGAGTCGTTCGTCAGTGACTGAGCCAGGGTCTATCCTGCTTCACTTTGGCTTGGTGAGAGCGCCGCCGCCCCTGATCGATCGATTGGTGGTTTCTTTGACTCTGAGTGGCTGGCTCATCTGGTGTGCGTCAAAAGCTGGCCCCCTCATCCATGCCAACAGAGAAAATCGTAGTACCTAGTCACTGCCTCGATCGCCAGACGCCGTGTTGTTCGGTATTCAGTTGCCGACCCGGGACTGTGGAGCGATGTTTGACGGCGGTAAAAGGCTGAACTGTCTCTTGCACCAATGGCAAAGGTTGCTTTCTGAGTTGAGTCTCCCATCGACTGACCACGAGTGCCTCATATTGCTCATCATACGGTTGAAACCGACGACCAAATGCCAACGTGCTCAGCAAAGTTTCTATATCCTAGGATAAATCCAATGAAACGTGGCTCACAAGCTTGGGAGCAGAAAATACAGAACATCAGGCCATTGCACGGCATCAGCGTCTTGTCAAGCCAATGCCAAGCCTTGACTGCGTCTTGGACAGCCGTGTTGATGATTTACTACCGTTGAGAGAGCTGGTGAGACGTCCCCGTCGCCGTAGGTGCTGCCGCCGAATGCTCCCTGATGGCTGATGCCCTGCACAGCGTTCAGAAGTCTAAAGCTTGGCTGTGAGCGGGCGCCGGAAGTCTTCGCCAAGAAATGTTCGATACGTGCATAGATTAGGAAACTAGACTGCTCTGCCGACTAGGTTGACTGCCGGGTGGTGGCTTTCCCTGTCGTTCAAACTTCAAGTCAATTCGAGGATGCGGATGCCGCATTACCTTAGGGTCTGGTTCGTGGCGTCCAAGAAGGAAGCATGCAGAGACAGGAGAGATGCAGCTCCGAAACCAGGCGACGAATGGGCACTGCAGAGGGCGTCTGGCATCCAATGGCCATGTCGCACAGTGAGCCAGGAGAAGGACACTTGCATGTGCGTGCCTTTTGATTGTGGAGCTGACTCTGCAGTTGTTCAGAGGGAACTGGAGAAGCGAGTTCCAGATGTTGAATTTCGACCAGTGCCGAAGAAAGAGGATGTGCAGCGATTTCTTAGCGACAGGTGGCTGTCCCATTGCGGACTGCAAGCTTGTAGTTTTGCTGCTCATAGTCGCCTGTTCGTGGTGTTATCAAGGTTTCGTTTCCACCCGTCGGTGTCGGACCTTGTCAAAGAAATAGACGGGATGAGCCACCTCCATGCGCGCGTTCTTTGTGTGCGGCAGGGTAACCTGAGGAAACGTCAGGCTTGCGGGCGCGACAGCCTTGGAAAGAGGACGTCAAGAAATCTAGATTCTGATCTGCCGGATGGTCGATGGTTTCTCCGCGCGCCATCCACAACGAAACCAAGCCGTGCTTCTAATGACCAGCAGTTTGTGGCTGTAGGCTGTAGCGTTCCTCGTCATAACTACGCAGCCGGCTCCTAGGCCGCTACGCCGTGAACAAGTGGATAATCGTCGCCGCCGCCGGCCACAGCTCTAATACCTGCCCGTACTCCGTAATGTACAGAGCACTGTGTAGGTTGTCCAACGCACGCACTGAACGGCCCAAAGTGTACTGTGTATCCGTAGCACCGTGATGAAGGTGGACAAGATCGGTCGGTTGTGGAAACGCACGTTTGTTGGTAGGGCGGCACGGCGGGAGTTGGGCTCAATGAACGGGGATCGAGGACCGCCTGTGAAAATTGGTGACAACCCCGGGAGCTAGGGAGACATCGGGCCAGGGAGATACCCAACGTCAGGTAGCTGGACTCTGGAGCCTGGACGGGAATCCAGCCCGTTGCCACCGAATAGTGACATTGACATTGACAACGGCAACGGGCAAGGACAAAGACATGCCAACTGCCCGAAGACGGATCAGGCTCCGTTCGGGTTGGGCCGCTGGTCCTGTGTGTTTGCATCGGCCAACTGCAAATTGTTGAATGATTGGGACCGAAGAGGTGGGATTGTGTCCCCAATGTGCCTTGTTAGTCACAGACATGCTAGCCGCCGGGTTGAAGAGTCAGACGAAAAGGCAAGCATCGGTACTCGGTAGTGTATCCGTACCTAGGTAATAAGGTAGGTATTCGTAAAGATTTGGGGAAAGACAACCTAAGTGGAAGAAGATGCGCGAGACACGCACAACACACGAGGAGGCGTAGCGCAGGTTGATGATGGGCGGTTCCTTTGTTCGATTTGGCGCTGTCACTGCGGCACTGCCAGCACTGGCATTTGGATGTCTTGGTGCTGTGCAGTCTTCGCCGTGCTTGTCTTGCAGACTTGCCGCAGGTCGGAGACTTGACTGAAATGTGGTTGACTCTTCTTGTCGATGACATCTGCATCACGCGTGTGTCACTGCGTAGCGGAACATGTCTTGCATGGGTGCATTCCTCGCGAGGCACTTTGATGGCGAAGGATTTTCCAGTTGGGACTGACTTGTGCAGTTTTCCAACACACAGACTGGTGAGGCGAAGTAAAGTGATGATAGGGAGTCGTTGGTATCTTTCTTTTTTGTCGTTATTCGTACCTTCCAGGTGGACGGCGGGGAGAATGGTACGTGCCTTGTCGTCGGCGCATGTCGCGAAAAAAGGTGAGAGGCTCCAGCGGGCCAATGACGAGATGCAGATCATGGCGCGATAAGGCAAGGTACCTGGTCGGAAGTCCCTCGTTCCCTTTCTCCGTAGCTGCTGCCCTTGCCCTTGCTCCTGCTTCCATCTGCCCCTGCCCCGGCCCCTCCCCCCCCGCTTTGGCCCTCGAAAACTAGAGCAGTACGTACCTTTGTCGGGATGGTGAGGATTTGGCCAGCTCGCTTCTCTTTTTTTACTGGAGTCTTGTCAACCTCCCAAGCGGCCAAGCCAAGGTCTGCGGCCTGTCGCTCAAGATTTTGTCTCGCACTCTTTTTTCGAATCTTGAACTCGCAGCCGCAGCACGGGCCAAACGTCGGCCATCCTTGCCCGTCCATCTGTCTTGGACCCCTGCGCTCGCCAGCCAGGCAAGTAAGGCCTTTTGCGGCTTTGCCAATGCCCCATAGCTCGCTGCCTCTCCTGGCTTGGCCAAGACAGCACACAACCTGTTCTCACTTCTCAGGTGTGCGAGTTGTCTCTTTTTTGCAAGGAACAGCGCTCCGAACTGGAGCACGGTATCCATAACTATGCAAGCACGCAGGAGGTCAATTAGATGGAGCACGCGACGTGGTGCGAGGCATGTGCGGCTACCGGGTCGTATGAGGATCCATTCGTACCTGACTGGAGTCTTGAGTTGTATGGGATTTTCTTGATTCTCTGAAGAACGATCCGTCATCGAGATTCGTGCGAGGGATGGGCATTGGGGATGTGAGGGCGAGGCCAAGAATCGCAAGAAACGGGCATGGTGGAGGAGGAGGGTACAGAGAATAGAATCGAAACGCTCCTAGGGCGGATTCGACGGAGCTCGTCGTCGGCAAATAGAGTGCAGCATAACCGTAGATGGATAGATGCTGGGAACGGCACCTAACCAAAGAGCTGCCCATACTTTCTACGCCATACGGCATGGTAGGTAGGAAGATGGACGGGTCAAAACACTGTGGATGGGATTGTGTGAATCGTGGGTAGCTGGCAGCCTGCCACATTTTGCTGGGCATTGCACGTCCTAGTTGAGCTGAGCTAGTTAACATGCTCCGACCTGTCAGTTTTCGGCCGGCTGCCCTAGACTTTGGAGATAATGGCATGTCATCGTAGCTGAACTTCAGATAGATGGGAGAGGCGTACACTACCTGCCGACGATGACAGCCAAGCCGCACATGGGAGGGCCTAGACGAGAAGCCACAAGGCACTGAGATGATATGTGCTGCTAACGACGTCTGGTTGCTCGTGATGATGGGACGAGCCCAGTCCTGTGTATGCGTATCCGTCGTAGCCTTTGCTGCATGGCGCCTGCAGGGTGAGGTTGCTCTGTTGGGCCACTGTGAGGTGTTATTGGGACGCAAAACTAAGCTGCGAACGCTGTCCGTAGGTACTCCGGCCATGTCGTTCCACGGTGTTCAGATGTAATGATTCGCCTCATCTACAATATACCTTTGCAATGAATCAATACCTGGGTAATCTGAACACTATCTGTATATTTTGAGGATAGATATCTGGACGTCAAATGTATGGTAGTGAGGACGTACCTGAGGAGGGTAGCACGACGAAGTACGTACTGCGTAAATGGAAGTCAGGAAGGCATTGCAGGATCATGGCTTCGAACGTGCCTTGGGCCGTGCTTGCGCCTCGTTGTACGACCGGGTGCGGATGCTCCTTATCTCTGCAGCAATCTGTGCAAAGGAGGGCGGTGACCTGTGCTAATATCCACCAGCATCACCCCGACACCACGCCAGTCCCAATCTAGAAGACCCACTCAAGATAAGGTCATCCTCTGCAATCAGGGCCAATCAGAAGGATGTTGGCCGCGACCCAAGGCACAGACTCGCATACTGTGTCTTTTGGCTCATTGTGCACGGTATTCGCAAGGTGCAGGCGCCCCTCCTTCCCGGCCCTCTTCTTTTTCGCAGCAACGAGCGTCCCTCTTCCTCCCGTCATCCCGTCTTAATGCTGCACGATGGCCTGTGCAAAAGCGCGAGGCTAATAGCGAGGATTGGATCTCTCTAATTGCGAGGGCGTGAGAGCGAGAGCTCGTCCGAAAGAAGATGAGGAAGAAGACAAGAGAAGCAGAGAAAAGAGCGAGCCCAGTCTGAGCAAACGTAGCGCCTTTCAGAACTCCCGCTTTCCTGGGAGAATACACAATAATCTCCAGTCCAAGTCCAACATTGAAGGGTCTCCACTGCGGGCGCCGCGCCTACGCAGTTATGGCCTGCGGCCTGTCTTGTCTTGTCCCTGTGTGTCCCGACTCCCGTCGCCATTTCGTCTTTCCTAGGAATACCAGACCCGGTCCTTCCTCCTTGCCCGCCGCCGCCCGCCCCCTCCTTCTCGACCTTTCCGGCCCCCCTCTCCCAGTCGTCTCTATCACAAACGCACACACCCACACATGGCAGCTTTTGCACATACACACAGGGCAGAGCAGAGAGAGAGAGGGAGCAGGAGCTGCGGCAGTAGCAGCAGCAGGGAGTGTCGTCCAGTGTGTCAATCTGTGTGTGTCTGGGAATCCGTCGTGCCTTCCATTCGCTCTCCACCATCCACAGCGACCCGAAACCAAAGGCGCTGCTGAACGTGTGAATGTCCCACTCTTTGCGGCACCCACCACCATTTCCTTCCTTCCCTCTCCCCAAGAAAAGGAAAAAAAAAAAAAAAGGGGAAAGAACAGAGAGAAACCAAATCTCTTGGTCCCCATCCATTTCCCAATTCGCTCACCCACATACACCTTCATCACCACCAACAACCCCATTTAGTTACCAACGCAACACCAAGTTACCAACCAGCAAGCACCGGTAGCGGGAACACTCACTCCCACACACTTCAGTCAGAATCCCGACCCCGACCCCGGACTACCTTACTCCTCTCACACACTCTCTCCCTCTCTCTCACACACCACACACTCATCAATCACACATACCTACTCATTCACACACCCGACCTCACCTCATCTCACACTCCGCACGCTAGGTACTCTCGTACTGTGCACTATTGCCTCCCCTCCTCCCAACCTTGCCTGGCTTTGCCTTGCTTGGCTTTTCGCATCCACACCCACCCACCACACCAAAAAAAGACTGAGATCCCTCGTCTTGTTCCTCCCCTCGTCTTTTAGTCCCGTCCACGCCCCGGAAGTACCTAACCTTGCCAACCTTTCGTCGAACCTCCTGGCTCTTGTCTTTCGTCCCTCTACCCATCCATCCATTTTTGACTTCACATCGCCTCGCAATACTTCATCTTGCGTCCCGCCTGCGTCTTGCCTAAGCAACTTTGCCTTTCTGCTAGCGACTCTTCCGACGACTATTTCGACTTCCCGACCACGAGATCCTGCGAACTAACCTTCTCCCTCGCACCACAACGATTCAACTTCTCGTCCAAATCTTCCCTACTTTACTGCGGGCTCGTTACGATCCATACGTCGTTCCTCGACCTCTTCTACTCACCCAACCCAAATTTACGCCTATACTACACAATCGAACCGCTCCTACCATCATGGCAATCTAAAGCCCGAACCGTCGTTGCGATTCTCTTTCTCGGCCGCCGTGCGAGCCTCGTTCTTCATTCTCCCACGCCCCTCATTATGTCGAATCGCCGATTGAGACTTTCACGACCAGTCGATCTTGAGCGCTTCCACGCATACTATGGACCCACAACAGTCTCTTCCTCACCAGAGGAACTCTCACAACCCTCATCTGCTGGCCCTTGTGCCGCCCACCTCCAATCCTCTATCTCTGAGGTCTTCCGCTAGCACGCCAATGACCTCACCGGGGCTTTTCAGTCCCTCAAACCCGCGTCCGAAAATGACCTTTCCGATTCACGCCTCGTCCGACTCCAACACCCCCAACGTCGAGACGAGCAGTCCCTATCTTCACCCACTTCAGAACCACAAAGTCAGAGAGTGAGTCAAGCTCTTCCTTCTTTCGCTATGCCATTCTGCGGTCGCGACTTCCGTTGGACAAAATCTCGATCTACCAGTCGAGGCGGTATCGTGACTACGTAATCGACAGCGGGGGCCAACCGCAGGCCCCGCGACAAGGGGATGATTATCTGATAAGCTAACCATGTCGGTGACCAGGACACACAAAGCCTTGATTGACTCCGACAGCATCACCGGCCGCAAACTCATCAACCAGTACGAAGTCATCGAAGAAATTGGTAGGGGCGTGCACGGAAAGGTCAAGCTCGCCCGAAATCTCAATACGGGTGAAAATGTGGCTATCAAAATCATTCCGCGGTACTCCAAGAGACGCCGACTCGGCAAGGTCATGGCCATGTCTCCGCAGGAAAAGACGATGAGAGAGATTGCCATCCTCAAGAAGATGAGGCATCCCAACGTCGTCTCGCTCCTGGAGATCATTGATGATCCGGAATTGAAGAAGATCTATCTGATTCTCGAGCACGTTGAGCTAGGCGAGGTTGTCTGGAGAAAGAAGGGACTACCACACATCTGCCACCACGAGCGTCGTCGCATCGAGAGAGAATCCAGAGGCCAGCCGCTGACTCCAGAAGAGGAGCAATACGAGAGGATTATGGAAGAGCGGTACAAGATCCGGGAGCAAAAGAGGGAGAAGATGTCCCGAGCCAACATGAACACACACGAGCACTGGAGCATCGAGCATGGCCTTTCCGACGACGCCAGCTGTGGGTCGCAATCCCGCGTTCCCTCGAGGGACGATCTGGGCGCCCTGGACTTTTTCGGGGGCGAAGGATCACAACCAAATTCGCTGCAGGCATCCCGGGCCACATCTCGAGCGCCATCGCGATCCCAGTCTGTCAAGTCGATACGCGATGCCCTTCTCGATCAGGAAGCTATCGATGACACCGAAGACATCGAGACGCCAGGCCCGCTACAGACAAGCAACCCAGGCTCAGCCACCGCACTCGATGGAACGATGTATGGTGCCTACATGGAAGATGCGGCCTTTCGCGGTCGCTCACCCAGCATGGCTGATTCCATTATTTCGCACATGTCCTCGGTCGACTGGAACTCTCGGATGCACGACCCATTTGCTGAAGACTTTTCTTACGTTCCTTGCTTTACCATTGAGCAGGCAAGAACTACTTTCCGAGACACTGTCTTAGGCTTGGAGTACCTGCACTACCAAGGTGTCGTACACAGGGATATCAAGCCTGCCAATCTGTTGTGGACCAAAGACCACCGCGTCAAGATCTCCGACTTTGGTGTGTCGTACTTTGGCCGCCCCATCCGAGAAGGCGAGGCCGACGATGAGACAGTCTCGGAATCCGAAGCACAAGATTTTGACGACGATCTCGAGTTAGCCAAGACAGTTGGCACCCCGGCGTTCTTTGCACCCGAACTGTGCTACACTGATGCGGACCGCATGGAACAACCGAAAATCTCCGAGATGATCGATATTTGGTCACTTGGCGTAACACTCTACTGCCTCATCTATGGACGCATTCCTTTCCAGGCCGAAGATGAGTGGCAGATGTTCCGGAAAATTGCTACAGAGGATGTCTTCATCCCCAAGAAACGCCTCAAGGCAGTGGACCCTTCTACCCCTCCCAACTCCGAATCTCTCTTCAAGCGGCATAATGTGCCCCCTTACAGAGACGACAACGAACTCGCCTACGAAAATATCGACCCTCTTTTGCAGGACCTCTTGCGTACCATGTTTGCTAAAAACCCGGACAAGCGGATCCGGCTAAAAGACATCAAAACCCACGCTTGGGTTGCGAATGGCATTCCAGATTTGGAGGTGTGGTTGAGGGAAACTGACCCAGCCAAGAATACGGGCAAGCGGGTCCAGGTCAACGACAGGGAGGCAGCCCGTGCCGTCGTGCCTATCGCCTTCCTGGAACGCGCACGATCTACTGTGAAGAAGGCAGTTGGAAAGTTGATGCACCCTTTAGGGGATCGAAGCGATAGCCGTTCAAGGCGGAGGGCTGCTAGCAGTGCTGCTAGCTCGGCTGGAGACAGCATGTTCAATGTGCCGCCTACGCCACACTCGAGAGAAGCACGCAGAAAGAGTCTCAAGGGCGAAGACTATTTCTCAAACGTCAAAGACTTTGCGTTTGGCGGCTCTGACCATCCTCTTGTTCACAGCGAGACTGTTTCTCCCTACGAGTCTCCCTACGACCCTCTCGCTACGGCTATCGCTCAACCCGTCAAGGGCCAAGGGGCTGCCCTTTTACATGCCATCCAGAATAGCTACAACGAATCGAGGACAAACAGTGGTACCGCGTCGCCATCGGATCAGTCAACGATACCTGGGACAGCGTCGTTCTACAAACCTTTTCACAGATATTCCCAAAGTCCGTCGAATGGTAACAGCTTTTTGACGTTGACCGCCGGACTACCTGAAGTCAGGACACAACCTCCAACGTCTTTCGCCGGCGATACTACACTGGACGATCCATCCAAGGAAATGCGGCAAACACGTGGATACGACGCCTTGACAGAGGAAGCTCTGCGTGCACGCTCAGCCGAGCGTGGCGTATTCAAAGACCAAGACAAGCGCGCTCCAGCACAAGTGAGTGTCACCACGGCGAGTGTGCCCGGCACCCTTCACAGGATGCCCAGCCTTCCCGGCAAGCCTCGAGCTATGCGATCGGTGGACTTGGGTAAGGCGAAGCAGGCTACCAGTGGCCTAGCTTCACCGTTGTTCTTCTCGCCTCGGTCTGTCACTGGCTACCAGCACGGTCAACCCCAATCGGACTCCAATATCTACGAGAACCAACGACTCACGGCCGATCTAGAAGAGAGACCACAGACAGCACACAGGATCGAAAATGTGAGCAATGTACCTGAGGCAAGGACGCCACCACCGCGGACATACAATACGTCGACTCCTGAGTCGTTCGCCCGAGCAAAAAGCGAGATGCAGCGCAAGCAAATCGCAGAAAGTCTTACCCTGCAAGCTCCGGACGACGTCAGGTCAGACATTGCCGTGATCGACCCAACCGATGTGCCTTGCCCTCTGTCGCCCGGCGATGAGTTGTTCGGCACGCCGCCACCTCCTTCCCGCGAGGGTACAATGGAAACCGGGCAGTCCTCACGCTCCGCATCCATCGGTGGACTGGCCTCTCCTATCACGAATCCTAGCGAAGTCGCAAGTCCTGTCTCATCTGTCAACCACCACACGAAAGAGGAAATGCTCGCCTTCCAATCCGATCCTTCGCTTCCCGCCCTTCTTAGCGGGGCCAGTTCCGTTTCCGACGCTGAGCCTGTAGAGCTTGTCATGGTCAACAAGCCCGGTTTACTCGAGACGACAGATTCCGTGACACCTCCGGCCTACGTGAAAGAACCCATGGCTGGATTTCCACTGGAACAGTACGAGCAACAGGGGCGATTCGAGGCACACAATGCGTCATTCAATACATCTCCGATAACGCTTAGTATCTCATCCGGCCCGGTGTATAGGAGCCCGCCACCCATTCACCGCAGTCCAGACATGCGTCCACAAGACGAAGATGACGACAGTGATAGTGACGAGGGTCTGGTGATGGCGAAAACGAAGAAGAAACCTTCAACTAATACTCACGTCGAACGCATACCTTTTGGTGCGAGGCGACGCGACACGAACGCGAGCATCGCCAGTACAGAGACGGCCAAGAAGGTCGTCATTCACGGCGAAGAAGTCATTACCTACGCCGACTGAATTTAGCGTGCTAAGCTTACTCGGCGTGCGACTACCTACCCCGGTCGCGGTACACTACTACAAACACGCAACTCGACTCATACATTTTCAGCCTGTACAGTGGCTTTCGGGATTGGCTTTTCTGGTACAGCATTTATACACAGTCGGTGGACCTTTTGAATTTTCCGCCTGCGTGTTCAAGCAATTGAACACTGCCCATTGTCTTGCTTGCAGCATATCCCAAGAACAGCATGCAATCAGATTGCACATTTTCTAGTGGCACGTTTGTGCTACCAGTCTCAGTTCGAGCGCGCTTCCTTTTCATATAGAGAAGATCTGCAACGGCGGCAGTCTTTTGCTTTGACGCTTCTCTCTCTTTCATATGCCACGATGGTTTGCGGATGAATCATCAGAGCAGACTGAGACGACGACGACGACGACGACATGTTGCTACGAACGGAGGAGAAATGACGGGGGGGACTACGGAAAGGAGGCAGATTGGAGGGGATCGTCCATCACGGGAGACCTTGGGGGTTTGGGGACAGAAGAGGAGGCATTATCCATTAGACTCTTCCTCTTTTCTTTTCATTTGTCTGTAGTGGGAGATGAGGAGAGCGGGGCAAGTTGGACTTGGATAAGGGTCCATAGTCGTCTCAGTTCATCGTTTCCACAACCCAAGAAGTTTGAACACTTTTTCTTATCTAGCATCGACAGCGAGGTTTCGAGAGGGGGTTTGTGTTTGTAATGGCGGAGGGGGGTTTGATCATCTAGGACCGGGTCTATTCCCAGACGGGATGGTGCATCTTATTTCTCGGCGCATTTTGTGGAGGAAATCTTGCATGTACGCACCCACCCCAAATCCAAACCACAGATAGTGAGAGAGAAGTGATGAGAAGATTCGTCTACGAATAGAAGCGATGAACACATTGTCTTGGATCATGAAAGATGATTGCTTTGCTATTATTATATCTTGTGCTATCTATGTTTGCTATGCTTTGTTTTTTTCCTTGTTCACCACTCACCATTCACATCAACAAGCCGTTGGTCGAGGCAGCCCGTGTGGATTGGCTCATCGTGCTGACGTGGGATTCCACGTCTATTTTGTATCGTCCTGCAACAAGGCATATCCTCTTGTCAATCATCATCAGCTCGTTAGTCTACGTAAACAAATGAAGAGCAAACCAGCACTCCAAAAACTCGCTCATGCACTATTCCGGTGACGCTCGAGAAAATGCTGTGGCCAAAATCAGGCCATCACCAATCTCACCAGCCTAGTCTCCAAGTTTGCCACTCAAACTACTGCAATCCACGTCACTAAATGACAGACGGCGTAAAATCCATCAGCGAGTTGGGGAATTCTGGTGTTTATGTTTTCAATAGTCTAACCCGTAAGGGGAAAAAAGGGAGCACGACCCCATGAAGATGACAGTATTACGCGATACAAACAGAGTAGCTGGATCTTCCTTCCCCCAATGTATTCATCGACCGTCCTCCACCACCACGAACCACCATCAGACCTCCCGATCCTCTCCCAATCAACGCCAGATCGACTCCACCACTACAACCACAGCCCGAGACTACGGTAAATTCCAAGACAACAAACTTGAGATGAACCGCGAGTAGTCAGTCCCCCCCTCCAAGTCCACATTTAGTAACACGCCTTCCCTTCAAAACCCCCGAGCAATCCTCCCCCTCGCGGTAACCCAACCCTTAGGAAAGGGCCACCTACGCAGTGTCAGCATTAGGCGCCCCCATGACGCCGCGACCAAACCACTCAGCCACCGTCGCGAACCGATCCTCGCTGCGCTCCAGCTCGGCCTTGAACAGCTCATGCTTCCCCGCCGTCTCAATCTGCGTCTTGCGCAGCGCGCGGATCGTCGCGTTGTCGTTGGCGCACTGCGGACACTCGCCCTCCGTACGCAGGCACCGCTGGTGGAAGCTGTGCTTGCAGAGGAAGTGCACCGCTGGCAGGTCGAGGGGCGCCGTGCAGACGGCGCAGCGCGTTGACTGGAACACGGCCGGCTTGGAGCCGAGGCCGGCGAGCTCGGCCCGCTTCTGTTCCGTCTCACTGCGGAAGGCCGAGATGCGGCGCCGGTTGGCCGCGATCTCCTTGCGCTCGCGCTCAATCGTCTCGTGGAGGTAAGGCTTGATCATGCCCATTGTCGCGACGCCGCCCGAGGAGCCGGACTGGCCGACTAAGGTCTGGATAACCTGCAATGGCGCCATGAGGCCGTCCTTGTCGATTTTGTTGAGAACGGCCGAAAGCTCCTCTGAGCCGGCTTCCTGGAGAATTCGGGGGTCGGAAGTCAGATATGCCAGGGCTGCCGGGTACAGTTGCGGTTCCTCGGGGCCATATTTCCGGAGCGCTTTGATGGCTCCGCGGGTATCTTTTGCTGAGGTGTAAGATCGGAAGATGTCAAAGAGAAGACCGGATTGCTCTTTGACTAGGGTCGTACCGTCCTTGAAATCAGAAAGGTGAGAAAGCAGCAGGACATTGGAACTCTCCATCGGAATGTCCTCTCCTTCGATGAGTTTCTTGGCCTTGTTCTCCCACTCTTCCCGATGCTGCTCCCCCTTCTTCTCATTTGACTTGTGTAGGTACATCTCAAAGAGTGTGGTGTACAGGTCTGTCCTGTCGCTCTCCTTAAGACCGGTGTCTTCAAGGCATGCCTCCAAAAAGACAATGAACTCGTCTGGGTGATCAATGAAAGATGAGAATGCTGTTCTTGGAGGTGGTGGTGTGTATTTTGGCGCAGGAATGTCGTCAGGGTTCAAGATGATTTGAGCATCGCCGTTGATGGCTGTTCCATTGCCCGGTGTGGATGGGCTTTGGAGAGAGGATGTGTTCATGTATGGCAGAGGCAAAAAGTTCGAAAGATTCTGTACTGCACTTGCTGCACCGGCCACCATGCCGCCAGCCACAACAGCCTCTCCGTTGTCCTCAATCGGCACAAAGTGTAGCCTCGGACGGTACTTGCCAGTGTAGTAGTCAACGAAGACCGTGGTCGCGTCTTTTGGACAGTTCTCTATGAGGACTCTGGCATACTTTTTAAGACAAGGGAATGCCTATTGAAGGGTCAGAATTGGTCAAAACATTGGAGAAGCATGGCACTCACCACTTCAGGGTCTTGATGCCATATAAAATCGAGAGCCTCGTTATACAGCTTTGAGTCTTCTATCAGGATGTCTACGACCAGTTCGATCTCGCCGTGCTTCTTGGCTAGGTAGGCAGCCTGTTCGTAGTAGCCTCCTTGCCTACACATAGTAATGGCAGTCTCGAGGTCAAACTTCAAATCACCGGGGGATTTGATGAAGGCCTCTAACTTATCGATATCTTTAAGCTTGGCATAACAGTTCAAGAGCAATGTGGTGTGATCAGACGTTGCCTTGCGATGCTCGTGTAACTGTTCGAGATACTGTATCAGGTTATGTATCCGTTGGGTATCGAGGAACTATGGTTGTTAGTCTTGATGTGTTCCATTTCTTCCGGCTGAGAAAGGGAAGCTTACCTTTCTGATGACCTGTGATGGCTCAGTTGTATCGATCGCTTTGATGTACTGGACCATGGCACCGTCATAATCAGCTTTTTGATAGAGATGGTCACCGAAGCGTCGAAAGATGCCGCTCTGCTGTGTCGCATCTAGCCGTGACTTTTGCGCCAGTTCAATGGCTAAGGGGTACATGTTGCGCTGGTACAACATTTCTAGGCGCTGTTGTAGTGACTTTTCGTGGTATCGGTTGACCTTGCCGTCTTGTGTGAGAACGAACAGATCGCCCCAGATCTGGAAGATGGCTTTGAACGGCGAGATCAGAGACTGTGTGTGGCCGAGCACTCTGAGGTCCGGCTCGAGGAGAACGAATGTTGATGCGTTGAAGAGCGCGTCCGCTGCTCCACCTCCGCCTCCAAAGCGGCGGCGCATAGTGTCGGCCCCTTTGTCGGTCGTGGAAGCCGATGGTGGGCATACCAGAGCAACGTAATCCTGGTAAATCGAAACCAGTCTTTTCGGCGATTCGTACGCACGCGGCGCTCCTCTACCTTCCAAGGTGTAGGTGTAAATGGCATCCTCTCGGGCAACTACTACATCTCCTGTCTTCTTGTCAACCGTCATACAGTCGACGTGGCAACCCATGTCTTCAACAGTCTTGGGCGGGGAGCTGTGGCCCCTTCTCGAAATTCCCAGCTTCAGAATTCGGGCTGTTGTTGAGATGAATAGCGTCGTGACATCTTGGGAATCCGTCATAAGCTCCACGCCCGTGATAGGTTCCTCCGAATCATGTACCGTCCTTTGTTTCGCTCCCAGGTCGTTGATCAAATCGCCTCGAATCAGGGTCACTGTGCCGTTCGCGAAGCCGACTGCCACTTGGGTAAGGTTGTCGAGAACATCGATAGCTGAGATCTGGATGGAAAAGTGGTTAGTCAATGCTTTGGAGATATGCGCTCGAGTCGTCTCTTACCGGAAACTGCTTCCTGCCATTGTTGATCTGCAAAGTGCTTAGACAAGTAGGCATATTTGTCTTTTTCACCAGCTTGTCCAGGGCCCAGATCTTCAACACCGGCTCGCTGCTGAGGTCCTCCTACTCGGCTGTCAGTCATCGTAATTGTCATCTAACGAGTGTTGCATCCACCTACAGCAACCGTAACAAGTAGGCTTGTTCCCTCGATCTGGCGCATGTGTGTAATCGTCCCGAGCTCGTGAGCCTGGAAGCTCTTCACCACCTTCCAGCTCGACCCAACGATTCGAACGTATCCATCGTAGCTACCGAGGAATAGACTGTCGGAACCGGAGCAGACACTAGCGATCTCGTTGCTCTCGAAGAAGAGTCGGGTCTCCTCGTCGGCGAGCCGGACCTGGCTGACGTCGAAGAAGTCGAATGCCTTCCACTTCAGCAGAGGTCGTTAGCATTCGTTGGCTCGCGGAGCGCAGCTTGGGGAGAATCCGTAAACAAACCTGAAAGGCCATGGCTACATCTCCTAGCGACAGCAAGTTGTGAGAAAGGCAAGGTCGGTAAGCGTGGGCGCAACGGCGGTTGTTGATTGACGTCGGTGCCTCGTGCTCCAATGACGCCGCTGTGGGGAGCTTTTGGAGCTGTCGCTGTCGCTACCTACCGCTGTTCTCCGACCATGGGTGACCGACCTAGGCCGTGCGCCACAGATACTCGTCTTCACCAGCCACATTTCTTACCCTTCCGTCAATCAGGTCTTCATTGTGTCAATGAAGCATGTTATTGGGCATCTCTGAGTGAGATTTCAATCGTACAGCTAGAGCTTCAAGCTCAGGTTGACTTTCTAGTGCTCAATTTACACCTAACTTCCATAAGCTCCAATAGAAGAAGGGCTTGTCTGTCACAATATCATTGATATTTAGTGTCACTTTCGATTCCAAATTCAATGTGGAATAGCAGAGTACACCAGTTGACGCTGCATAAATCAAGATAATGGCGCCTGGAACTTGAACGCATAACGCGAGGAAATGCGACACTCGTTACGAAAAAGTCTCTTATAAAACAAATGTTTTGTTGTGGTTTCTATCATTTGCCAGCTACCGACCAGCAAGTCCGAGTTTACCCCAAGCTAACGCCTCAATAATTCATATTTATTTCAGAGTGCCTGCTATCAACGGCAACTGGGCCATTTCTAGACCTTCTGGACGAGAATGTGCCGTCTCAGACTCTCGACGAGACCTGATGCCTCACTCGGACCCTCATGTTGTCAACCGGCCGGGCGGTGATTTGTCTCGTCTATGATACGTTAGCGACAGGTGCTCTTGGACACTTTTCCAAGCGGAAGGCTTACGTTGTAGAGCTGTGTGTTGGACCTGTATTGCCCCTTTTCGTTGATGATTGGGCGGTTCTTCTCATCGAGCGTAGCCTCTCCTAGGCCGACCTTCTCGAAAATATACTTGCCCACAACACTAGCCAGAATCACCCTGGCCTCGATATTAGCAAGCTCCTGTCCGATACAGTTCCTGGGACCCCTCTCGAAGGGTCTCCATGCCGCGGCAGGGATCTCGTTCTCGCCAGCTTTGCCGATGCCCATCTTCTCATCATCATTCATCGCCATCGACGTATCCGTGTTACCGAGCCATCGCTCGGGTACGAAATCGTCTTTGGTGCTTCCGTAGACATCGGGATCTCGCTGAATCAGAGTGGCGCAGTTGTACAGAACCATCCCATCGACGCAGAGACTGCTGTTGTCAGGCAACTGGAGGTGGAAGTTCGCGCCCGGGGGGCAAAGGCGTGCTGTTCCAGCTGGTGGGTACAGACGCAGAATCTCCTTGATGACTGCCGAGGTGTAGGTCATCTTCTGGGTGATCTCCTCGCCTCTGGCAAGCAGAGCTTCCCGGACGACTTCGGGGCTCAAATCCTGGCCGAATAGGCTCTCCAGTTCGGCTCGAAGGCTCTTCATTGCCCGGGGCGTCCGCGATAGCTCGTAAAAGGCCCATTGCAAGAGAATGCTGGTAGTGTCATGCCCTGCAAACATGAATGTTTTGAGCTGATCCTTTGTCCCGTCGATGATGTCCTGTGTCAAGACATGCGTGTCTTTCAAACTGAGGGCCAGGATGCTGCGGCTCGTCGACCCCTTGTCCTGCTGCACATCGTTGAACTTGCGACGAATGACATCCTCGAGGAAGACGTTGCAAGACTTGGCAAGTCGCCTTCGTTTCCTGCCCAGCTGTGGGTTCTCCCACCACTTGAGTATACCACTGCCCTCTCTGTAGGAGGTCAAGAACTCCTTGTAACCCCTGATGAAGTCTCCCTGTTGATCCTCAGGAAGCTGTGCGTTAAGATCGACATCCATCGTCACGGCGCCTAATCGTTGATTCTTAGTGACGTGTGGCTATGAGCATAGAAACTTGGCTAGACTTACCAATAATGTCGAAAGTGAGATTGGTGCATAGCGGCTCTAGCTCAAAATCTTCACCCGTACCAACGAGCTCGTCGAGTTTGGCGAGGAAAGTCTGAGTCTTTTCCAAGATCACTGGCATCAGACTCATGAGGTGCTGGGGAGCAAAGCCAGGGTTGAAGTGCTTTCTCATGTCTTTCCATCCGGGGCCCTGCGAGAAGAGTACACATTAGGTCACGTTCTTACGAACTTTTTCTGCAATCTCAGTCTGTGGAAGGGGATTTGTTGGTAATATGTGCGGAGCTCCTTACTTGGGACATCACGATAGACTTCTCACCCAGAAGCGGTGTGAGATACATCATAGTGTCGGACTTCGGTGCGCTATACGGCCACATCTTTGACTGTCTCGAGACCTGTTCCGCGATTTCATGGCTTCGAATAACAAGCAAAGGTCGGCTGACTGGACGAAGATCGAGAAGCATGATGGGAGGATTCCCAATTTCCTCGAGCATATCTCCCATCGTAGGATCTGCGAAATCTGGATTAGCCTACGCAGCATCCCACATCGCCCGTCCCTAACACATACCGAGCTGAGAGTCCTTCTCATTGCGCTTCATGTGATGTTCGTTAATGGCCTTGAGATGACCCCACACCACTGAAGGCTTCAGCTGAGGGAAATGAGCATACTGCTTCAGCCGGCGGTAGCTGAGCGCGGAGTACAGGTACAACAGAAGCGCCGGTAGCGCCAAAAGCGCCACAGACAAAGGACTTAACATGATGAAATACCACGCTCGACTCCCAGGCGATCTCTGCCAGAAAGTCAAAGTAATTTCGGATGCAGGCCCCAGAGGCAGCTGAAAGCTGGCAACTGGGTGTGGTCATGGATATAAAGGGCGGTGGTTCTCATACCAGCCCGCATCGGATGTGTAGATTCCGTTTCAGCAGGCGCATGGATGAGCAGTCCACCCGTTCAGTCTGGAACCCAGTCGCCGCCGCCAGCGCGACCAGCGCTATGATGCCTCGACTTACCCGTAGGAGCGCGCCGATTCGTTTGCTCGCTTGCCTCCAGGACGTACTTGGCTAGGGTAAGACACAAACATTGGGGAGAGTGGTCCACAACCGCTTTTCAGCTCCTCCATGATGCCTACTCCTTTGTTGGTCTTTCATTGGTTCACGACTGTGAGTTCGAGGTTGTCGGCCCCAAGCGAGTGAAGAATGTAGCCAATATCATGTCTTAGTAGCTCGCGTGGATTAGCACATTGCGGGAAGGTTGTCATGCCGAAGCCAAGAAGTCCAGTCAGAACCTAGAATAGCGGGAAGACGCCGGATGGTTGATTGCTCCTTCCCGGTACTTGGGGGCGTTGATCTCTTAACTGCTCGGTTCCGGTTGGCTACATCCCTTGTATCCATGTGTTTGCGGCACGCTAGGGTGACATCACCCCGGTTCAGATGTGCAGGAGTAGCGGGGGAGTCCGCTATGATCTCCGCATTTCTCACACTCAAATAGTGTTGTCTTCCCTAGGCTTCGCTTGTGGCACCTTCACCGAATGTCACGAGTACGAGCCATCCACAACCTCGGACTTGAGCTTCACCGATCACATCAAAGATCTCGTTTTGGAGGCTGAATGATTTCTTATCACCCATCGTATTCTGAACCACAGGGAGGAAAAATACAGATGAGGGGTTTCTATTATGGGATGTCGGCGTAGACCTATCTGACGGGCTAGGGCTATCATGCGTCTTTGGGCCCGTAGCCACTGTGTCTTGATTTCGCAGCTACACACCGCTCAGTAGCTAGAAGGCACGATCCCAAGCCTTCCACCATCTGTCACGAGCACATTACCGTTGGTGTAGGCGCCTGCCCTGCTGACCAAGAACAACACCGCTCCAGCCATATCTTCTACGTCTCCCGCCCTCTCTTCCGGAATGGTAGTCTTCGGCCAACCGTCCTTGTGCGCATCCACCGTTGCTGTGGTCATCTCACTCGGGTAGACTGGAGTTCAACATCAGTGGGTGTTTCCAAGGTCTGACTAAGGGACTTCGCGCCCAAATGCCAAGTTCAAGTATCCCGAAAGGAAATGGAGTAATAAACTTACACCCAGGTGCAATGACATTGGCGCGGATGTTGAATGGAACCAGTGTGGTGCTTCTGGATGGATGTTAGTAACGACGTTGGCTCTGTCAGCTCGCTGGGGATTGCCTACAATTGCTTGAACATATGTACCACGGCTGCCTTTGAGGCACCGTAGGCGAAACCCATTGGGTTGCGGTTGTACGCGCCAATGCTGCTTGTCGCGATAACTTGGCTCCTCTGCTTGAAGTTGCTGCGCTTATTGCCCTCGTCAAGGAGTTCGAGAAATGCTGCAACCGTGAAGAACACGCCAGTGGCGTTCACAGCGAAGGTCTCGGTGAAATCCTTCTGTTCCCAGCCGAAGACGAAGTCGCGATACTGAGCAATGGTAGGGTTGGGAGGCAAGCCCTTGAGAGCCGGTCCGCCGATTCCTGAGTTGGCGATGACGACGTTGACGTATCCGTGGGCCTCTTTTATCTCTGCGACCGCTCGCTCGAGGTCGTTCTTCGAAGTTATGTCACCTTGAATGGTGCGAATATTGCCGTTTTTCTAATCACATTTGAGACACCAACGTCAGTCGCCATAATTCTTACACTGTGCACAGCTAAGCTGAGCGATGGCTTTGGGTGGGTATTCAAGAGCCTATGATAGCTAGGCTCAACGCTCTCATTGAAACTCACAGCTGTCTTTGCCGCCTGTTCCAAGGCTTCTTTCCGTCGGCCGATGATGTACACGATAGCACCATTCGCCTCGAGGCCTTGTGCAATCATGAGACCAATGCCTAATTCGAAATGTGAGTGAATGTTGGGAGGTCCCTGTTGCGGCTGAATGACGTACCAGTTCCCCCACCCGTGACTACGGCGATGAGGCCATTGACGCCGAAAAGGTCAGCAGCATTGAGGTTTGGAGAAGCCATCTCGAGTTTCAAAGATCAACAATCGATTCCGGTTAAAAAGATGTGAGGGAAGCGGTTGAGCGTGTGGTTCTTGGGTTGGAAATATTGAACCTCCGAATGATTAATCCCAGTGGTTTAAGTACCACCAGAGTCCGGCGGGGTTCGGTGAAATGACCCGTACGTGCATCAAGTACGTTATCCATCATAAGGTAGTGGTCACTTGCGAGTGGCTGCTGACTGCATGCAGTCTGATCCCCGATGTTCGGATGCTGCGCGGCCCTGATTAGTGGACAGCGACTCGCTGGGCTTACATTAGGCTTTTGCATGTCGGGAAAGCGGCAATCAATGCTTCTGGTCCTTCTTTGTGCATTTCCGGGCAAGACCTGTTAACCTCAAGGCATCAGACCATTCACTCAGGTTTTAAAAGACCTTGAAATATAAAGCCACGCATGGAGCCGATGGAATGGATGTCAGCACATGTTGACAAGGTGCAAAATTTGCTGAGGACTACTTAGACGGCACTGTCGTCTTATATCCAACTTCACTTCAACATGGGTGTTCGTAAGTGATTGTAGTCAAGACTTCATCATCTCAGAATTTCCTAACAACATTAATGATTTAGCCACGAATAAGGTCATCCCGGACTAATCCTATCTCTCTCTCCAAGAACCAATAAGTCATCGAGACCTCTACAGGCTCTCATCAGGGCTCTCCAACCAACTTTCCAATCCTGCTCCATCTCTGGGCACAAGCTTCGCCTGGAAACCTTTTGGTGTGGCAACAAACGAAAGGCCATTAAGCCCTTTGATCGGATCGATCTCTACTGAGGTCTTGCTATCCGCAGGTAAGATATTGAATTGGGCGATCAAGTGCAAAAAGGCTGTGTATAAAGCGCCGTGTGCGAGGTGAGATGCCACACACATACGTCCACCCATACCAAAGGCGAATTGATGCGCGTATTGATCGGGTGCGTCCGGAAGCCAACGCTCAGGGGCAAATACTTCGGGCTCCTTGAACAGGTCAGGGTCTGCCTGGGTGGTCAGCAAAACGTAACGCTTCATTGGAGTCACGGCAAGTTACCTCTGTTACAAGACCAGCTATTCAAGAAAACTAGAGTGTTGGCCGGGACTGTGGCGGACCCCCAAGTGACATCATTGTATGTTGCCTTGGGTAGTGCAAGCTTCAAGACAACAAAGTACCTCGAAATCTCTTTCGTCAGTGCTTCTATGTAGTCAATCTTGGTAGAAGCGTATGTGTTAGATGGTTGCTGTAGAACACCCGCATCTCGAATGGCCGCATATGCTTTGTCTTGTATATCAGGGCGGTGTGCGAGTAGAAGAATGGCCCAAGCCAAGGTTGGCTGGTTTGATCGGCGCCCTGGAACATGTCAGGTTAAGTCCACAATGAGCTTTCGGTTGGAACCTGGGATGAACTTACTGCCATCATACTCAGGCTCACGCTGATCAACTCTTCTCGTGTAAGAGTTGCCGACTCGGGATCCCTCAAAACAGCGCCTTGAATGCAGGGCTTGTCTTCGCCCTGAGCAATTTCGTCCTTGAGTCGGCTTAGGAGAATATCATTATATTCCAGTCTTCGGCGGCCAATATCCATTGCGTGATTCTTCGGCGTAGATTGTAAACCTAAAACGCTCGCAAGTGGTTCCAAGTATCGCAGCAAAGGTATTGTTGGTATTCCTCTCACAGGGAATTTGGTTCGAACCGTAGGGTCCTGGGGGTGACGAAGTATCAATATCTCTGTATTGATTGATTCTGCGTGAGGAGTAGAAGGGAGATTCCAACCGGAGGTTGGGTGGGTAGTCGAGGTCTAAGTGTACCCCCTCGAGGTGGCCCATGCTCTTCCCCTACTCGCGGCCGAATTGGACTTCCAATCCGACAGGTATGTAGTTGGTGTAATTCTTTCCAGTATCCCGAATTTTTGAGATTTCGGATTCGACGTAAATGATCTCGGATAGGAGAGGATCATCCTCTAGGGACTTGATGTTGGAGGCCCTTGTCCCATAGTTGAGGGTCAGACTAAGATTAAGGGAGAAGCGCCTGGCAGCTGAACGGAAGTCGAGATCCACCAAACCACCACGGCAGTTTTCGTACAGGTCTTTGAGAAACTCTCGTGCCTCCAAGTTCAGAATGGGCGCATAGCTTTCTACCCGCGGACGATTCAATGCCCCAGCTGCCAGTTTGCGGCGACGTTTACAAGAGTCGTCCCATGGGCTGGTGCCGATGATAGTAACAGCTTTGCTTACTTTTCCATGAAATACATAGAAGGTTGGTCGAGAGTTTATGGCATGCCGTTGTCCGAGGAATAGCTGCTTGGCAGCCTCCGCAGTGTTGACGATAACAGCCGTGGTATTTCCCAGCTGTATCTGGAACACTGGCCCATACTTCTTTGACCAGACTCGGTATGTTTCTGCTGGCACTTGAGCTGATTTCTATGTGACATTACTTAGTTCATTTTTTAAATACCGATTGCTCAAGCTCGGGATATGTAGATATTGAAGTACTTGAAAAAGGTTGCCCACAACAGGCCAGCCAAGGGGCCCAGGAAGATTTTTGATTCTAATTCGATATCTTGCAATTTCGTTTTGTAGTAAATAGACTGCAAGAACAATAGCAGGTGGGACCGCAACATGTCCCAAAAACGTGATGGAGAGTGGGAAGGAGAAAGGGTGATTTTCGGTCATCTTCAGAGATTGAAATGAGAACCGAGAGTGGCAACAAAGAGAAATCTGTGTCTTGGTTTTAGCTTGAGCAAACTACATTTTACAAAAACTCGTTGAAGTAAATTCTCCAACACGTTATCTTCTGGCTCCCAAGATGCGCTGACCATCAACCCCGCCATGTCGCAATATCCGGACCTCCATCGATCTTCTGCACTCATGCAGTCAAACATGAACATGAGGGATGCGACTGAATCTGGTAAGCTTATCCCATCGAGTGCCACTTGACCCCATTTTCGCCAAGACCCAGAATACCCACTCTTTACCCTTTATTACCCCGCATTTAAAGGGGTACTTAACAGTACGTCATTTATCCCTATGCTCTTTTGCGTATTATCACCACTATTACTACCATTTGGATTGATGCTGCGATGTCTTCTAGTGATTCTGATACCTCTATTGCTTCTGATGCTTCTGATACTTCTGTACGCAGCTGTATCCCATCGGGTGCTGATGGACAGCACTTTCGCCAAGGGCGGGGTAGAGCCAATAAGGGCTTGCAAATTTATTAGGCTCTGCGAAACGTATTGGAGGAACAGTTCGAGCGGGCTTGCCGGCAGCCCCCGTATCTCTTGGGCCCGGGCCGGCACGTTGAAGGGTCGGAAGGAGCCCGGAGGACCATGCTGAGTTGCCGGAGGTTCGTGGGGCCGGACTGTAGCTGCGTCACAGCGCTCGGGCGTACAGTCTGTATTACAGGCAGCAGTAAGGTCTTCTGGGTGGACCTCAACTACTATACAGCTGCGTATAGAAGTAATAGAAGCATTAGATGCAATAGAGGTATCAGAATCACCAGAAGACATCACAGTATCAATCAAAATGGTAATAATAGTGATAATAATAGGCAAAAGAGCATAGGGATGAGTGACGTATCGTCAAGTACCCCTTTAAATGCGGGGTAATGGTGGATACATAGTGGGTATTTCATGGTCTTGGCGAAAGTGCTGTCCATCAGCACCCGATGGGATAGTAGTTGAGATCCTTCCAGAAGACCTTACTGCTGCTGCCTGTAATACAGACTGTACGCCAGAGCGCTGTGACGCAGCAACAGTCCGGCCCCACGAACCTCCAGCTACCGAGCATGGTCTTCCGGGCTCCTTCCGGCCCTTTGACGTGCCGGCCCGGGCTCAAGAGGTACGGCAGCTGCCGGCAAGCCCGCTGGACCTTTTCGTCCAATACGTTCCGCAGAGCCTCGTGGAGCAGTGGGCCCAGTGGGCAAATGCGGTGCCGTTGTCTGGCCCTAGGGCTAGAACGTCTAGAGTGAATTCATGGCGGCAGACTTCAGTAGAAGAGATCTACCTCTTCCTAGGGATCCTATTATACATAGGGATCCATAGGGAATCTACATTATCAACCTATTGGTCAACCCAACAGCAAACGGAGGATCCTATCCACCTATTTACGCGGTTTATTTCTAGAAACCGATTCCAACTACTGCTCCGGCGACTACGGATATTTAGCACGGCTGAATTTCAGCCTAGCCAGCCCAGCCGGGGCCGGGGCCGGGGCCGAGGCCAGCGCCAGGCCCAAGATCAAATGCCAGACGTATCCCATCGAGTGCCAATTGGCAACAGGTACATGCCCTTGAGGGGAACTGACCACTCAGGAGACAGCCAAGACTTCTTCTAGCCAACCAAAAAGCCTAGATTATGGATACTTCTGTTGTCTATATACTCTGACTATGAAAGAGGTACCAGCAATCATCCGAGTTACAAAGCGCTACTCCACACTGCAGGCACCCTGACCTCGTCTTTTTTCTGTGGGATCGTGAGTGTTGTTGAACAGGGCCTCGTACTGCGGCTTCATTGGTCCACTGTACCCACGATTCAACCAGCCTCAAAGGCACATACTGCTGAAAAAGCTCTAAAGGGGTAGTAGATAGACCTCGTACTGTTGCGGCGCGGTAGGGCACGTCGAGGGGGTTGAATTGGCCCGGTGTGCCCCTTTCTAGCGGAGGCGATTCGTGTGGGCGTACAGTTGCGTTATCACACCTCTCGGGCCTACATTGAGCTGTACAGGCGCTATCAAGGTCTTCGGGAAGTACTGCGACGGTGATATGTGAAAGCGCTGACGAATCAGACGCATCAGAGTCGCTTGAGGACATCGCGACAGTTGCCCATCTGTAGAAATGTTAGTTGTGGTGGTGAACGCAGCTGGGAAAATATAGGGGTTGATGACGTACCGTCATGTATTCCCGCGGTGAGGGGGCAAAGGTGGGTCAAAACTGGGCATAATGTACCTGTTGCCAATTGGCACTCGATGGGATACCAGAAGGTTAACCAGTGGTCAGCCCACATCCAAGAGACTGGGGATTCCTTCTATATACCTGGTTCAGACCTTACAGTTGATGAGGCTATGGTCCGATTTACAGGTCGATCTCTTGAGACAACAACAATTCCAACAAAGCCTATCCCAACTGGCTATAAGATCTGGATCCTTGCCCAGTCTGGCTACTGTATACGGTGGCTGTGGCATGTACATGGAAAGGGCCCATACGCATTAGTCCCCCAGGCCCAGCCAGCCCAGCTGGCTGCTGGAAAGCTGGCTCTGTTGACACCAACACAGCAGGTAGTAACTACTCTTATTTCCCTACTTCCAGCTGCAACCTACCACGTATTTCTTGACAACCTCTTTGCTTCTATACGTCTCTTTCGTACCTTACGGAACCAACAGGTTGGAGCTTCTGGTACTTGCCGAAAGGATTGTGGGATAGATAAGACCTTAGTTAAAGAGAAAGAGACTGAGGGAGGAGATATCCCCTGGGGTGAAGTACACTGTATCCCTACTTTAGATGGGGAGGTAAGCTAGCAGCCTAGCCAAGCCCAGCCAGCCTACCTACCTAGCTAACTAGTAAATAGGTTGACCAGTTTACCTGGAAGGATAATGCCCTTGTACTATTTCTATCAACTGTCTTCCAGAACGGCGAGGAAGTTATCCGCAGCCGCCGCCGCCCAGCTGGGAATTCCACTGCTAAGAGGGCTGCCCGACAAGTCTTTGGCCCAGACGTCCGCAAGAACCTACCAATCCCTAGGGCAATTGATGAATATAACCACAAGATGAATGGGGTTGATGTAAGTGACCAGATGAGGTCCTATTATCAATATAGCCACCCTATTCGTCGAGGGGGCTGGCAGTCAATTGCCTGGAATTTCCTGCTGGAAGTGGTAGTTGTGAATAGCTTCTTACTGCAGCTCTCGGGCAGCCCTAGGTGGCAGAAGGTAAAAACCCACTACCGCTGGCGGCAGCTGCTTGCAGCCCAGCTTATCCAGCAGTTCGGACCATTAGCACAAGGACGGCAGAGGTCACGGCCTAGACGGGCTGCAGATAAAAGGAATACCTCTATTCCATGGGAACAGCATAGGAAGGGGTCGAGGAAGGTTAATTCGCCTTGCTCTTATTGTAGTAATCTGAGGGCATTAAGGGCCCGCCAGACCCTAGGTGAGATATCTGGGAATAACCTAACTAAGAAAAGAAAGAAAACACGGAAGGGCTGCTTAGATTACAATGTACCGTTGTGTATTGATGGAGAGTGCTGGAACCTCTGGCACACCCAAATTATATAGGAAATTGAGGTACTATGCCCCTATTGGTTAACTCAATAGATTCACAACCCCTTATTGGCTCTACGCCGCCCTTGGCGAAAATGGGGTCAAGTGGCACTCGATGGGATACGCGCGCCAGCAGGGATTCACTTTGCCCGAATTCCGCCAACCTTGCTCGGGAAAAGCCTTGATTGCAAAGCTCCACAGGCCGGAGGGAATACTTTGCATTATTTTCCAGAAATGCGACCAATGGTGGGAAGAAGAACATAATCACGTCAAATCCCCCATTATTGATCTCAATGATATGAATGACGCCATTGCTCGGTGGAATGACGGACGCTGAAGTCTTCAACAAACGAGCTTACGAAACCGCGGGGACTGATTGACTCGACTATTACCGGCTACCTTGAGATTCAGGTCAGACTCACCATCTCAGTTAGAGTACGTGAAATACATAGACTAGGTTCTAAATCTTCAAGTCTCACTTAGTAATCCGAACTCAGTAGACTAGCCGTAAGCCTGCCCTTCAATAATGTTTGTTTCTGTCTAGTCATTTGCATGTATTTGTTATTTTCTCTGCCCTATTGCTCATAAGGCGGTGCTCGATACGAGTTACACAGTATAGGTGGATACTCCCACTGTGTCATTTGCATGTAAATCAGAGTAATCTTCCAGTCAACATCATCTAGGTCTGACTTTGCGAGATATTCAAAATACTTCTCTTTGAATTTCCCTAGGCCGGCTTCCTTTGCTAGCTCTTGCCGGTGGTTCTCGTCAGAGCCTTTGTCAATGCTTTGACCATCTCTGAAAAAGAAATGCTCAAGAATCTTAGGAGAAGCAGGTTCACCAGAAGAAGCGGCTGGCGTAGGTAATTACTCCGGCATCATGTTGTAACAAGAGCGTACAAGTAACAATCTAAGGTAGCACAACGTTTTGCCAGTGACGAACCCCAATACGTCTATGCCCATTTATATGACAATCTTGCATTGTAGAGAACTGTTGGTTCACGGGGTCGTATACGACAAATAGTGGTAGCAATTATCACTCGTCTGTTGGTGATCCTATTGCTTGTTCTTCTTCTTGTTCTATCTTACATTGTAGGCAGGAGTCGGTCGAAGTAGGTAGTGACGGCCTGGGTGGTTGCCCCACCTTTATCCGGCCGTGATGACTAAGCCAGTTGTCCCACTTCGCCCAGGGCAGGTGCCAGCCAGCCCATGGTACCTGCCTATTACTCCTTATCAGCCTTTGCTGTTCCAACAAGAACAAAGTCATTTAGTCAGCCAGAGGTACGTCCGTCAGCAGGTTGCAGCCACTAAATCGGACATAGGAGTCTTAAGCGAATCGTGACGTCTTATCCCCGAATTCCCATCAATATATTCGGTTCCAATGCACGTCGGCGCGGGGCACGGCCTGGGCACGGATCGGACGATCAATGACGTCCATTGCCATGGGAAGTCTTACTAGCAGCGCTAGAATCACTTAGTGATATGCTTGTGTAAGTATATAATAAACGGGATGCACACTGATGCTGCCTCTCAAAGATTCGGTAAACACAATCATAAAGAACATTGACACTGTACTGTAACTTCATCTCAAAGGCTGAGACTCACAACACAATGGCACCTAAAGGACTCGCAATCATCATCGGCGCAGGACCGACTTCCGGCGCAGGGATCGCTCGCATTTTAGCCAGCCCTCAACATGGCAACCTGGCAGTTGCTCTCCTCGCCAGAAACCCCGAAAACCTCCAGAATCTCGCAGCTGATCTACGCAAGTCTTCAAATGGAATCCTCCATCCGTTCCCTACAGACACTCAGCCTGAAAACCTCCGGCAAACCTTCCAGCAGATCGCAGATCATGCCGACTTCAAAGACCTAAAGCTGAAGCTCGGTATATACCACGTCAAGAATTCGAGCAAGAAGCCATTCCTCGAAGAAACTCCAGAGGCTTTCAATGACAGCATGAGTATCTTCACAACCGGAGGTGTCGTCTTTGCGCAAGAAGCGCTGAAGCTCATGTACGCACAGAATGGGGGGCAGACGCTGCTGTCCGACACCGATGGTGCGAAGAAAGGCACCATCATCTTCACGGGAACTTTGGGAGCCATGCGCACGAATCAGCAGTATGCCGCCTATGGCGCATCTCGAGCGGCGGCGAGGATGGTAGCACAGGCTATTGCGAAGGAGCACAGCAAGTTTGGGGTACACGTGGTTCATGCTATTGCCAACGGCGGCATCATTGACGAAGATAACGAAAATACTAAGACCGGCAAACGGATGCGCGCGGAAGATGTTGGAGAGTTGTATCTTTGGCTGTCACAACAGCCGAGCTCACTCTGGACTCATGAGTTGGATATGAGGCCGGCACAGGAGACTTTCTAAAGTGGAAAGTCAAACGTACTGAGACAAGAAATAAATCGAAGCTGGAGGAAACTTGATCACTTTGCCAATGAACAAAGTGTTTTAAACCATCAATGGAAACATGTTGACGTGGAGCGAACCGACATGGCATGATGGCCTTGGCTTAATATGTCGGCAAGCCCCCAATACTAGTGTTGCCCTCTACGAGGCAGCGTCCAAAGCAATACACTTGTGTCAGACGCTATCAAGAAACATAGTAAGTTGCAAATCTCACTATTTTGCGATCCTAATTTGAGAAATGAAGAGAACATAATGATCCACAGCAACTTGCTCGAGACCGAAACGAATCTTGAACTTCCATCATCATTATCTACACATTGCCCCGTTACATCTTGACCTATGGTTCTACGAAACTAATTTTCTTTGATGCTAAGATGACATGTTATTACATACTCACTCTAGTTAAACCATATCACGGCCCTGAGCCGGCGGTCTCTCCTCCGTCGAGTAACACTCCGCCACCATGGTGCCGTTCCCACCTCCCTGTCGTACCAAGTCGGTCTGGCTACCGTTGCGGCTGATGATCTCGATTTTGGTCTCGATGGCGATGTTTGTGTTCGTCTTGGTAGCTTTCCGACTCCGCATTGATTGCATGTGATGTGAATCCCCGGCATTCATCCCACTGTAAGCATTGCCCGATCGATACCCGCTGCGCTGGGTACTTGCCAACAGCTTCGGGAAGGCCTTTACGATGAGAGGCTTGAGTGCGGGGACAGAGGCGCAGGCTATGGCGACATTGATCTCTATGCCGGACCATATCGCAATATGGACACCATCTCCTATATGTGTGGTGTTAGTACAGAACTTTTCGCCACCTGTCACCTGCCGGCTCGTCTCCAGGGAAAGCCTTACGTGATGTATCGGTAGATACGGAGATCTCGTAAAGTGAGTAAAGTCGAATCATAGAAGTAATACAAACACTGTTGTGAAGTTCATCAGTACATGCTAGACCAAGACAACTGCGTTGCGAGAACTTACAATCCTCCTACAGCGAACACCATGATGAGCGCAATTTTCTGCTTTTTCGATATTTGCAGAGACTTAATAAGTGGTATGGGAATGCCGCAAATGATGATGTCCGATAAAATGTTCAAGGCTGCATTGGAAAACCAGAAAGCCAAGCGGTTCATGCACTTCCCCGTACCATCGCCCCAAAAGGCTTGCACGGGCACGCACATGAAGATTGAGCCGAAGACAGTCCAGGCACCGTATACCGCAAGCACCGCAAGCATGGTCTTGCAAATCTTTTGTGTCGTCGGAATTTTGAACACGCGCAAGTATGAGAAGACGATCGACAGCTTGCAAAGCAAGAGGGCTAGATTGTAGGTCGGAATCGTCGCCCAGAGACACTGCCGATGGGGAATATTAGAACCCGCCCTTCTAGGATTCCCACCTATGATTCGCAACTCACCTGGAAGAATCGGACCAGATCATCTTCTGCGATGGTAGAAATCGGCATACCCAAACCATACTTGATTTCTGTGGTATTGTGAGTAACGCTTGTTCTGCGGTGACAGGCGCCAGACGTAGGTACTCACGATGCATTACAACGACACAAAAGCCGATGGAGGCCGCCTAAGTAAAGACTCAGCTTTCCAATCCCTTTTCCACATGGCATCTTACAGTTGGCGAAGTAGGCTTACCAGTGCGGCAGGCATCAACCAGTCATCGATGCCGACATTTTGCACCACCACAATGCGCGTGTACAGCCGCAGCCCGACGAGGACAAAAGAAAGAGTTGTGAATATTATGCTCGTGACGAAGACAGAGACATTGGGTCCCGGAACCATGTTGTGAACTTACGCGCACGGCGCCAAGAGAAATATCGGACTAATGCCAGAAAGAAAGTAAAAAAGGCTTAGAGCATGAGAGAAAGGAGACTTTGGATGTAGAGTATGAAGAATCTGCGGATTTCCGGAGGCACGCGCGGCGAAAGGGCACTCGGGAAGGATATCATATTGGAACTCATCATCTTCACCCGATTACTTGCGCAGTTTCAGTACGGCCATATTGCCATTACTTGGATCTGTTCCAAGCTGAGATGTCTGCATGAACGGGGGCATCCTAACACTCGAGGGGGGTCGCGTTCCTGAAGAAAGTCGTTCGGGATGTGGGCCCGGATCGTCCCCCCCCCCCCCCGGTTGAAGCCAGGATGGACCTGCCCCATGCTACGGAGTACATTGTCACGAAAGAGGTATAGCAGTGGATATCTCAGGGGTAGAGATAAGGAGTAGACAGGGGTATGGGCATACAAAAGGGGCTCCCTCGAGGGCTTCCCTTTTCCCCTTTTCCATAGTTGATTAGACCACAGTTGAGATCCCGATTTCCATGAGTTACTCTATATGCTGATTTGTGACATACATCAAGGGCAAGTGGCGCACATGTTCATAAGGGATAGCATCCAATGCAATGAAGTTACAGTCACGGATTACTCCTAAATCCCCGCCGCATATCCTACTCTGGCATCGAGGAAGTTGGTTAGCCGTTTCCCAATTAACAGGTTCGGCACAAACAGAGCCTTTGATGGTGCGACAGTTTGTGAGGGAAGGAGGTAAATCAGGTTTCTGGATCCGGATCTTGGGGACTTCTGGAAGTCGTTGGAGTATCAGAATTGGATCATCCATGAGCAATACATCCGTTGTATAAGCTCTACCAGCCTCCGCCGGACGTGAACGTTGTTACCACCGACTTTACGATCTCATCTCGGGGATTCCTTGCCAGCAGCCCCCCTTCAACTTTTATGGCTACATCCCTGCGTATGAGCATTTTAAGTCAAGTTTTCCCCTGCAGCTCTTGACAATTCTGCTACACGGACCCTACCAGGATAATCTTGATCTTGGTGTGGCAGTTGTAGATACTAGCACTCAACTGTTGTTCGAAGGTGCTTCGGTCTTCAGCCCGAGGCCCCGAGCTCGCATCTTCAGGGTCTGCCATAAGCCGAGGGCAACAAGAGTAGCCAGACTTTTCTGAAAGTACTCTGTAACTGTGGTTTGATTCTATTCTCAGAACCTTCAACATCAGTATCCGCAACTTAGCAGCAAAGTTATACTGATATTAGCCGTGTAAGTCAAAATGGTATCCCCATCCAGATGCAGAGAGTGTTCGAATTTTCCATGGAGCTTCAATATCTGCCTCCTAACTGTATCTATGCCACTACGATACGCCACAGCGCTCCCTGATAAGGCAGTAGTGCCCACCTTCGAGACCCTATAGGCATCCTGTCCATAGTAGAGACTACTTTGCATACCGTGTCGGACCTGATCCCGCTTCTGCAAGTAAAAACCCCTCGAAACCGCATGATGGGACCATGCCTGTTCTGTCACCTGCGAGTGTGACCTTGACAGGTTTACTTGCTATATCACGGGTGGATCGCTCGGTATAAGTCCGATGAATAGTTGCTGTCGGTGTTTGGGTCCATCCCTCGAACATTAGAAGCCAATGCAGATAATGCCGGCGGGTCCAAAGGATTTTCTGTTTTGGAGGTGGTTGGCTTAATGCTCCCTCGAGACTGTAGTGAAGACACCTGTTGTGACTTCGTTGCTTATTACGGGTTTTTTAAACGAGTATCATTCATTTGGCAATGAACTGAGAAAACCAGTGGATGGATCTCGCAAGTCGCAACTCGGTTGGTCTCTCCGCGAAGTTCGTAAGATCCCAACCAGGCGTGCCAGAGTCGACCAAAATACCCACTGGTTGGGATATAACCCCGGTCCAAACCTACAGCGGCCCCTCCAGCTGCTTCTTTGGCCATAAAGGGATTCGTTTTCCGGGCCACGAATGCTACACCTTCTGCGCACACATTTTCGACACCATATATTTCGATTTCGTTTCATGAGACCATCCCGATGGATGTCCAACGTGCAATCTTCACCACATGAAGACTTGAAGTTGAAGCTGTCTTGCCGATCTTCCAAGTCTGGGCAGAAAAAACAAGAGTTTAAAATCTGGGCTTCCCCAGAAGATAAAATTGACTAGCGAGGATCCCCTGCCCTCGGCGTCACTTGGCCCGGGCTTGCCTTTTGATCGCACGTCCCTGAGAGCACCGGCGGCGGAATCGAACTCAGATGTGATTTCCAATCAGTCGGCAAGCCCAAGATCTCGAGTCTGTGTGGTACTGTCTCTTCAGACGACGGTCAAACGGATATACTCACAACGGCACGGCCTGGCCCTTGAATACCTGTCTGTGTAGGGGCCTGTAGTCGCAAAGGGCTGTGCCAATGACTCATGCCACCCTTGCACCTTAGCAAGGAGCCACAATGCTACATGCACGGCTATGAGGGGCCACTTCCCGATATAAAGTCCGTTTACGACCAACGAAGCCCTGGTCCCTGTATCTTCAACCTGCTACCAACAGGAAAACAAGTATGATCCACATCTCTGACATTGGATATGCCACCTCTCGTACGATATCTGCAGGAGTCGAGCGGTTGGAACTGGGAAATACAACTCTTTAGCAATACGTTGCAGAATTTGATGCAAGATATCGACAAGGTCTTGCTAGAAAGTCGTAACCGATATTGCACGAAAAATGACATTTGCCAACTTGACTCAACGGAGTATGTTTCCTCAGGAGGAGCACGCCATAAGGCTACTGCATCATTGAATTAGTCGCTTTTGTCGATTCCAACATCACACGGGTTGTGGGAGAATGCCCGGAGTCTGTTCCGCACGCTGTTGGACTCAAACAAGTATTTGATGTAGGTGGAGCAGAATTATTCTTACAATATGTCTTAGGTAATAGCTAGTCATTTGAAATTCATTTCATGTCAGTTGGAAATAGGGCATTATCAGTATGCGTACAAGCACACTGGGTTTATTTCGAATACAGGTCATCCTCCTTTTCAGCCGGGGCGTCGATGTGCATGTTGAACTCGTTCTTGAGCTCGACAAGGAAGAAAGCACCTGTAGCCATTGATTAGCCAGCTATCAAGGGTATTTGAATAAACGGAAACTCACCAATGGCAGCAGCAACTGTGATGGAGCCAGCAGCGATCCAAACATAACGGAAGCCAAGGCTGTATGTCTGCAGAAGAGCACCAGCACCTGCCTGGATGATGTCCACTGTGACGCCTTCAACTTGACTCAGTCCAGCATTGTCGTGGGCAACTAGCAGACCGATGAACTGCCCAAGAGAGGTCTGAGGAAGTCCAAGTGGCACGACGGCAGCAGCAATATTGGTGGGCATCCTCGAGAGCTGGTCGGTGATGATGGCGTTGTCTAGTGAAGGCGGTCGTTAGCAAGTCTCATCATGTCGTTTCCAGTTCAGGAGGTCTGAAACTTACAAATGGCGAGACCAATGGATCCTCCCAAAGATCGCACACCAATCATCAGCCCACTGGTAATAGCAATGAGTTCCGGAGGTGTTGAAAGCTGCGCAATGGTAACGAGCGTGCACAAACAGATGCCCAGCCCGATACCCAAGAAGACGGGGTAGCCCCAGACAGGGTCAGAGGTGCTCGGTGTAGTCGTGGCCATGCACACGAAGAAGATAATCATGGACACGAATGCAACAACGGTAGGCCAACGAACGTTTCGCGTCGTCGAACACCACAGCCCAGCCAAGACAGCCGAGACACCGTAGACAATCATGGTAACGCCATACCGGAGCCCGGTGCGCAACGAGTCCGTCTCATAGAGCACGCCGACCTGGAAAGCAAAGTAATTGTTGGCCGCGAAGAAGACGAGACCCTCGACAAAGACACAGACTAGCGCAATGGGGAAGTTGCGTCCATTCCTGAAGAGTCCGTGATGGAACATACCATCCTTCTTGAAGCTCGTCTCGTACACGGCCAGAGCGACGCAGAGTGCGCACCCAACAACGAACGGCGCGATGGTGTGGGCGTCGGTCCACGGATAGGGGTTCTGAGACCACGACAGGCCCATGCAGAAGAGCACCAGACCCGATGACAGGAGGGCGTATCCCACCCAGTCGAGCTTCGCAAGCTTCTCCGAGACGCTGAAGCGCGTCTCATTTGCCGTCTTTGGCGGGTTATACAGCGCCAGAACGAGGGCCGTGGCCACAAAGTAGATGGCCGTCGCCATGTACCAGTAATTCCTCACGCCCGCAGCGTTGCCGTTGCGCGTGAGCGCGCCGCCGGCCAGGAGCGCCACCAGGCCTCCCATCGCGGCCGAGAGGTTATCGGCCGCCTGCGCCCAGGGGCGGTAGCGTCGGGGTAGGACCTCGGATGCGACGGCGTGGAGGAGGGGCTGGGCGCCGTAGGAGCAGCCCGTGATCGTGAAACCGGCAATAGCCATGCCCATCGTTGAGGCGCGGGCGACAACGATGGAGCCGATGATGCCGCAGGCTGTGAGGCCGACAAGAAACCAGCGGCGGCCCCAGTAGTCTGCGGCCTGGGAGACGATAGGGGAGAGGACGACGGTCATGATGGCGATTGTGGAGGTCAGCCATACGATTTTGTCGCTCTCCCCCAGCACGGCTGCGATGTTTTGGGTTTGCTAGTAGAGAGAACACGGAGTTAGATAGTATACCTTGACAGGTAGTCTGTGAGGATAGCTTACAGCTCCGGCGCCGACGACGTTGATGAGTTGAGCAAAGTAGATGAAGCAAACGGCAAAGACTATGAGAAATGTCTTTGCGTGCAAGTGAGGAACCGGCTCATCGGGGCCTTCGATGCTCTCCTTGGGTTCATCTCGACTGCTCGGAGGAGGAGCAGCCGGGCCTTTGGCTTCGTTCATCGATCCAGTCTCCTGGACATCATCCGAGATGACATCCTTCGTGGTTGACATCGTGGCGGTCTATGATGTTGGCAGCTACTTACACACTCAGAAATGAATGGTTGGCTGGAAACAGAGAAGGAGTTGCGGAAAGACGCAAATGTCAAAGTGGGAACTCTACCCAAAAGACTTAGGATGTTACTTTGCTGATGTCTTCTTCCTTATCGAAGACATACTCCTCCCACGTTCCGTCCATGCTCGATACCAATGACCAACCAGACTCTTCCAAGAACAAGGGTTTCTCGACCCTGTACGATTACCGGCAAACTCTTCATTATCTTCTCCCATCTCGTCCGTTGTTGCATTCTGCTCTGCATCGGAGGTTAGAACTCATGCGGTAGGTAGCCCAGAGCAGGGGATCCAACGACCCCTTCGTCCAGCCCAGCTATAGATCACAAAGGTTTCAATTCTCACCAAAATCCGGAAGCTACCAAAACGATACCCGGTGCTATAACCCATGAACCCTGGCCGCCCTCTTCAGCGGAGCACACAACCCCTGTTCTCGGATCGATCCCTGTCGAGCGAGACCCCTAGGAGACGACCTCCTTGTCTGCGAGACTTCCAACCAACTGGCCCAAGAGTACCATCCATCCTACACTAGCTTCTACACAGTAAATGGCCCTCTAAGAACACTGCTTTATGTACGGATATGTCCATCGAATATCTCACCCACCCACCATTGCCCAAGTCCATACGTACTTACTACATACTGTGGCAGAAGCGTACGTGTCGAAGCTCCACTGATAATGTAACTTCTGCCCCGCCGATTGCGGCACAGACTCGGACCAGCTGCTTGTTCACTGCGACCTGTTCGACCGGTCTCCTCGCCCTGGCTCATCGTCCGACCTATTGCCGGATTCCCAGTCGAGACACCAAGGGTTCCCTACATCTGGCGCGATCGAGACGTCTCTGACCCATGACTCTGGTGTTTTTGACCGAGTTCCGTTGGGAGTGCTGGGCAACGCGGGAATGCTACCCCGTCGAGAGATGCATCGTCATCTAGAAATGGAACGTGATCCGAACGAAGTCGAAACCACCCACCACAGGCACTTCGGACTCTGGACAATGGCAACCGAGGAGGGTCATATTCTCTGCGAAGCTAACTCCGGCCCGCATCGTCTAGTGCGTGGACCCAAGGGGGCCAATGCCTTGGTCCATCATCCAACCTAAGCATGTCCCATCTGCGGTCGAGACGAAGACGCGCCGTTGGCACCTCATCCCCCCTCCCTCCTCGGACGAAAAGTTTCGTTTTACATACACACATCATCTAGAGAAATCTTTTACCGCGTCTCCAAACGTCTGTGCGACGATATCGTCCCCTTGAAAGGCAATACAGTGAAGCTTCGAGAGTCGAGACCAGCCCACAGAGTAAATCCAAAGTTTGCTCTCATGCCAATGGCACCCCTCAAGATCCTCATCGCCGGCGGCGGCATCGCAGGCCTCTCCGCAGCCGTAGGTCTCCGCCGCGCCGGCCACGAAGTCCACGTCTACGAGCGGTCCGCGCTCAACAACGAGATCGGCGCCGCGATCCACGTGTGTCCCAACGCCGCGCGCGCGCTCCTCGCCTGGGGCCTCGACCCTATCAAGGCCAAGTTCGTGCTTGTCAAATGCAGCTTCCGCGCAAAGGGGGACACGCTGGAAAAGTTCCACGTCGGCACGGAGGATTACATTGAGGAGCGGTACGGCGCGCCGTGGTACTTTGCGCACCGCGTCGATTTACACGAGGAGCTGAAGAGGTTGGCGACGGAGCCGGAGGGCAGTGTCAATGGTCATGCCAACGGCGTTGAGGAGTCTAATGGGGAGAGGACGAACGGTGTCAATGGACATGCGAAGCCGAGGGCTGGACTAGGTCGGCCTGCTACTGTCCATTTGAAGAGCGAGATTGCGGCATATGTGAGTGGCGACTCTCTTTAGCACACGTAACCCCACGTTGAGTCTGGCTGACCACATCTTTAGGATCCCGAGGAGGCTTCAATAACACTGGCTTCTGGCGAGAAAGTCACAGGCGACGTGGTCATCGCGGCAGATGGCGTCCACACCACTGGAGTCGAGGCGATTCTCGGCCGCTCTAACCCTGCGGTGCCTCAGGGGCACTACAACTTTTGCTTCCGTTTCCTCATACCAGCCGCCGATATCGAGGCGGACCCGGTCACGCGCTTCTGGAACGAGGGCGACGACGGGCGGATGAAGTTCCTGGTCGGGGACAAGAAGCGTCTGGTCTCATATCCATGCCGAAAGTAAGTTGTTTGCTATTTCTACACTGCGGTAGCAGTTGGGAGATGAGTAGGAGGCCATGTGACGTCCGGCGTGTTGACTGAAGCAGCAATGAGATCCACAACTTTGTCGCCATCTTCAATAACGACGATGTTGAGAGTACCAAAAAAGAGGACTGGCACGCCTCTGTGAGCAAGGAGAAGCTGCTTGAGAGATACTCCGACTTCCACCCAAGCGTCTTGGCCATTCTCGAGTAAGCAACCCCACCCCCGTGAACACACGACCAAGACTCACACCATACTCAGCAAGGCCACGGAGGTGAAGCAATGGGCACTCCTCTACAGAGCTCCAATTCCTACCTGGACGAAGGGGAAGCTGACACTGGCTGGTGATGCCGCGCATCCCATGTTACCCCGTGAGTTCCAACGGCAACACATCTGTTCCGACCCTCCTGCCAAATCTATCGATCGCTAACATATGAGCCATGCTAGACCAGGGCCAAGGCGGTGCGCAGGGAATCGAGGACGGCGTCGCGCTCGGCATCGCGTTTGCGGGCGCAGAGGCCAAAGACGTTGAGGCTCGTCTGCAGGTGTATGAGAGCATCCGGAGGAACCGCGCCAGCGTGATGCAGATTTTCAGTAACGCTGGGCAAGAGGAGCCCGAGTTGATCCGGGAAGAGGCTGCCAAGTTCATTCCCGCGGAGAAGGTGCCCAGTGAGTGCAAAATCTGTGAACCATCTTGAGTGAGACAAAGTGCGTGTGTATGTGAAGAGGCCGCTGACACACTATCTTGCAGAAAACCCGGAAGAGTTCTTTGCGTACAACTTTGGGTACGACATCATCAGGGATAGTGTCCAGCAGGTGCAAAAGGTCGAACCGTCGTTTCGTTTACCGCCTTCGTTCTTCCAGAATGAACCAGGCAAAGGTGTTTACCCCTAAAGCCCATGGCGGGTAAGTTGATCAGGATCAAGAGGGATAAAAGCGGCTTCTATACCCATAGCCGCTGAAGACTGGATTGAAGGCTTATAACCTGTTGAAGGATCCGAGCATACAGACTCTAGTACACATCAATCAATTGAGCGTCGCTGGATTAGATCTCTTCACTGGGAAACCAAATTCACGTATGTTCTGGAAAGTTTCTGGAATTCTTCCAAAAGTGGCTGGGGGACCGTGATGACGTACCTGGAGGAGCTGCCCCTTTCCCCCTGGAGCTAACGGGCTGTCCCAGGTTTGACACGAGAGCTGAAATGTCATCGCTTTGACCTTGAGGAGCTCCGAGGCAGCATCGAGGTCTCTGGGCATGAGGAATCTCTTCTCGTGCAGCTCCAGACATCATTAACAGGTAGTTGTCAACGGTGAAGTTGTAGATCGCCAAGTCTTTGGTTCTTGGGAGCGGCAATCCGGAAGCGGCTCCACCGCAACATCCACCGCAACATCCCCCGCCAATCGCCGCCAGGGTCGGGTACAACTGCAGCTGCATCCATCCGACGGGCAAAAACGAACACAGGAATTCGCTGACCGACTGAACAACTCTCTTTGTCTCTCCCAGCTTTTTTCTTCCCTCGTTCAAAACTCGAGCTAGGTACTTGAGTGAGTTCCCGTCCGCAACCTCGTTTTGCGTTGGAATTTGATCGTCCGGCAGTTTTGAATTCTCAGACCCTGCCTTCATTCCTCACCCTCGACCCTTACGCCCTCCTCCCACGCATTCTCCCTCAGTTTGCCTTTCCAGCCATGGCGAGATCCTCCTTCTCAGACGCTCCCACAAGGGACTCGAGGTATCTCGCCCCTCGCGAGCCCTACGGCTACCCGACCTCATCCGCGCGGGACTCAAGATGGGACATCGCTGAATATTCTCTCAGGCCGACCGCCAGAAGTAAAGACTCTTCCTCCTCCACCAGGCACCGCTCTCGATCCCGCTCTCGTGACACCAAACATTCCCGCGACAAAGTGCACCGCAAGAAGCGACGCAGCGGCGGCGAGGGCGGAAGCAGCAGCTCCTCATCGTCAAACGACCCCCCAGCTATTGCCAAAGAAGCCAAAGGAGCCGTCGTGAACGCAAACACGGCCTCCTTCACACCAACCGCCATGATCAACAACCTCCAAAACGCCTTCCACGCCTTCCAATCCATCCCGAACCTCTCCACCTCAACCTTTGAACTGGGCCCCCTCCCCGACACCCCCGTAACAAACCTCATCAACCCAAAGAACCTCCACCCGCCCCCCTCCCAGGCCGTCCTCCACGACCGCCTCGGCACAAACTTACACCGCCACAGCAACGTCTACCTCATCCTCCTCGTCGGCACCCTCCTGGCGACCCACTGGCTCGTCCTCGCCGCCCTCTTCGGCGTCGTCAAATTTGGCTTCTTCATCCAGTCCTACAACGGCCGCGACCTCGCCCGCGACCTCGGCGTGAGGAAGTACGCCTCCACGCAGAGCATCATGTCCGGCTTCACCGCCTTGGCCGCCATCGTCGGCCTCTGGGCCTTTTCCTCGCTCTTCGGCGTCGTCTTTACCCTCGTCAAGGTCGCCGGCCTCGTCCTCGTGCACGCCGCGTGCTGTGACGTGTCAGCGGCAGGCGGTAGTCGCCCGGCGGGAGTTGTTACGGGCGCTGGTTCGACAGCTGCACCTTCGCCCGTGCCGGCCCAAGGGTTCTTGAGACCGCCTGCGGCGCCCGCGGGTTGGGCCCTGGTCTCGAGGGAGGCGCCGAACGTGGCACAGCTCAGATCTGCGAGCGAGGGCCAGCTCAGGTCCGCCAGCGAGGGGAACCTCGGCGGCGGCAGCGGCGGTGTAGCACCGCCGTATCCTAGCGGGAATGGATGGTACGCCGGCGAGGGGCACACTGGGCCCCCGACGCCAGAGGCGTACGCCGAGATGCCGCGGACGCCGCGTTCCTTCGAGGCATACGCTCCCGGTCCCCGAAGGGAGGAGCACGATGCCGGAGAGTTGGCGTATGGGTATTACGAGTCTGCTCGGCCTCAGAGTTATGCATCGGGCAGGTCGTATTAAGAATCACGTCGCTTTTGGCATGATCAAAAGCAGAATGTGAAGACGAAGTGATGTTGGAGATTAGATCTGATAGATATAAAAATAGCACATCACCAGTCCAGGCATTCCATGTCCATCTTCCACGATATTACAGGAATCGTCCTGGTTCAAGTACACAGCTTAAAGCATTACCAAAAAGCTAAATTGACCAATCAAATCTCAGAGCAAGTTTCCATGCATGGGAAATTGTCCCCTCGAGGCAAAGCGCCAACTTGAGGCTGTCTGGCTAATCGTGAATCAATCTCCGACCGTACACAATGGATTTCCTCATGTACAGCTGGATCTTGACTAACGCACGGGGCCTAGGATACTCAAGCTAAAAATCTGCGACGATGAAGACGTGGTATGGGACACGCGCAGCGCTGAGAAAGGTTAATCCAGAGATGCATTGCACAAAAAAGAGAGATGGTTACGAGAGATGTTAGCCACGTTTGTGGACCTCGACGTCCACGGTGTAATGGATGCCGCGGTGAGTATTGGACTAAAAATATTAATCTTCCTTGAACCAAAATAGAGAAAGACCATGGGAGAGCATTGGTGTATCTCGGAGTGTAGTCAAGGTGTGTTTTCACATCACGCTGAAAGAAAGTTTTCTTCCTCGCGCCCAGAGAAACAAGCTCCAGCGCGCAACGAAAAAAGAGAAAAAGTCAGAGCCTGTCAGACGTCCATCGACACCCACCCTGACCGTGCGCCCAAGGGCAAGACCACAATCAGGGACGAGATCATCACCGCTCTCTATACAGCAACAGACAACCGAAATTGTCCAGAAGCCGCCCTCCTTGCGGAGGGTGCGAGAGCAACCAGAGTTCTTCACTCTAGGGTGTCGAGGATATCAATCATCAACCAGGGTGGGATCTGTAGCTCCTTTAGGGAACCAAGAGTAGGTCGAATACTATAGAAATGATTCTCTGAAGTATTGTCGACATGAAGAAAAAAAGAAGAAAAAGAAGACTGAAAAGCGCGGTCGGGAGGCGACGTTTTATACATGTTGGAGAGGTGCGGGAGTGGGTCTTTGGTGGGGGACGGCATCAGTAATGTGCCCTGAAGCTGTCAGCCAATGAGAATTCGGGGATGTGAAAATTGGAGGTTGAAGGTACGTACCGGGGCTGGAGGGGTGTAAAAATCTGCATCGTGAAGATGGAAAGAGCGGGTTCAAGATGGTAAAGATGCCTGGAAATAGTGTCAGTGAATCAGGCATCAAGACGGGAGAAATCTTCTCTTTTGCACATACGGATTTGATGCTGCGACAAGTTGTTTGGCGGTCAAAGGCAGCGCCTACCAAAGGGGAAATAAGTCGATGAGATGGTCTAGATATCGACGAGAGCAACTTTGGGGTAGGATGTGCTCTTTTGCGTCAAAAGCTCAGTCCTCGATGGCTTGTTTTGTGCAAATCTGGGCGTATCTCTGAGTCTCTGGCATACGGCCGAGTATCGAAATGTATCGTCATCAACCACTCGTATGGATTGAAGGAGAGGAATTACGTCTAGCTCCATCAACGTGAAAAGTGACGTCCGAAGAGCTTGATCACATAGCGGCTGTGATAATAAGTATCATACATAGGGGCGCTCCTGCCTGAGATGCCTAGATCTAGCAACACGCGAAAACCCTCAAGTTCTGACCCAAAGATCTAACCTCTCCCATGAGGCTCAACTACCATCACCACCCTCACTCACGATACAACCCCTCCCCAAGCACCCACCCCTTCACCCTCCAACTAACCAACCTCCCCAAAACCTCATCATCCCCAGCAGAAGCAGCCTCCCGGACCTTGGTACTACTAACAACCTCCTCACCCACCTCCCTCCCCCGAACCATCTCAACCCTCTCCGCCCACCTCCCTCGCCCACCGACCCCCTCCAGCCCTCCGTCCCTCAAACTCTGGAGATACGCAACCTGTTCCCCCTCACCACCCCATTCATCATCCGTCCTCATCGTGATACGCAACTTGGACCTATTCAGAAACGGATCTAGTGCGCTACGTATCGGCGCCACGGCTTCTGCTGCTGCCCCTTCCGCTGAAGACGGAGCGCTGTAGTACTTTGGGTTACAGATCCGGATAAGCGTATCATATCCCGCCAAATACACCTGCTCCGGCTCTCCTTCGCCTCCTTGGGCATAAAACCCCGTGTCCGAAATAGCCTGGCTCTTATCGTGAAAGTACGGCATCGTCGTCAACCCCAAGTCGACCTCAACTTCCTCCTCCTCCTCCTGTAACGTCTCTGCCCCCTTCATCGATTCTCTTGACGACGCCTCCTCCACGCCCGTCCTTTTCAATTCATCCCTCAAATCCGCAGCAAACGCATACATCATCCCCAACCGCACCTCAAACGCCGCAGGCTTAGGTTTCTTATCCGCGTTATTCACAGCCAGGAGAAGCAATAACCTCACAGATCCTCCCTGAGCCCGGTCCTCAACCGCCCCGGATGCCAGACCACTACTCCCACTCCTCGTCATCGTAGTCGTCGTCCTCTGCAAATCCCGAATCGCAGACGCCGCCATCCGCAAGTGCGCCATCGTAGGCGGATTAAACGAAGAATCCAACACAATAAGACTCTTCACCAGCCTCTTGTCCCCACCCCCTGGCCTCCCCGGCGCCGGTATCGTGGCTGTGTCACCACTACTCCCCCCTCCTCGGGGAGACAACGTACAAACGACGCGAAACGCATCCTTTGAAGATTGAAACGCCGTCAAGCTCCGGGAAAAGAAGTCGACGAGGGCGGCGCGGCTTTTCATGGCCGGGTCTGGTTCCGCGGTGGTAGATGACATTTGCTCGCAGAAGCTCGCAGAGGTTGCGGAACTGTGTTGGTGTTGTGAGGTACCAAGTAAGTAACTAAGGTAGAGGTGAAGTGAGACATCCGGTTCGACGAAAAGTGACGGCACGGGACGGAGGAGAGGAGAGGAGAGGAAGGGGGGCTGCGTGCCGTCCGCGTTTACCCCGCTACGTGGGGGTCGTTTAGTATGCATAGGTTCCTGGCTCTCTCGCACCATGTGGGGAAGATTACTCAAGGAGTCAAGGTATCAAGTATACACAGTAGCGCGGGTAGGATTCCAAGATAGCAGCAGATTCAAGGCGGGGAGGAGGGGGGGGTATTGTTTTGCAAGGAGAGCAACATCTATCAGTGATTCGACAACTAGAGTATCAAGGTTCCTTGTACAATAAAAACAACAAAACACAGCTCGTCATCCCCATCACTCGTCCTCCGCCCCTCAAGCTCTGTTTTGCTTCGCATTGACAAACATCTGCGACGTGACCAGTCCAAACCCGAAAAACAGAGCAATGCCCAAAAAATTGAGCACGGCATTCATCAGAGGCGGCATCTTGGGCTCCGCCAGCATCTCGTCCTGCAACCTCTCGATCCGCTCCGCCATCTTCTCCTGCCCGAAACCCGTACGCACCCTCTGCACGCCCGCCTTGCCCATCTTCTCCAAATCGCCCCTGCTGAGGCTGTTGAGCACCTTATCCATGACCACGGTCCACTCCAGCACCTCATCCGGCGCCCGCAACCAGCCCGTCACGCCGTCCATGACCGTCTCCTTGGGCCCGCCCGTGTTCGCCGCGAGGACGGGCACGCCGGCCAACATGGCCTCGAGGGGCACGATGCCAAAGTGCTCGTTGGAGGGCGTGTAAACGAGCAGCTTGGCCGATCGGAGGAGCGAGTCCTTCAAGCTCGACGGGATGGAGAGGAGGAACAGCACGGGAATGTGTTCGGGCGCCGACAGCGCCGTGATGATGTTCTTGGCCGTGAACGTCTCCAACCCGTGCGACGCGGCAAGCTTCTCGAGCTCCTTGTGGTACTGGCAGTTTTCGATGCTGCGCGGGTCGTATCCGCCCGCGAGGACCAGCCGGACGCCCTTTCTCTTATCCGCAGGTAGCGCCGCGAAAGCCTTGACGGCGAGTGCAATGTCCTTCTTCCTCTCGAAGCGGTTGATGCTGAGAATAATGTTCCTGTCCGTCCAAATGGCCTCCTCTTCACCCTTGCCGTTGCCAATCGCCTTCCTCTCGTTGTCTTTTTCGGGCGCAATGTCGACGCAAGGGTACACGACCTTGAGGTTCTTGCGCTTGGCGAGCTTCGGCCACGCGCCGGTGGCCATGCCCTTTGTGAAGCCCGAGTTGACGGCAATCTCGTCGGCGAAGCCCATGCTCCACTCCTCGACCCAGTCAAAGGGCACGCGGTAGAGGCGCTTCCACCACTTTTCGCGGCCGAGGGCGAGGTACATGTCGGGGAAGTGGCAGTAGAAGAGGATGGGGGCCTTGGGGGCGAGGTACTGCAGCAGCGGCAGGCCTGCGCTGAGCTGGTCGACGAAGAAGGTGTCTGGGTTCAGGGACTGGAGCTCGCGGGTGGCGTAGATCTGGACGAGGAGGTGGAGCTGGCGCAGGATGGCGCAGAGGATCGTGAGGCGCCCGAGGATGGAGGGGGGGACAATCCAGTTGCCGCGGACGCGGACGTCGAGGGTTCCTAGGAGAGAGACAGCAAGTTAGGATGTGCTTATTTGAAATGTGAGGGTCATGGGCGAAGAAATAAAAGGCTGTAGGAGTTACCATCTCGAGCTTCTTCAAAGCAGTGGCTTTTGTCGCAATGGCTGGTGAAGATGACCACTTTGTGGCCTCGATTCTGCAAACCGACGGCCGCATCGACAACGAGACGCTCAGCACCACCGATGCCAAGGTCCGGGTGAAAGAAGACGACGGTCCTCTGATCGTCGTCTTTCTCCGCCATGGTCGGAGAGGAAATGATTTGTCTTTGGCGGGTATTAGGGGGTTGTGCTGAAGGGGGGAGAAATTCCCAGTCTTTTGTGTTGTCTCTCTGCCTTTCTCTCCCGCAAGAGGACAGAAATGCGAACTTGTTGAGACGTGGACGATCTGACCTGACACTGGAGCCAGCGGGGACCACTCACTGGGAGTTACGACGCGGTAGCAGTCCACTGTCCAGGGCAGTTGGAATTGGGGTAGCTCTGTCAATGGCAGGTGGTGATTGGATACCGTAAAGTGGGAAGTGGCCTTACGTAATTACGGACCAGCCCTGCAGGGGCACGAGGGGGTACGACGGTACGTCCTGGTGGACCCACTCAGCAGAAGCCGCAGGAGCTTGGCGGGCTTCCTTTTGGGGCCGCTCCTTCTTCACATGTGAAAGCCCATTAAGCTTTTGTGCCTTAGGTACATGGACAGGAAAGGACAAGATGACATGCAATACGATTGGAGGATAGACACCTGCGCATGGGGATGATAAGCCAGCTTGCCGTAGAGTTGGGGAATCGGGGAAGCCTGTCAGCCGAACTGCCCGCCGCACGTTGGATTTTCTAATCATGGCTGCGTCTGAGGCATGTCTTGCTTAGTGCCTATTGCCGAACCGAGGTCAGCAGCACTTACTTGAACCCATCCGTCAATCTTCAACGTCTAGACTTTGTGACTTCAACCCATCTCTACTCTCATCCATAATCTCACCGTAGCTCCATCATCGCGACTACATTACTTACTCATAACCCCCATACAAGGAACGTAGAAGTCATTTCGAGTCATCGCCTGCCCGGTCTGTCCTCAAGATTACTCGCACCAAACCGCCATTAGACCCCCCTCATCGAACCTCAACCACATCTCATCTCACCACCACCATCATCACCACCAACATCACCACAACCCTCAAAAAAGATGGCCTCCCAAACCCCCCTCTTCACAATCCCCATCCCCCCAATCCCCTCCCACCAAGGCGGCACCATAACCTGCACAACCCCAGCACCGCTCGTCTACCTCCTAACCTGGTCCTCCCCCCCCGACAACCGCCTCACAACCCCCTTCTGCCGCGCCCTCCTCGCCGCCCTCGACATCATCGAATTCTCCCTCCCCGTCGGCGTCCTCATCACAACCTCCGCCATCCCAAAATTCTACTCCAACGGCCTCGACCTCGAACACGCCTTCGCCACCCCGCAATTCTTCCCAGAAACCTTGTACGCGCTCTTCAAACGCCTTCTAACCTACCCGATGCCAACCGTCTCTTTGATTCCAGGCCACGCCTTCGCCGGCGGCTTCATGACGGCAATGCACCACGACTACCGCGTAATGAACCCCCAAAAGGGCTTCCTCTGCATGAACGAGCTCGAGTTCGGCGCGCCCCTGAAAGCACCAATGTCGTCCATCTTCCGTATCAAATGCGCCTCCCCCAAACTCTACCAAGACATTGTCCTCGAAGCGAAACGCTTCCCCGGTCCAGCGGCCCTCGAGGCCGGGCTCGTCGACGCGCTCGGCGGGCTCGATGAGGCGCTGAAGTTGATTGCGGAGCGCAAGTTGACGGAGAGGGGCAAGAGCGGGGTGTATGCAGTGCTCAAGATGGAGATGTGGAAGGAGAGCGCGTACGTGCTCAGCAAGGAGAATTACGAGAGCGAGGAGAAGATTTGGGAAGAGAGGGAGGAGAGGGAGAAGGCTAGGGTTGCGGCGGGGAAGAAGTTTGTGCAGGAGTGGAAGGCTGGTAAGGCCAAGTTATAGGAGTTGAGTACAAAGTTGGAAGGCTCTCCGAGTACGATAGTGACAAATACTTGCACGAGACTTTAAACGCATATATAACGACACATCACTCATGTTCAACCTCGTTTGCTCAAGAGATCGTGTATTGTGTTGTTAATAATAAAAAACAGACGCTTATTTTGTGTGTCTTCCCAATCGGACAGAGGGGGTATCATGGACGTCCATTCAAACACCTGAAATGCATCACCGCGCTTCCTCCACCTGTCCGCAAACAGCTACTCTCCTTCCTCACGTCTGCACCTCTTGTTCAGTCGGCATGGGCTCGCGAACATCCAAATCCGGCTCGACTGCCCCGTTCTCCTCTTGTCCGTTGCCGTTGCCGTTGCCGTTGCCGTTGCCGTTCCCATTCCCATTCGCCTTGGACGCCTTCTTGGCCGCGTTCATCTCATCTCTCTGCCTCGCAACATCCTTCTCCGCCTGAATCGCCTTGTCGCGACGCGCCTCCACATCCTCACGCTTCACAAGCTTCCGCAGAGCATCAGAAGCCTTGATCATGTTGTCGATACTGATGGCGTGGTTGGTCATCTGGCGGTTGATATACGTGTACACGCTCGCCGGCGTGTCGCACTGCAGAAGCTGCGTCTCGTTCAGCTTGAGCAGCGCCAACGCCACCTGGAACAGAAACGTGCTCCCGTCGTTCATGCAAAGCACCACATCCCAGACGCGGAACAGAGCCTCGGCGCAGAGACAGTCGGTGAAGACGCTGAGGAACCACTGGAAGGTGAGTGCTTCGAGCTCGATGCTGAGATCGTCCAGGTGCTGCGAGAGCTTGGGGAGCACATCCACGACATACTGGCGCAGCACCTGCTGGTCTGCGCGAGACGCAAGGAGACTATGGTCGTAGTATCCGGAGGGCAGGATGTTTTCGATGATGCTGGTCAGGATCCAAAACGCGTCCTCTGCTGACGGCATTATCAACAGCAGATTAGCCGCGATGAGATTCATGCCCTGACAGTAGCCGACCTCTGGGTTTCGGCGGGCGTATGCTTTGAGCACCTCCTTGAGCTTCGACACGCCCGGTCCCTTGCGAAAGAAGATGTTGTCAGTCAAGGTGCGGTTGATGTCCATGTCGATCTGGGATACTGCCAGCGGGTCATCATCTTCGTCCGGGCGTGCGATGATGTCTTGATAGTATCCGGGGACACGAAGGGTGGTGGCGCCGGAGCACTCGGACCAGACCTTCGCGCGCAAGTTGACTGGGATGCCACCGAGAACCAAGTTCCTCAGTTCCGACCTCTTGGCGCGCCCGACCTTGCCTTTGTTCCCGAGGCCAGTGGTTCCAATCAGTTCGCCATCAGCTATGGCAGCTTCGGGGATGGTCATAGCCGGCCGCTCAAAGCGAGCCTCGGCAAGCGCCGCGGCTGCTGCGGCCGCAGCCTCACCATCCCGCTTCCTCTCCGCCCTGACTTTGCGCAGGAATTCGTTCCAACGGGCCGCTTTGTCCCTCTGCAGAGAATCGTGCAACTCGCCCATGTGTTGTAGAAGGAGCTTCACAGGTTCCGTGTCGTCCCTGACAACCGTTCCCGCAGCGGCATCAGTGTCAACCGGGGGCGTCGCCTCGCTGTCGATGACGGATGTTGTCGTGCTCGCAATGGGGACAAATCCTCGCTCGTCAGCCGCAATGAGTCCAGGTGACTTGAGGCCCAATTCTCCGCCCTCCAACACTTCCAGAGATGGCGCGCCGAGCGAGGGGGTGTGGGACAACAGCTCGGTCGGGAATGTGGCCAGCTTGAGGTAATCTTGCCATTTCTTAGGCTTCCCCTCACCCGCGCGTTCCTCCGTGGACGACGGGCTGCCAGGCCGTTCTTCGCTGCCGGGACTTGCGGGAACCTCCTCTTCCTCCTCAATCATTGGCGAAGTCAAGTCTGACCGGCCGTTTGATAGCATCTCGGCACGGCCGCCTTGCTTAAAGTGGCGAGCCATCTGCGCAGATTCGCGCTGCCTCTTCTTTCTACGTTGATCGTAAATGAACCCGAAACGGTCGGTCAGGTACTCGCTTCCGCTATAGTTGTTGTAGATGTGCGTCAAGGTTGGCGGTTGGGTCTCGGGTGGGAGGATTGCATCCATCTCGACGGGGCCGTAACTCTCCTGGCGGTCAGAGGTCGCATTCGTCGGGCTGTTCACCATAGTGTCCCATCTCTCCTGCGGCTGAGTCCTGGCGGTGGTGGTGTTGACTGGAGGGGCATTCACGGTGCCGGTAGTTCGGCGCATGGCCATGAGAGCCTTGGGGCCGCCCGCCGTCGAGACCGCTCGGCTAGACTGTGAGGTTTTGGCGCTGGAAGTTGAAGACGCTCGTGGGGTCGACTGCGACTGCGGTTGGGTAGCACTATTAGACCTCCCGCGGTTGGGACCACCCTCGCGCGTGTTGATTGCCCCTCCGGCCACCAGTCTCATGAGGCTGGCTGCGACCGAAGTTGAGGCTTTGCGCGACCCAGGGGGTCCAGACTGGATGCTAGATGCTCGACTGGGTGTTCTTGGTGGCACGCTCTCAGGCGGTACGGCCTCGCTGGGTGGGCTGAAGAGGTCGTCCTGAAGGCCGGGCCGCCTATCAGCGGTTGACTGCGCCCTAACGACAGTGGAGGGTCTCCCGATGTCGTCGCCGTTGACGCTGCTGGGCATGCTGCCCTTCCTGCTGGTTCCGCCCCAAAGATAATCCTTCCATCCCCTCGCGGTCCCTCTTCCGTCAGGATTGGAGGGCATGGATAGGTTGCTAGCGCGGATCGTTGCGTCGTTGCCATCGGTCTGTCCAAAGACGTTGACGTTGACGGTATCCTGCATGGCATCGCTCATGAGATCAGATAGGCCGCTCTCGTTGCGGCGGTTGCCGGGGCGTTCGGTCTTGACCTCGATTTCGATCGTCCTGAGTCTCTTCTCGAGGTCGAGATTAGATAAGCCGCATTCCAGTATAATCTTCCGCAAAGCCCTCTCCCTTTCGTCGGCCTTCCTCCTTAGCTGGGCAATCTGAGCATCGCGCTGTGCCAGGTCGGTCGCAACCTGCCTGACGAGCGCAACGGCTCCATGTCTGGCGATGAGACGCCCAATGTGCTCATCGTCCGAGTGGTGAAGGGCACCAGGTATCTTGTGCGTGGAAAGGGGCGAGTCCTCGAACAGCGCATCGCGAGCCGCTTGTTCGGCAGAGGAGCCAGTCAGGTTGCCCAGCAGGGAGATGGGCCCTGACCTAGCATCGGAAATCTTGCGTACGGTGGGAGGGGCTTCGGGTTCCGGGGTCAGCGGCGGAGGAGGAAAGGCGTGTTCGCCCCGTGGCGAGTCGGGGGAGAAGGAGGGGAAGCTTGTCAGCGACTTGTCTTCGGAGGCGGCGATGGAGCTCGCGGAGCTCGAGGGTTGGGAGTTGAGCTTTGATCGTTTTGCTCGCACGGTATGAGAGCGTCCGCTTCTCATGGACGTTGCGCTGTGCTGCGAGACGGAGCGCTCGAGAGGGAGAGTAGGCTCGGGGTCCATGTTGGTTGGCGGGCGATGATGTCGCCAAACGTCATGGTTTCAAAAAAGCAAACGGCAGCAGGGTGTTGCAGGATGCGCTCGCTGCTGTAAGTAAGCCTGCGACCTGGGCGAGACGATCCGATGGTTCGAATGTTTCTCTCAGGTTTTGTCGCGAGCTTCGTAGGAGGGGATGGAGATAGGGATAGGAGAAAGGGCGAGGTGCGCAGGTAAGGTAGGAAATGTTTGGTAGTTCGTAGCGTAGACGCTAAAGCGGAGAGCCAAAGAATGGCGGTAATGTCGAGGTCAGAATTGGGAAGTGTAGTCAATGTGTATTGTGTGTGCTTGGGTGCGTGGGTGCGGATGCGGGTGTGTGTGTGTGTGTGTGTGTGGGCGGGACGATATCATTATGCAATCCGACTCTCCCCAAGCACAGCAATGCAGCACATTTACGGCTTTGCCTGACGTGGACCAGGGGTGGAAGGCGAATGGAACCGGGGGGGATCATCGCCCAGCACGTCTGGGCCCCTGGGGTGCTTGCTGTGACTCTGAGCCTTAGCAGGTGAGCCCCGAGATGCGAGGAGCAGTCGCTACCTTACGGAGTACAGTGGATAACAAGGGGACTTTCACTTGGGTCCCGCAGCTTCCATCAAGATTCCATCCAGCTTCAGGTACGAGTACAAGCTCCGGCCCAAATTACCACCAATTTCACCCGTCTTAGCGCGACGACGATACGTCCCTTTACGTCCCTCTACGTACCGCACCGATGACATGCGCTATGCGTCGCCTGGCGATTACCTCAGGCGGGCAGGCCTCTTTCACCTGCAGCCCACCGCAAATCCACAAAATGAGCCCTTGTAAGCTGTCGCGCAAGGAGAACATCCTCCTAACCAATTCATGCCTTACGTTATCCGTACATGCACATCTCGGGGCGTCAGGTCGCGATATTCAACCCTTTTCTACTGCCTTGAACCTTGAGGGCAGGCGCCTCGTTTGTTGATCTCTTCCATATTCCCCCATGCCTTGCCACATGTGCCACATGAATGTCAACATTGACACGTCTGAAGAAAAACAAGCACAACACAAAGAGCCACATCACAAAAAACACAATACTTCGTAGCATACCTACTCAGTACAAGAAAAAGACAGCGCCGGGTTCCCACGAGATGCAACACGCAAGGGACATCCAGGAACACACCAGCCCAGGCCACTTGTCGCATAGCAGAGCATCCCTCAACTATGACAACTAACACTCTTACGTGCCCACGCCTGGCCGGCCCTCCTTCGCCCTCGCCCTCCCGTCCTTGTGGCCTCTTCCTCGTTCCCAAACCCAGACTCTTTTTTAGTCTTGCCAAGTTAGCCCTGCCATACCCATGGCCATGCCCTGTCTCCGAGGGAGCCCCTTCCACGCTGTCTCTCGTCTCAGCTCCACCGCGGATCCATCCTTGGAAACCTGAGAGAACAGAATAGAGAAAAAAAAACCCCGTTCCGTCTATTTCTCCATCCTTTCCTGGGCGCGTCTCTTTTCTCCTAATAATACAGCCTCACTATCGAGCCCTACACACCAAAACACACACACACACACACAAAAAAGCTCATCCCGTCACAACCAACTTCCCTGTCTTGGCGGCCTCCAACAAACCGCAGGCAATCCCCTCCCTCGAGCGCGCCTATCTCTACACTCGACGCTCCTCCACGCGGCAAACGCCATCTCGATTCTCGCGTGCTAAAAAATTAAAAAAATTAAAAATTCGTCCCAACTTTCCGTTCCGTCCTTGCGGGCCACAGAGGAAGGGGAGCAAAGGTTCCAGGGGAAACTCGGGAAGGGGGCGGGGGGGACTAATCGATTTAGGGGTCCAAAAAAGGGTGATCTCCTTTGCGTGTGGACTGTGGATACCTTCCATTCC